GAGAAGATCATTCGACTTATAAAGGCATTTTATTAGAATATATCGACGCAAATCTGTGTTTATGGGAAACTGGCAGACTTCTTCGAAATAAGAACTGGGTCCGTCAGGGGTGTGTCCTTTCTCCTATAATAAAATAAAAACAAGAAACTGATAAAATGCCTCTTTTTATAAGCTCATTCCCGGTTGAGGAAGTGCCCGATTTTAAGTATCTTGGATCCGCCAGGCAAAAGACGAAATTAAAACCTGGATAACGACAGCTAAAAATGGGTTCTTTCAGTTGACGAAATCTTTATGGAGCAGTCGCGAGATCACCATAAAAACTAAAGTCCGCTTCTATATAGCCGCGATTCGTTCGATCTTGCTATATGACATGGCCAATGAGAGTGGAAGATATTAAGAGGTTATCTGCATTTGACCACTCATGTGGATGGCTTTTATTTTAGAGCTTCGCTGAATAGATAAAATCTCACACGATCGCATTCACTTTTTCAAATACCACTTGCATTAATAGTACCATAACAGAGCGTCGTTTTCACTGGTTGGGACACGTTCTTCGTCGCCCACCACCGCAAGAGTTTACTCATATTTCGTTACTTGCTATGATGGGTGGCGTTAAAAGTGAGGCGGGCCAATCAAGACCTGGGTTAACACGGTCAGGGAAGATTTTTGAACGTATAGGCGGACCAGGAATATATTGAATTAGGCGATGGAAAAAAGAATGGCTTCTATTATTGTCAACGGTGACATCAGACCGCTCAGCTTGGAAACGTCTTACCTTTATAGCCGTGGAACCAGTCTAATCAATAACGGTTAGAAGAAGAAGGACTTCCTTTATTTCGCCTTCTATAAATATTTGATTAAGGTCATTTATTGCGCTTGCTGCTGATAGGAATAAATGGGACATTTAGAAATCCAAATACTGCTAAAAATACGTCTGTATTTCTATCTTCAAACAAACTGGTTGAATAATACGTTCAGATATTTCATCAGATTTGGTGATTTTTAAATAATTTTTTGTTAATTTAGCGATTTTTGCCCATTTTAATTTCTTCTTAAAATTTAATAGAAGAAAACTGACTTAATAATAAATAAAGAAAAAAATTTTTATTCGATAATTTTTTCCATAATTTGTGTGTTATAAAATATGCAAAAAAGTAAGCAAGCAATGTTGTTACTTTTCATCATCTCTGTTAGACTGGCTTCGCTGGCTATACGATAATTTTTTACCACATTACCATTTGGCGACTTGCAGACGGGTCGCCAAGCACCACAACGGATCATATAATATGAGTGTATCCTTTTAAATAATTCATAAAATTTTTTAAATAAAGTGAAAAAATGCTTCATGGCATAGGATGGCTCAGTGGGTTGTTGCTCAATTTGGAGCAGCCGAAGCTGCTGTTCGATTCCCCACAGAAGCAAATCTATACAAGAATCCGGGTGATGCTGGCGATTCGCCTGTACTTCTATCGCCAAGGGACTCCCTGGCATATTGTTCAATGCGACAAGCCAGTGAAGCGAGTTTAACCAGTAATGGTGAGGACTCTTAAGAAGAAAAAGAAGAAAAATGCTTCATAAAAGACTACCTATAATTATAAATAAGTAGAAATACTAGGAAATATTCTAAATGAATATTGTTATAACACGTTTCATTCGAATAGGGCGTCTTATAATCATGAAATATAAATGAACTCGGCAAAATCACGATTCGGAAAAAGGAGTTCGCTTGCCTTTGCTCAAGGTAAATCTCTCCACATGCACGCGACTCAAGCCCAAATTATTGTGAATCAATCTTGCACCGCAAACTTTAGTATAACTAACCGAAACGATTTAATTCAATAAGCAGCGCCCGAAAGAGAAGTACTTCTCCAACGCCATTTGGATTTTTTATCGGAGATTGGGACGGAATCCGTGATGATCAAAATGATAGTAATATAACAGTGGCGTTATGAAAGTAGCTGATTGTAGATCTGTATTAGTTGTTTTTTTCATATTTTAAAATGAATTTTTAAATTAATAGTGTACGAGTTTTGTTTTTTACATAATTTCTTAAGTTAGGCTCAATATTTATCTTTCATTCCCTTTAAGGTGAAATTCTTCTATTTCAATTATTTAAAAATTTTTTTTCATTATGTTTAAACTAACTTTTTTTGAATTTTTTTGTCTCAATAGAATTTTTCAAAATTTTTTAATTTTTAACTAAAAGTTTTTAATTGCTTCTTGCATTTGTTTTTGTTTTATTTGCGGTGAAATTTTTTATTTGTAAATTTTCCAAGCGATATTTCAAATATTTTAGTGATTTCGAAGAGAAATAAGATATGAAATTGATGATAATGATACAATTTTCAATATACAATTTTCCATTATTCATTAAAATATTTTAATGCCATAAGTCATAGTCAATTTGTTAACCGTCGTTTTAAATATTATAAATCGATACTGTGATTTCAATCATCATGAATTAAACGTGAGTGAATATCTGCATTTTTTTCAACCATTAAACCTTTAAATTTTAAATTTTCTAAATTCCAAGGAAGAGATGAAGAATATACTGATATTATTGATCACATTTCTTCTGGGAACTCGGACCCACTGATAATTTGCTTCCACTAGCAACTAGAGAGAGACACTTCCAAGCTTCGCAGATTCGATTATTGCCATTACTGAAATTCCTTTTTCGATCTCCTAAGCTCAATTCCCTGACTCCATTGTTCGTTCTTGATTGGACTTTCACGCTTCATTCATCCATTCATCCATTCAGGATTTAGGTAGCGAGATTCCTATGGTGGATATGACATGACTAAACCTGCGCAGACGACACTGTAACATTATTCTTAAAGTAGATGGTATTCAAGCCAGTGGGTGCAAACATGTGAGAATTGTCTATTTTCCGACTATGTAGGATATATCTTAGAAAAAGTGGTCAAAGCCTGATAGTTTTCTGATATTTTCTCTCATTAACAAAATTTCGGAGGCGTATAGCGGGATTGTATGCACTGCAGTCAGATTAGATGCAAATTCTCTAAATGAGGCAATAGAAACAATTATAATTCGCTATGCGAAAGAAGGTATCTCTAATTGCAAAAATCCTGAAGTTTCATCTTTTTTTTTACTCATTGAACCGTAGATAAATTTTGAAATGTGTTTTTATCAGCGTCTGGTTTATAATAAAAAGAGAAAAATTTTACTTGTATTGATTTGAAGGCCAATTTTCGCTGCAGTTGCCCACATTCGGTCTGGGTTTTGCTGAAGCTTCTTGTATAACTGACAGTGAAAAAGATATCATCAGTGTAATCTGTGTCATTATCCTGTCAATCCAATCAAAAGCAACGGCAAAGTCGATGAAGCATATAAGGATAGGTTGAAACAATGTTTCAATAGTCTTGCATGAAAATTTGATAAGCACAGCCACGTCTTGGCCTAAATTCGGCTTGGTTTGGGTGTCGAACAGCGAATACAAAGGCTAAAAATCTGCTAAAAAGCTACTTTCGAAATCGGCCCGTTTCCAGTCTTGCTTAGCTTTTCCTGCTGATTTATCGTCGTTTTTTAGATTTCAGCCGCATCATACCGGCTTTTTTATTAGCTTCATCTTATTCTACTGGCTCCTGCGATTAATCACTTGTCTCCTTTTCATGTTATCGCATTTGTTAATTCCTTTTTCATCAAACCACCAACACCACCTTACTATTGTGGTATCAAATTCCTTATTGTTGCTTGATCCTTGATAATTAAAATTTGATGGGTTCGCTAGTTGAAAACTGTTGCCTGATGAAAATGCAGTGGTTTATGCTGAACTATGTTGAATTGATTTATTTTGTTGCGTTGTTATATTGAATTGAACTGTTGAGCCGATATCCGTTTTTCTTTCCGAATCCATTTTTTAGTTTTTCATTTGCGACTCCAGTTTCCATATTCGTCGTTCGGCGATGCTATCTCCGATTGCCACGACTCTTTTCAAAAAAGCAAATAGTTTTCCCGAAACGTTTAGCAAGCTGGTTCCTCGACAGTTGCCTCAGAGTTGCAGTGTTGTTTTTTTCATGGGAGCAGAATTGCGATGCATTATGCGGCGCTGGACAGACCATTTTCTCTCAAGGCCTTATTGGTCATAAGCTAGTAAATTACAGAGATTATCTTGCGCTCGGTTGATGGTGGTTCGTAATTGCAATTATATGGTTCCAGATTCCAGTTATGCCTGGAATAAGGAAATAAGGATGTTTTGTCTGAACATAATACGACTGGTCATTCAATATCTCTGGCTTATATATTGATATATTTATTATATATTAATAAGTAGAAATTCTAAAATGCAACTTTTTGTTCATGGCTAATGTGATAGATGTGAAAATAGAAATGTCACTCAGTGCTTTAATAGCTCATTAAATTGAAATTCAATAAATTAGGAACTATGGGGAAGAAATGTTATGAGCTTAACGCTGTAATACGTTCTATTGGGACAAAATTATACGAATAAATGCTAACCCATCAACTTGGCACTGTATTTGCTGGCTAATCTGATGATATGGTTGAGCACAAAAGAAGTCGAAAAATAATGAAAAAAGCAACAAAAAAGGAGATTGAAGAAAAGCCAGTGAACGCAACTCGGCTCAATTTATTTCACGATAATTTTCGAATTATCGAGTCGAAAAATCATTCATTTCATTTAGCAAATTATCTTACAAATTATTTTAGCAAACTATGATAAGAATGTTTTAAATAAGTTTTTACAAATTTCTCGCACTGCTGACTATTAGTGCAACTAGAAATTCCCGCCAGGAACTATTTGGCGACAAAAATACAAGTGACCAGTAAAAGACAGATGGTAAAAATGCTTTAAAGAACAAATAAATCGTTTAAATCAAATCAGTTGTACTTAAAATATTTTAGAAATTTCAGAAAAATTCACTGCGAATATCATTTTTTTAGAGCTTCAAATCAAATAATCGCAACTGTAGTTTGATCTCCTCTTCGATTTATTGAAAAGATTTTTTATTAGCAAAATCCTATAGAAATAATTCTAAAACAAAAGAAATTATTGCAATGTGGAGTGAGAGCCCATTGGCTGCATTGCATAGATGATTTGAACAACAACAAATATTGCCGAGATGTGGTATGGACTCGCAAGAATCAGAAATATGATAGGTTTGGCAAATTGATAAGCCACCGGTTCCATCGCAATATCGCACCTTTAACGTGTGTTTTTTAATTCTATTTAACTGTTATATCGGTGATTTTAATAATTGTTTTTTATTTCTATTTAACTCAATTGGTACTTTTAAATTCTTCTGCATCTGTCATTAACTTCAATTTTTCAAAATGATTTTTAAAATAACTTTTTAATTTTTAAACAACTTTGAAAGTAATGTATGAATGATTCGGCTAAACAACTCATGCATAGTAACAACTTGTGGATAATGAATATGGATAATAAGTACTTGTGGAATATGATGTGGATGCAGAGGTTATGAATTAAATAAATAGAAATCGAGAAATTAATTCCACAAAAGCTACCGTGTCAAGTCCAAGGGTTTGTTTTATGCAGTTGATACTGGAGCATTCAACCACTTGTAACTGACTTTTTGAATAACATTTTATCGCATTCGTAGTTAATATTAGTGGTGATATGAGTGTCAGTAAAAATAGTTTTCCACATAACTCCATTGAAATGATTCAATAATTGTGGGATCGACTGAAAAACAATATTTTTTTTTCACCGATCTTAATCGTAGATAAATTTAATATTGAGCAAATCTGAATAAATGTATAACATAAACTTATAAGTAATACGCTTTCGCATCAGTTCCACTGCATTGAATCTAGCAAAATGGATACAGTTTGTGCTTTTGATGGGGCTTTAAAAAACGTCGAATGAAATCAGTAAGAAGAAAAAATCAAAAAATTATGATATTTTATAATTGGCTGTCAACACTAAAATTTTTTGCCAGGGAGTCAAACGTCCATATAAGTACAAGTGGATCGCTAACACCACCCAAATTTTTTAATGGCAAATTTATTTATTCGGCGCAAAAACCGAACATTCTATAATTTAAATCACCATCCACTCGGTTATCCTGCTGGAAAATATGAAAATAATTGTCAAAAGAATCTCTGTTTGAACAAATTAACAAAATTTTATCATTTTTTTCATTCATCTTTACAAATTTTCTCATAAATTAGACAAAAATAGAAAAAAAGAGGGGAAATTAAAATGGAAATAGATGAAGAAAAGGACGCGGGAATAATTACAGAATTGCACTGGGAAAGTAGAAAAAGGATGTGAACAATGAAAACAATTTGTGATAAAAATTGGAAGAAATAGGAAATAATAAGCATAGAAACGGTCCGACACTCCAAAAAAATAAACGGTAAGGAGTGCCATCTGTATACCATCTGTATTTCATCGTATTTATCTTTTGTTCACGTAATTCTCTTAATAGTTCAGGGTACTGAAGCATGTCGCTCTGATAATCTACCTGTTATGATGGAAAAAAATTTGAAGAGGAAGAAGAAAATTTTATGAAAATACAAAGTCCTTTTTTAACAATCTGAACGGAAATTAGTAGTTAGTGCTCACTATTTCTGGATAGGCTAGCTCTTGTTTAGAAATTTTTACCAGGGAGTCACTTTGCGATAGAGATATAAATGGTCGTTGGCACCACCCGTTAAATGACGGTATTTCGATTAGTACAAGGAAATGAAAATATATTGCACCAAATAAAACTCTCATCTGAACGCGAGAACGCGTAATATCTACTGCAATATGAAAACGGCTGGATGATTGTGAAAATATCATTTTCAAATGAATTTCCGCAAATAATATTTGAATATTCTTAGCGTACTCACTATTTCAGGCTTAAATCCAGTAACTACTAGAGTGGAAGGGCTTTGCCCAGATAGTTATTTGAAATATAAATGGGTTCCCAGCACAACTCAGATTTCACTTTTAATGGTAAGTTTTAATGGCAAGCAAGCAAAGCTTTGAAGGCAAATATGTTAATCTGATGGATTAAGATGCTGTAAGGAGGTTTCGATATCACCGGTGAGTCGTAGCAAAATGATATACCGAGATTCAATGAAACGTTAGATTAGATTAAACGTTAGATTTCTTAAAAGTTTTAAACTATAGAAAAATTTTTTGTTTTGGAATCTGAAGAAATTCATCTTAATGTAATAAATGCATTTGAATCATATGAGAATAATAAAATTCAACCAATCAGTTATCCATATCCATACAAAAAGATTAAATTCCATGGAAATTGAAGGATTATTATTCATTTAATTTATTTATTTGTTTATTTATTTAATCATTTAATCCAACTAAACTGAGCGATAAGCGCCATTAATGACAACAAAATAAAGTATGAAATGAAAAGAATTAGTGATTACGAGTGATATAAGTGACTAAAGGAATGTAGCCAAAAACTAACAATGTAAAGAGAAATAATATAAATAAAGGAGAATTATAAAGTAAACCAAGTTAAACCATATGTGTTAGTGATAGATAGATAAACGAACGATAAAAGATCAAGATTTCAAACTTCCTGTATAATAAGAAGCTTTTAAATAATATCATGGATGATATTATTTGACCTTTTTTTAAAAATAGGTGAGGATGGTGCATAAATTACGTCATTTACTAGATGAAACTTGACTGGTCAAATTATTAGATGAGACTTGATTGGCCTTGAACAATACAAGGGGTGAACAAACTAACGATGAGGAATAACGACAAACGAGGAATGAATAGCCTTTATTTCCGATATACATATACATATATATATATCCATCCATCCATCTTTATATACCATAAGCTATCAATCATCTTTTGCATGCCAACCATTTGTTGCAATTATGATCCTTAATTACCTTTCAGTAATCAACTTACTAAATCTTGAATAATTTTTTATCATTAGGAAATTTGAAACAAAAAGTATGCCAATATGCATCAATTGACACGAAAATTTCTATTAAAACAAAAATTTACATTTATTTAGGATTTAAAATTTATCGCCTTTAAATGAGAGTACCGGACTGAGCGGTAGCTTTCCCTGAGAGCAATCCGAACCTCGAACTGCTTGGCCTTAGCCCATAAAACGCAATATTCACAGCACACAAGTCGCATAATCATGGCTCCAAGGTTTCTTGCTGAAAAGATTCATAGTTTTTATCTGAAATTAAAAAGGTAAAATATTTACATTTAAGTATTCTTTTTATCGCTACTTCTTTCTCCAGAAAAAATTTGTGGTTCCTCAGTAGTACGGTATCCGCTTCGCTTCCAGCATCATAGGTCCGAACTAAATAGGAATAAATATTTCATTAAAAGGAGCTGGTGGTGTTGGTGTGAATTGATTGTAAATTATTATTAACTGCAGATTATCTTAAAAATGGCCTTCTGATTTTCATTTCGTAAAAATTTTTTTCAAATATACATAACTTTCTTTCACTTCAAATTTAGAAAGAATTTTGACCTTGGAACTTCCGTAATTCATCCTCTAATCGATTATTCAAAGCCATGTTCAATTATATCATAGAGCTTTTCTTAGATAAAAAATATAAGACAGTTCATTTGTCATCGGTATTGCCTTAAATACCCATTCGCTTTTTATCTTTAAATGCAGAATTAAAACTTTCTTCCTCGTTGTCTCTGTGAGAAGACAATTCGCCTCGATTTACTTTCATTTTAACCATTTCATTTCATCTTATTTGCATGATTTGGTAAGAACAAATACAAACAAAAGAATTTCGTGCCACAAAAAACTTATTCTTTAAGCATTTCCATTTGAAATTGCATGAGGAAATCTCTATAACTTTTGCTGAATCCATACTTATTCAAAAAAAGGAATAAACAAAAGTACAACTGCAATAAGAATCCATTTCAAATTGCTCATTCTGGAATAATAATGATAATGCAGAATAGATGAAGAAGACCTTAGACAAAAAGCCGAAGATGACAGAGCCAAGAGAATTATATCACATGAAAAAACCAGAACTTTCGAATATAGATAGCAAAAAAAGAAAGATACATCGCTCACTGTCTTTCGCCAGCAGCAAGCAGCAAATCACAACAAGAAAGATGGACCAAATTCAGAACTATTTTTCACAGCAGTCAAAATCTTTTCACATTAGGAAAACAATAAGTAACAAATAAATACTTTTAAGACAATGATCTTAAACCTATTCTTTAAACTCATACTGCTTAGAACGACTCTTTAATCACAATTTATCAATTTATCTAAAAAATAAAGAAAACGACATAGTAACCAAAACGAACTAACAAATATAATCAATAGGCAGGCACAATAATAATAATAATAACAATAATAATAATAATAATAATAATAATAATAATAATAATAATAATAATAATAATAATAATAATAATAATAATAATAATAATAATAATAATAATAATAATAATAATAATAATAATAATAATAATAATTCAGTGGTCCATTGTAAAGCAGAAAGATGGAATAGCAGTTGAGCAGAATGGTTCATTTTTATTGTTCCAGATAAGTAACAATTCCTTTCTAAAAAGAAATGAAAATAAAAGAATTAACTGAAACAAAATGAAAAAAAAGGCAAAGGAAAAAAGAAATCATAAAATTAGAACTCATTTAATCTTTTCTTATTCAATAAAAAAAATGAATCAAACAATCAACCTTGAATCAACCTTGTTAAACAAAATTAATTACAAATTTCCATTAAAACAAATTAATCAAAAATGTATAAAAATAAAACATCAATAAAAGAAATATCACGAAAAGAAATACATAAATCAATAAATAAGTGGTTCGCACACCATTTTTGATTAAACTAATCCCACTGATTGTTAGTACGGCAAAGAAATTTTGCCAGAAAAACACCTGGCGGTAGTGCAGATGCCTAGCTAACATCATGCGAATTTTTGAATGACAAGTTTGGCGCAAAGTCTTTTAAACTGATCCTTGACCCTCAACACGATTACCTGCCATCATCCACTGCCTACTCGGCTATCCTCCTGCCCTTACTCCGACACCTAGTGTATCTCCATAAAATTAACGGTATATAATCGGTGTAAAATCCTTCTAGCAACAGGCAAAATATTTCATAAAACTATCTTAATAAAAATTAATGATTAAAAAATGATGAAAAACTTGCCACATCATTAGTGAATTATTTACTGTAATAAACACGATAGTACAATGTTTTTGACCGCCATAAGGAATAAGAATTGTCGAATTTTAGCAAATACACGCCTTTACCAGGATAAACATGGTTTCCAGCATACACCTTAAATAATAACATTTAACTTTTTTTTTCATTCTGATAAATAAAACTTCAAAATGAAGCTTTACTACATTAATATTAATTAAGAAATATTAAGAAGCAAACCAGCTACAAAGACTATTCTTAAGTCAGAAGAAACATTTGCAAATTTTGATGAACCAGCAGTTATTATATGAATACCATAAAATGAGAAATGGAATAATAAGAAATGGTATGACAAAATATCATGTGCATCTTGGTTGATTAACAAAGTACTGATTTCAAATTTTGAAACGATGAATTACGAAAAATCTTGTAAAACTAAGCTATAATGATACGGCTCAGATTGTTATAAATTATAAATTATAATTATAATAAGTTGGCATAACAAGCAACAGATGTTAAAAATACCTCTTCGTGACAATCACGACGATATATTGGAACTATTTCATCAATGTGAGGCTTTTTTGGATCTCGTCGCTTCTCCCGCATTGGGTTTCCCGTTTCGATGTCACCTGATTCACTTGCACGCAATTCCGCTTGAGCTGTCTCTTCATCTAACTCATCATCTGATGATTCAGATATGTGGATTGACACCTGTAACAATTAATATAAAAAACAATTGGACCGAAATCAAAATACGAATTAACAAAGCATGAAAAAAACGGAAGACCTGGTTTGATTCCGCAACAGTCCATTCAAAGAAAACACCAAAGCCAATATCATAATTATCAGTAGCAAATTCCCAGAAAAGACAATTCCCATCTTGATGAGTTGGTACCCTCACCTATAAATACTGATATAAGAAAGCATACTTATCCATGTCTGTGGTGTTAACGATAACGATAACTTTTCTCAAAAATTAGTTCATCATTAGTTTATCTTTCTTTTAATAAGTGTAAAACAAGATAAATGCTGATGAAATGAGAACAAAAAGAACTGAAAACCCAACTAACCGTTACTGTTTCACCATGGCCTACTTTAATGATGCCGTCGGGTCCTTCTTTACGAATGATGCCCTTAAAGTCAACAATGTCCTGTCGATTCCACATTGACGCCGGTGCAATTGTTGGATTTGCTGCAAAACGAAATTATATAAAAAAAAATAGTCAAATTAAGATTCAGCTGCAATATATCAGTTAATAGATAAATTACTTGTTTCATGTCTAAATTCTTTCATAAATTGAAAAAAGCAAGTAAATCCTCAGCACCAGATATATTGCGAAATGACCTAAAGGAAGAAAGAAAAACATGGAACAAACTATAAAACATAGGAAATTAATATGGGATAAACAACAGGTCTCTCTTAAAAAAGCAAATGCAGATAAATTCATGAAACAAAAAATTAATAAAATACAACAGCGAAAAAAGAACGAAAACGAAACTGAAATAGAATGTAATGTTTGAGATATCTTTAATGGTTACTTTCAGTGTGTGTTGTACATCCTGCCATTATGGACTGTTTCCGGAGCGTTTTTGCACAATCTAAAGTCTTACCTAGTACAACAGATCATTCCTCAATGGATCTGGTGCTTAGTGTTTGCTCTATGCTGCTATGATCAATGCCTCAGTGCCTTTTACTCGAGCTTTCTCCAAGTACTGGTAAGGATTTAACAATTCAGTTACCTCAGTTATCAGTCGATGGTGCAATCCATGGAGGACCTTGCTTTCTCACGGTATTTCCTCTGCTTAACCATTTTCCAATGTCTGTGCGTGCTTCAGACATTCAGACCTTCTCATCTTTGGCGCTATCTTGCTGATATATTTCTAAATGTTTCGAGTTTCGTTCAACAGTGATTTTCTCATTCACCAGGCCTAATCCTTTCTGGCTGGTGTACGGCCTTTGGGAATTGGAATTGCGGAAGAAATTTCCGTGCATTACGAGAAACTTCATGGTATTTACATCAGCAGTCTCCATGTTTTCTTTACCCACAATGCCAGATGCGTACCAGATGACTGGCAGGACGTACATATTTATGGCATGGATTTTGTTCATCCCAATGAACTGAATCTTCAAGATTCTTTGGTGATATTTAGATGCTACAGCTCTCCTTGCCTCTTCATTGTGGTTACCATGTGGGGTACCAAGGGTATTTGCAGCCAATATTCCGGCTATATGTCCTATATGTTATCAACGGGTCCACCCCATTAGTCATTACTATTTTTCTTCTCTTTACTACTATCCGGCCACATATCTCTAATCCGAATGACATCTCAATATCCTCGCTGTAGATCTGAGTAAGATGGATGAGCGAGTCAATACTTCGTTCACTTTTTGTATATAATTTGATGTCATCCATGTAGAGATAATGGCTGACGGTAATCCCGCTCTTGAATTTGTATCCATACGCTTCTGGAGATTATCTGACTGAAGAGACTTAGACCTATGGAGAATAGGTCGTCTTTGTATATGCCACACTCGATAGCTACTTGCGCAAGTTGTTTCGAGCTGAAATGTCATTTTCCACAAACCCACTGAATTCTCAATGAATGCCTTCGACTCTGTATGGAGCCAGACAAGTCCATGTGTGGGGTACTGAGTCATAGGCTTTCTTATAGTAAATGCAAGCTGCACCCAGATTGGTCTGACGGAATTTTGAGTCTAGAGCGACGACTGCCTTATTTATGAGCAGCTGATATTTGAAGCCTCTGGTGTTGTTCCCAATGCCTTTTTGAGGTGCATTCATATATTAGCTTATATGGTCATGAAGCTTAATGGCTATGATGCCTAACAGGACTTTTCACATTGTTGCTTGAAAAGTTATTATTGGCCAATAGTTTGATAGTTCCTTTATGAGAGTCTTTCATAATCAATACAGTCCTTCCTTGTATTAAGTAATCTAGGTGACATCCTGCCACAAGCAAATGGTTCATCTGCACTGTTGCTAGGCGTTCATGAACCGTTGCTAGTTTCTTTAGCCACTAGAGATGGGTCATATCCAGACCAAATGTTGTCCAATTTTTCACATTTTTGTGTCGATGTTGGATGCCAGTAATTGGTGATGGTAGCTGACTTCTGCTCTGGGAGCTTGCCTGTTCTCACATTTTGCAGCCACTTTATATTGTATTATTATGAATTTTATGTTTCTCCCATATATTCTTCCACTACTGTATATAATGGTGTATAGTTTCTGCTGTTGCCATATTATTGCACTGAAGTTGAGAGTACACATTGGATAGTTGCTTGGAGAACAAAGCATCTTATTTTAGCCTCTGCTTCTAAAGTGGACCTCCTTACTCTGCTGGCCAATGCTGTGAGCCTTTGTTTAGAAGTCTTGAGTCTTGAGCGCTTTTGATGGTGTGTAGATCTTGTCAATTTTCCCAATCTTATTTTTATTATTTTTATTCTTCACACCTTCCTGCAATTCTATCAGCTGGCTAACTTCTTTGCGTTGCATTCTGATCTTATTTTCCAGCCTCTTTTCCCATGAATGAATTGAATTATTTTTCTTAAACTCAAAATTTCGAGAATTAAGGTGGCTATGGAGTAGATCAATTCATCAGTTTTTATTTATAATGGCAATAAGAATTGTTACGAGGACTTTATTTACATCCTAGATTATATTAAGAGGTGCATCACAGAGCTTCGACAATCGGCCTCGATGGTTGATTACGGCTATTTTATTCATGATATTCTGCCTCATGTCAACTACAGCTTGTTCCGATTCTCAGCTTGTTGCGTGCACATCTTTTGTTTCCTCTTCTTGCTTGAACATTCTTAATCTATATATATATAGATCTTTAAACCGTATTGATAATAAAAATGCACCGTAGATAAACGGTACCGTATTTACATGTCTATCTAGAAAATATTTTTCTTTAAACAGTAAAAAAATCAGAATTTTGTATTTCTTCTAAAAACTTTGCAAAAAAATGGAGAATTATTAATAGTGTACTACATGGAGTCTTAATTACCAAAATCTAGAGTTTAGAATTGACCCATCTTCAAATGAGAGCAGTTTCCTCATTATTATTGAAACTACTAAGTATTTCTCAATTGGTATTTTTTTCATCCACAGTGCTTTCATATGTTTCATATTGCCCTTTTGATTAAGTCCACTATTGTATTAGTATTCCATTAGTTCCAGATTATCTGGTCTCCTCCATATAAGGCTTGTGCCAGTAGCCCTTTTAAAGCCAAACTACTCTGGTCCCACAACTGGCGCTATTCCAGTAGCCCACTTGTCATTATCCTGATACCTCAACCTCTGTTGTTAATTCGTACGACAACCGAGCCGGTATGACTTTAATATGCGATACTCCCATACTGAGGTAGGGTAAATAAGCTTCAAAGGAGTCTTCCCCAAGGACCGCATCCGAAAGAAGGCTTTCAGCTGCAATTCGAACCAAAATACCGTTATTATTTATTCCCTGTCAACCGCCCGCCCTTAACCACTACATTAAATTAATAATTATATGATTATAATTATAATTTAATAATGAGAATAAAAATAATAAAAATAATAATAACAATAATAATAATAATGGTTTGAAATCTAGAAAATACGAGGAATTAAATGAAAAATGTTAAAATACCTCTGGTTCCTATCGGTGACAGAATCGTGGATACTAATAATACTTCTTTGGAGTGCTCACTTAATCTCAAAGGTTATTAAAGATAAGGATGGAAATTTCTCCACATCCAAGTTTCCGAGACTGAGACTCCAGGCTAAGAACTCCATACATATATATATATATATATATATATACAAATGATGTAAGCGAAAAAAAATGAATTGAGCATGAAAAATTCATGAAATGAAAATCCAACAAAAGGGAAGTACCAAAAAATAAATATAAAAATAAATATCTGCACAACAACAAAAAAAGTGGAATGGAAAGAAATAAAAGAATAAAAAAGTGACAGCAAAAAGTAGAAGCTTACAGTGACAGAAGAGGCCCATTTGGCCATGTATCGAGCATACTTTAAAAAAATGAATATGAAAATAGACTAAAAAAAATTAACCTAGATCTTTAAACCGTATTGATAATAAAAATGCACCGTAGATAAACGGTACCGTATTATTTACATGTCTATCTAGAAAATATTTTTCTTTAAATAGTAAAAAAAATCGGAATTTTATATTTCTTCTAAAAACTTTGCAAAAAAATGGAGAATTATTAATAGTGTACTACATGGAGTCTTAATTACCAATAAATTTTACTTACATGGCAGATCATCACCAGGTTCCTCATCCGAAACTTCCGATTCATCATTAATTTTCGCTTCTTTCAAAGTGAAATTTTCAGCTAGGTTTGGTTGTTCAAACCTTGCACTGTCCATCGATATTTGACCATCTGGTGATGCACCAGCAGTTTTGGCTTGCTGCGCATATACTTGAGCCATATATTGTTGATAATGTTGTTCTTGCAATTGTTTTATAAGCGCTTCCTGCTAAAGTAAAATTTTATTTCATATTATTATATTACACCACTCCGTCCACACTGAAAATTATCAGACTTGAAAATTCTGGCCACAGCCAATTTTGCATATTGTAATTAAAATTGAAGTTGAATCGCTGGTAAAAATTTCAAATCGTAGTAACAACCAATACAGCCAGCCTAACCTAAAGAAACAGCTAGTGCTACGCAAACCGAAATTTAAAAAAAAAAAAAAAAACCAAGATAATAGTGCGAAGTAAAGCGAGATTTGAACAGACTGGCAATTTTCAAAGATTTTCGAATAAATATCAAAAAAATAAGAAATTTTTAAATACAGAAATTTTCTGATGAAAAATTTTTAAGCTTTTTTTTTATGGAAGGCTTTTTTTTGATTTTATTCATTCAAAAAACTGTGCAGACCGTTGCAAAATTAGAGCCAGCTGAAAAAAAACGATAAACGCTTCGAATCGAATTTACTTATTGACGTCATAGAACGTCGAAAACCAACGTGTGCAACGAGCAGGAGAATCACTTAATCAACCTTAGCTGAACAGCTGATCTATTCAATCATTTCAAAAATATTCCCACTGAGTTAGCTTAATTCCACTCCTTTTCAAAACGAAATTTCCATTATTCCACTATTTCTTTTTTTCTACTTTTACTTCCTATGAAATTTTTTTAAGAGCCCTCACCATTACTAGTTAAACTCGCTCCACTGGCTTATCGCATTAGGCAATACGTCATGGAGTCTCTTGGCGACAGAAAAGCAGAGGAGTCGCCAGCATCACCCGGATTTTTGAACAGGTTTACTCCTGCAGGGAATCGAACCTCAGCATCGGCGCTCCCAATTGGGCAACCCACTGAGCCATCCTGTCCTCTCTCCCTCCCATACGATGAACTAAAAATTAAGTAATCTTTTCTTGTTCATAAGTTTATATCAGTTTTTTAAACAAGTTGCGTTAAATTTTTTTCTGCTAATTTTTCGTCATTCTCAGTTATTTATAAAGGCTGATGCGAAAGAACAAGAAAGTTGATAATGGAAATCCTAAATGAAGACTGTCTTGCTCTTATTTTTCATAAACTCGACTTCTTGAACAGAGTTCGACTTGAAACTGTTTGCTATAAATGGTTCCACGTTCTTCAGGTATTTACCAAAAGCCAAAATTTAAGGAAAAATGTTATATAAAACTATATAGAACTTTTGATATAATTTTAAAAATTTTTACAAAATTTAAATGCAGATTGGCGCAGGCTATTCTAACGTAACACAGGTGAATATGGCTGATTTTTTGCCGACCAACTCAACCGACTATTTTCAACAGGTACTGACTACTTCAACAATGTAATTAACTAATCATTAAAATTATTACACTCTAATTAAATATGATCCTCCACATCTTTCCAATCTATTATTGATAATTACTAGATGAAATTCCAGGAAGTCATAACATTTGCACCAATTATAATGGGTATAGTGCAACGTTGTGGTTGCTATATCAATACGATAAGTCTTGGACAGAGATGGTCAAAGATTTCACAAAATGTCATTGATACAGTAACAAAGTTAGATATCTTTAAATATCCTTTCTGTTCGGATAAAAATAAATAAACAGATGAAAATTATTTCAAATTACTACTTTTTTATAGATTTTTAAATTGAAATCCTTTGATACAAAGAAAGAAATCAATTTTCAAATGAATATTTCCAACTGAAATAAGGAGCACTTCAGATATTGCAATCAACTGACAACGCTTGACCTTGGTTGCATTATTCTTGATGCGGATATTTCTGAGCTTCTTGAGCAATCTAGCGCAAATCTTGAAATTTTATCACTCGAAGAGACAAGCTGGGTACAAAAAGAAAATGGTGATAAGGTAAAGAAAATTACTCGCAAAATATTAAGTAAACAAATTCACCGCAAAAAAACCCATCCATTTTAGGTTCAAGATTATTTCCACAAAATGATTAGACTCAGGAAATTGAATATTCGACGAGCGATCTTCCAACTCGATAAACTTCATCACCTGCCACAATGTTTAAGGTTAGTATGTTTCCATAAAGGAAAGAGGAGATAAAATAGGCGACTGGTTGATTCTTAAATTATCGTTTCGAGTATAACGGTTCGAACCCTGTTTTCAACAAAAGCAAACATATCATTAAAAAAGTAATGCAGGCCCCTTTATTTCTACTATCGTCAAGTGCCTTCTTAGCAAAAATGTTTTACCGCAATAATAAGAAACATGATTAGGGCTAATCATTTAATTGATCACTGATAAATTTAACACTAAGCAGTGATATTAGTGATTTAATTACAGATCGTTAGAAATGAGTGGTGTAAGTAGCCTCACAGTGAAATCATTCGAACAATTCTTAACAAGTCATCTCAATCTCGAGGAATTATTTATATGCCCATTATCCATACCAGAAAATCCTATTGTATCAAAAGTCGGGAGTCTGTCAAAACTACACAGTCTTCAAATTGGTTTCATACATTCAAATGATCTTTCAATGCAACCGCTCGCACTTTGTACGACTTTACAAAACCTTCACATTCAGGTTTGTTTAAACGGAATATGGATCATCGCAATAAATTAGTTGGCTTTTTAAAATAACTTCAAACTCATCAGTTCTTTTTTTTCACATTTCAGAATTGCAATTCGCTTACGACTGCAAGTTTAGCTCTAATTCTTGAATCCCTAAACAGTCTGCTCTCACTTACAATAATTAATTGTCCGTGGGTTCTCGACTATTCTAGTCTAGCATCAGGTCGTACTATTCAAATTCTTCGAATTGAACATACACATCGCATTACTGATGATGATATAATCTCAATTGGTGTCCTCAAAATTCTCAAGTGCTTATATATTTCACACTGCTTCAATATAACAAGTATTTCAATTCTGTCTGTCCTACGTAACTGCGAACTAATTGATGTAAGTCATCTTCATTTATCAATTAATTCGATCTGTTTGGAACAGGAGAATCAACTAGTCTTCTATTCATCACTTACTTTTACTCACCTTACTTTTGTCCCATTGTTATCCGTTACTTATATAAAATCTATAAAAAAAATCACATCTTTAACCTTTTTACCATACTGCATTTAATCAGTCGTTTATAACATCGAAATTATTAAATAGTGCTTCTTTATCGCTTTTTTTAAATTTTATTCTACAATATTTTACAGTGATCAACGAAATTAACAAAAATATTTTGAATATTCAAATACTCAAAAAACCGTTCCCTAATTTAAATTTCGGAAGATTGATTATTACTCTGCGTGAATGCCTTTGCTCATCAAATAAATAAGAAATGGGATTTCATATCTCATAAAAATCTTAACCGACTTTCTCTCTTTTCTCCACTTTTCTGCCTCTTTATCGAAGAAAAATTTAATTAATATTCAAGGAACAAAAATAATTTCACTTCAACTTTACATTTTTCTTTTTCCTATAGTTCATCATAAGTAGTTTAATTGGCTTTATGGACGACCAGGGTTTCCAAGTCTTTAATAGAGTGAATGAAATTTATGAATTTATTAATGAATTTCGAAATGTTCGACTCAAAATCACTGCGTGTTTTATATCCTTTATATTCTTTTATATCCTTTTATCTTTTTTAAACAAAAAAGTATCAACCATCTATTAACATACATCTATTTACCTATCCGAATGTAGTTACTTATCGCTTTTTTTTAAATTTTACTCTACAATATTCTACAGTCCATCAACAATCCAGAATTTCAATCTTCAACTTTATTTTCGAAAAGTAAATTTATGTTGCTATAATTAGGTGGTGCTAGCGACTCATCTATGCTTCTACTGCAAATTATTTCTTGTCAAAAACTTCACTTACTAGCCAGATACTAACCAGATGAGCTAGCCCAAACATAAATGGTGAGCGCTAACCACTTACTTTTAGATTGCTATAAACGATTGTGAAGGTATTGGAGATGAGATTTTTTACTCGTTAGCTTCAGTTCAACATATGATGAGAAGTATATCGGTACAGGGATGCTTCAATATAACTAGGTATTAATATTAATCGATTTCCACTTACGAACCGATAAATGGATGAAATATTAAATTAATTACAAAACTTTCCATATAATGTCAAAACAAAAAAAACTCTAAATTTCAGCCAAGGTGTCGCTTTACTTGCACTTATGAAAAAGTTGCTTGAGCTTCGTGAACTCGATTTAAGTCACAACAGGAACATTAATGATTTAGCTATATTGTCAATATACAATGGAATGCAAATGCGAAAATACGAAAAAACTTTGGAAAAAAAACGGGTCAACAAATCAAAGAAAAAAATATCGAAAAATTTGGATGGGGAAAATCTACCTATGGTAGGTCCTATTATCCTAAATAAAATGAAGCTCATGAAAATGAAAACGGCAAAACGTGGTAGAAAAACGTGAAAAAAGCATAAAAAATTTTCATACCTTTTGGCAATCCTATCAAATGATACTAACATTTATCAAAAAACAAGTTTACCGTTGAAAAAAAATGGGGCGAAAACCCAAATATCCATCATTTCAGTTAACCATCTATGTCTTTAAAACAAGTTTATCACCGAATATAGAAGAACGCGTTGCTGATATGATAATTCTTATAGATTGATTTGCATTACATGGTGCTACTATTGTTGATTTATATTTTATGATTGCAATAAATAATTAGACCACCGAATTTATTAAAAAATTTCAACTGCTCGCATTTTTTCCCAAATTCTTCAAAAACAAACGAAGGAAAAAAATGTGAATGAAAGAAACAATCCTTTTTCTGAATAATTGAAAATATATATCCATGCTAATTTTTACACGAAATTTACCTGTACAAGATCACCAACGAATTGTTGTTGCGCGTATGCTCGAAATTGATGATGTGTTTGCTGATTCAGAGCCTCCTGGATTTGCCTTCTTAAAATAATGCCATAAGAAATAAGTGGATCGAACTTTAAAAAATCAAAAAAGAGTTCATTAACTCAAACAATAACTTTTAAAAAAATAAAAAGCAAGACGAAAAAAAGATATGAAACCCATCGATTAAGAAATATCTATATTTTAAGGATAAAATTATCTACCTTATCTTAATAAAGACTGATTGTAACTAGAAAATAACTGATTAAAATCCGCCTACAAAGATACGTTTCTAAGGTAACTTAGACAAGTTTTTTCTTTTTCATTAAAATGAAAAAATTTCATTTTAAGTAAATTTATTATGAAATAGAATAAATAAAATTAAATATTTTACCATTAGCAACGAAAATAATTCGCAAGCAAATGGTTTATTAACAAACACCGATTATTAAGAAGCAAGGTAACCGAGTGGTGGTTGCAGCTCACATTATCATCTAGAGAGTTCTGATCCTGTTTGCGATAAGAATGAAAACGCCAATGAAAAATCGGGGTGGCACTGACGACCCACTTAAACTATCACCATATGTAACTAACAAAGTTCCTAATACTAAGAATGAGCCTAACAGAAATGACGAGTTCTAACTACTTACAAATGCACATTTCAAGCCTCATCCCCTGAAGAAAGAATAGTAGCAATTCGTTAAACACTAGTTTTTAATATTTTCTTTTCATTAACATTGCTTTTTTAATGCAGAAAAATTTTCACACCTTGATAAATGTTTTTTAAAAATGAATTTATAAAATAAAATTCGAAAAATTTGTGGATGTTCAACCAATCACAAAAAATAACCTTTGCGCATCATATCTCTCAATATCATAAACTGATGGTCCCCTTGACTGTTGCTGTGCATCAAAATGTTTATCAGCACATTCGATCTGACTGAAAATAAAATTTTAAAAAATTGGTAAAACAAACCTAAAAAAATGTTGGATCACCCTGAAAATTAATGCCAATTTTCGACAAACAGGATTGGAAAATAAAGATATAGAAGTAGTCGAAAGATATAAGTACCCTTTCCTCTACAATATTCAACGATAGAATGTATAATGTACATAGCTTGTCGGCACACAAGAGGTGTACAAATTAGTCCAGAACATTGAATCATAGAATACGCTGATGTAGTCCTTTTTGCTACTAGTTATGACGAAATGTAAATAATCCTAAACAAGGTGTCGGCAACTGTAGCAAAAAAGGATTCAGGGTCAATTTAAATAAAATGAAAGCCTTTTCGTCTTATGTACAAGATGCTGATAAAATGCCTCTTTTTATAAATTCATTGCCGGTTGAGGAAGTGCCCGATTTCAAATACCTTGGATCCACTCTAATAACAAATGGTCAAGCAAAAGACGAAATTAAAATATGGTTGATGGCAGCTAGAAATGCGTTCTTCCGATTGACGGAACCTTTATGGAACTATCGCGAAATCACCATAAAAACTAAAGTTCACGTCTATATAGTCGCCATTTTTTCGATTTTGCTATATGGCTGCAAAACATGGCCAATGAGAGGAGAAGATATTATGAAGCCATTTATCTTTGACCATTCATGTCTTATGCGATTTATCGATTCCAGCTGGCCTTGTATCTTTTCGAAAATAAGACAAAAAAAAAATAAAAAGCAAATTTTTGGCCCTTCATGATTTTCCATTATTGGAAAGGTAGAAATACCCCATAAATGACAAACATAGTAGATTTGAGCAGTATACAATGTTTTATCCACTTAAAACTTATGACTGAATATTAAAAGACAAGAATGCATCAAGATCAGACAAAGCCTTAACGATAAGCACACTGAGGCAATCATCGAAAATAGCTTAAAATATAGGGCGCAAAATTTAGAAATACTATGCAGAAATAGAAACAGAAATATTTAGAAATAGAAATATATAAAAATAATAGCCGATGATCATATTAGTATAAAATAACATATTTAATGAGCAACCAGCAAACACAATGAAAAAACTTTTTGACGCTAATAAAGAAAAATGACTAGTTTACAATAAACAACAATGCCAAAAAATCCTGACAATATAAGCGAATCACTATTAATTATTTCTGAAGCCCCAAAAAACATAATTTCATATGGAGTGAAATGGGTAGAAATTCCCACCAAATAACCAACCGATAAATTTGGACAAATATTACTGGACTGACGAAACCAGCAACATTTGAAAAAACTTGTTTCAAATTTGTTAATATGAAGAGCCCTTTGTTTTTTTCAGATTCTATATCGATCACCCTATAAAAATTGCACAAGCACAGCTAGCATTACAAATGTTCTTTTATTCAACAAGCATCACATAACATTACCATTTTCTTAAGTGCCTGCGAATCCCATTTTGCAAATAACTAAACTCATTGGACTAAAAAACAACCTTTAGAAATAAATCATCGAGAAACCAAACAATGACTTGAATGAAAAATAGTGAAAGGTTGTGAAATAAAACAATGCGTTTTCAAAACTGAGAATGAATTTTTTCTTAAAAATCTTAACACTGGAACAATTTCCTCTACCCGACCTTTTAAAGAAAAAAAGAGAAGTGTTAAAGAATAATATATCATAAAGGAAAGACTTGCAACACATCAATTAACATAATAAACCGCTTGAACTAAAGATGGACGTTTAATTACGATATTTTCAACAATCTTCTATACATATTCAATTTTTCAATGATATTTAATATCTTAAACAAATAAATACCACCTACAAATACCATATACCATATCCCACCACAACAAATGTCATAATTTTACCCTTTTCTTTCCCAATTAAGAAATTAAATTCCATAATTTTTACAAATGCTAAAAATTGAATTAAGTCGAAGAACTTATCGATTTTGCCTATTTTCCATGAAATGTTTAATATTATTTGCATGCTCTTCTTCAATAAAACTAATAATCTCAAGGAAGGAAAATATTTTCTTGAAAGAACGAGCACCAAAGAGCACCAAAGAGCCCTAAAGAGCACCAAAAATTCATTTTTTATCGAATATAATTCCTTCCATGAAATAAAAAAAAGAATAAAAATTTATCATCAAGAAAAAATCTATGTGGTTAGCGCTCACCATTTCTGATGAGGCTTGCTTCACTGGCCATTTACCTGGAAATTTTTGTCATGGAGTTACTTATGGAAGCACAGGTGATTCCCCAGCATTATCAGGCAAATTTATAAAATATCTTCCATAGTTACAAAAAATTATTTCAAGGAACTTTCCCATTAATTCACAAAACAAGATTTGAAAAAAACGAAGTTTTTTTCATTCATAAAATTATTTTCTTGCTTGGATATGTAATAAAGCTTTTGCTATCTTCAATTAAATGTAGTATAATTGTAACGTGATTATTTCGACATGAGCTAAAATTTAAAAAAAAAGACTAAAGCAATACCTCGGAAATCTCCTTATAGACGATATTAAAAATTAGCAAATTCACAATCCTTGCAAAAAATTTCTCTTGAAAATAAAAAATAAAAGCAACTTTTATACCTATCTTATGATAATAAACTTATAATAAACCAGCTAATTATTAGCTCAAATATTACCTTTCTGAGTTCTTTTTTTGTGATTGCACATAATCATTGATGAAATCTCGAAACGGCGGACATACGCTATCTAATAACGAAACAAATCCTGACATCGCATCTGTTACACTTAAATAACCTAACTTTTTCCACACTTTCCTGAAATATACTATTTCATAATGAAGACAAAATTAGTAAAAGCTGTAACATTCTTATTTATATACACATTCAATGATTTTATGCGAAAAAATATTGAGTTTAAACACTAAAATCTTTCGATTAACATCTAAAATTCAATAAATGGTAAAATCAGATAAAATAACGTCGGCATTTTGCACCATAATTCAATTCAAAAACCATTCAAAAACCAAAATTCAGACAAAAAAGAAATTTTAAATTCAGCTGATTTTACTCAATCTCACAAAGCATTAGATATACAATATCTTTAAAAATAATTTTTCCGTTCGAATAATGGAAATGGTCCGATCTCTTGACAGTAAAAAATAAAAATGAAGAACGAAAATCTCCTTAATAAAAATGAAGTTCGGGTGGTACTAGAAACCCAATTATTCTTATTCCTCAGGCAAACAGGCAATACCCTAGTGACTAAATGAACCAGCTAAACCAGAAGAAGCGAATGCAATTTTAAAAAAATGTCAACCATGGCAAAAATAATTATATGGGACTGACTGCCTTCATTAATTGAATTAATATTGTTATTATGAAATTGTCTTATAAATAATATTCTTTCCTTTAAATGTTAAACCCAAAGGTAATCCCATTCCGGTAAAAATGCGAATAAAAATGTTCCAACTTTTCAACTGGATTCTATAAAAATACTTCCGTAATTTCAATTCGTTATATCTCGCTAAATTTGAAATGAAATTGATAAAATTGAAATACATAAAATTTATGGTACTACACAAAGTTTAAATAAAAATAAGACCATTTTCAATTTTTCTAATAAATTGTGAGCATAAATTAAATAGATTATTTAAGACGTTATTAATCAAAATTTTGTTCTATTTGAAGAATACCTTAAGACTCCGATTTTTGTCCACTTTCTAAATTTTTATATGGGTGAATAATGAGCTCTATAATACAATTATGGGCAAAATCAATGCCTCATGAACTTTAACAAAAAAATCTTCGACCTTATTTTCCTAATGATTAATGCTAATCGCTTCTAGTCAATCTTGTTCCACTCGCTATTAATAGGTTGAGAAATTTCTGCAACGGAGAAATTTGAGAAGTGGTCCTCAACCTAAGCCAGATTTTTGATAAGAAGTTTATTCAGCTAGAACATGGGGGACCTGAACGTTCGAGACGATAACCTTAGTAATAACCATTCGTATATCCAGCTCTGATTTAAGCAGTAGACTTAAGTCTTAATTAATTTTTGGTAAATTCTTAATTCAAAGAAACATGAATTTATCGCCTAATATTTATCAATATTGCTGTCACTACAAACTAATAAACTGCCGAATAAATTCTAAAATTCTTAAAGCCTTATATTAAAAACCAAGTAAAAAACAAATCAATTTTAAGAATTTAAAGAAAAGATATTGAAAACTGAAAAATATGAAGAAATAATCAAAGGGGTGAAAAAGAGAATCTTTCCTTTTCACGAAAAACTACAAATTTTATTTTGGCAAATTTTTAATAAATTTATATTAAATTTAAATCCAAAAATATCTTCGAAAGTTCCCAAATTCTTTCGAAGTCATGAAAAAAAACAAAATAAGAAGCCAAAAAAACTCAAAAATCTCATTTCACTCATACAATTTCGATAATCAAATCACAAATAATTTAACAAAAATTTAAATCTAAAAAATTCTCCTTTCCTTGATTTAGATTTAGAATACAATGAAGTTTAATTAGCTTATAATATAAGCGTAACTTTAAGCTAACCACATCAGTCACTAATTATTTTTATGAAATAGTATCAATAAACAGGAAAAAAATTGAGAACGAAACCCTCGGGCACGAACGAATCGCTGAGTAAATAACGCAATATCAGCCAAAAATAATTCTATATATTTGAAAAAAAAAGCTTCCTTCATTACAGAAAAATATTTTTTTTTATTTTCTTTTATGTTCTGCAATAAAATCATCAAGAATCCCAATGAATTTACCTAAAAATTTAAAATTTAAGGTGATGTGAATAAATTCAGTCAACACAAAAGTAAACGTTCACCATCTTCAGTTTGGCTCGTCCCACTGTTCATACGATAAATTTCAAGTGAGCCATTTGAAGAGAGAAGTAAAAGTGAATCAAAAGTACCACCGAGATTTTCGAACGACAGGTCAACTCAAACCCCTTCCTCTCAATACAACAGTACTATTTATGTAATTTAGATCCAGAGGAGTTATAGCGGAAAACATTTCAAGCAAATAAATCTGAAAATGAGATTAAAATTCAAAATCCCCCTAAACTACTACAACTAATCCTACAGTACTCTCTATCAATCTCCTAAGACAAATATTTATCCTATGCATAATATATTGGTGACGCAAAAACGCTAATTTAATTTTGTAGGCCAACCCATCCACCTAGTAAATGATTGCTCTTCCTCGACAAGCATGACAAGCAAGCATAAATAAAAATATTTTTTATTCAATAAAAATTTCTTAGCAATAATTCTTTCAATTTTCGCTAATTAAATCAAATTCTTTCCCATTATTAGCATTCTTGATAATAAACAATTTTTTTTTTTTAGAGTCCTCACCATTATTGGTTAAACTCACTCCGCTAGCTCGTCGCACTGGACAAGGAGTCAGGGATGCCAGGGAGTCCTTTGGCGATAGAAGCACAAGTAAGCAGCCAGCATTACTCGGACTTTTGGACAGGTTTACTCCTGTGGGAAAGGAAACCTCAGCATCGACACTCCGAATTCACCAAAAACCCACTGAGCCATTCTATCCCTTAATAAACAATATTGCTTTAATCAATCAAAATTTCAACCAAACAATGCGAGTAAATGCAAAAGATTAACAAAAATTATTTAAAATAAAAATATAAAAGATTAATAAATCCTAAAAAATCATAAAAAGCGATCCCTCAGAATTATAAATAAAAAATATTAGCTAGTTATTTTAGAGAAAAATTCAATCTTCATTTCCCCTAAAAAAACCAAAAAACCAATTGTTCAGTAAAGCAAATTAACTTTTTTCTCTCTTAAAAAATGATTATCACTTAACCACAAATGCTATAAATCATTATAGCCGTTTTCGCAATGGCTTAAATAAGTTTGAGCCCAATTTTGAAAAATTTATTTTAACAAACTAGTTAGAAGTAAAATTATTAATGAAAGAAATTACTAAAATTATTGATAATCAATTTCCATTTCGCATACTGTACAACCGCTTTATGTATTTTTATCAAAATTTTCTTTCTTTTTTTTGACAGCTCTCACCATTACTGGTTAACCTGGCTATAAGAGTAAGACGTCTCCAAACTGCGCGATCTGACGCCATCGTCGATAGTAATAGAAACCATTCCTTTTTCCATTGTCTAAATCCATATACAATGCTGACCCACCTGAGTTCAAAATCTTTCCTGACCGTGTCAATTCGGGATTCGATCGGCCCCATCTTGCTTTTGACGCCATCCAGAATTTAGCAAATAACGAAATATGAATCAACTCTTGAGGTGGGTGACGAAGAAGGTGCCAAAATGAAGACGACGCCTGTGATGATATTATTAATGCAGGTATTTGAGCGAAGGTGGATACAGTTATGTAAGATTTTATCCACTTGGCAGACCCATAAAATTTATCCTAGAGGGGTCAAAGGAAGAAAACTTTTTAATATCCTCCACTTTCATTGATCATGTATCGAAATCACGTAGCAAGATCGCGTGAGCTTTATAAGACGCGGACTTTCGTTTTTATGAGTTTGCGACGACTCCATAAAGATTCTAATCAGAAGAACGTATTTCTAGGTAGCATTTTTAACATTTTATCATAACATTTTTAAAGTATGGCATTTTCCCAATAGGTATAAAATATAATATGTAAGTATTTTATCAGTTTCTTATATATAAGATTAAAAGACTTTTGTTTCATCCACATTGATCCTCAAAATTTTCCCTAATACATTAAGCAAAAAAATTCTCTGAAAACTGTATGATCTCACAAACCATTTTTAAATCTTAATCTATTATGGAATCTTCAGATTCCACTATTCTCCATCTTAAAGCTTATTTCTGCAATATCAAAACCAACAATCGTCATTTTCTATAATTTAATGAAAGAAAATCGGAATTCCTTTTATACAGACGGTCTCGCCTAAAAGGTCTCCCGTTTTATATCAAATTCATATTACAAATATATTTAAAAAGGAAAATAAAATGTGAGAAGGGATTTTAAAAAAATCTCGACAAATTAATAGAGTTTTGATCCAAAAAAATTTCTGAAACATAACCAAAATAAAAAGTTTCAGCCTAAATGAAGTATGAATATAATAAAAGCAATTAGTTTAAAAAAAATAAAATAAAATGCATGGAAAAAAAATTCTATGAAAATTCCTATGATTTGATCTTGAGCAGTTGTATCGTGATTCCGAAATTATTTCTTTCGAAATATTTTCTAGAACTTTCTAAAACTTCGAGCTAAGTCTTTTTTTGCTTTTCTTTTTTCTTTTTCCTAATAAAAAATAAAAAAACAAGCAAAGAACTGAAATAAATATATGTATATATATATATATATATATAAAATTTATATCATAAAATAATAAAAAATAACTATGTCTGCCTTTGACATGAGTAAACCTTTCATATCAAAAACCCAGGTGGTTGCTGAGGACTCTCCTGTGGCTCTATCCCCAAGAGACTATGGTGAAAGGTCAGATATACTTGATACGGCGTCCCCCAACGCGCATGATACTCCCAGCCCGATGGTACACGCGATAACTGTACAATCCGGGCTTAAAGCGATCCCAAGGCTAGTAAATAAATAAAATGTGCTCGCAAGCCAGAGTAATTGCTCGAAACCTATCAAGGGGAAATGCACACTCTGCACGCACGGCGAAGTATTAGCCGTATCAGCGCGGAACGTCAGAACGCTTATGGACGTTGCAAGTCAAGCGATCATTGTCCACACCCTTTCTAAATATCGTGTGGATATTGCTTGTTGGACGTCCGTCTTCCTCACTTCGGGTCTCGAGTAATTACTAATCCTGTTCGGAGCAGAGATACTGGCTATATCACTGTGATGCTCACTCTGGACGAAATGGCGTAGCGAATGTCATCATGTCTGACAAGGCCCATTCCGCTTTGATTGAGTGGGAACCGGTAAGCGACCGTATGGTGTATGTCCGTTTTAAGAATAAGTTCTGCAATATCTCGGACATCAGTGTCTACGCTCCAACTTTGTTTGTAGATGACCGTGATAAAGATAAATTCTATGTGGAACTTTAACAAAGTCACTGTTGCCGAAACATGACATGGTTATAATCGGGGGAGACTAGAATACGCGCGTAGGGTCATAATGCCGCTGCGATGACTTCGACAATTGGCAAATATGGCATCGGAGACAGGTGCACCAATGATGAACACCTCGTTATGAAGTTTTTATTACTAATACTTGCTTCCAGCATCGTATATACAACATCTAGTCACGCGGAACTCCTCGGACAACCAACACTTCAACCAGATTGATTATATTTTAGTCAGTCGCCATTAGAAGAATCCCGTACTAGATAGTCGTTCCCATTGCGGAGATGAAACATCTTCATGGATCTGACCATGTTATGATTTGAGCCAAGATCTGCATAAAATTGACAACTTGCAGGAAACAGCCCAAGACCAAGACCCTTCAATTATCTCAAACTAAAAAATTCGGAGCGCATTTCAAACCGAATTATTGAAGCATCTCAGTGATACAAATATCAATTGATTTTTCTGGAACGGCAAATGAATACTAGTTCAAACTGAAGAAATGTCTCCGAAAGTCAACCACTTCCACGCTAGGGCATACTAGTAGGAAGTGTGCTACTTGGGTATCGAAGTATCGGAAGCAACTGTCCAACTGAAAAAGCTACCAAAGCACGAATGTCAGGTGATCCTGACTACCCGGCGTTTCGAAGATTTGCAATGAAAGCAGCACAGCAGGACAGAAATCACTATTGGAGTGACCTTGCCTTGAGAATGGAGCGGATCGATTAGACGATAATAAGAAACTATTCTGCCTTCTTTATAAAGCAACAATGACTCGGAAAACGATCAGTGAAATGGTAAGGGACAGCAATGGCGTACAAATCAAAAGTATTAAGGATCGCTTCCTAAGACGGAAAGAATTCTTTGAAGCCAAACTTAACCAAGAAGCGCCATCTGTTGCCCCTGATATAGCTGATACGTTTGCCCAAGCATACGTTTGCAATTGCGAGCCTCCAACATAAGAAGAAATAATTTCCATCATCCATAAAGTTAAAGCCAATAAAACTCCAGAAGAAGATGGTCTTCAGGCTGAGTTTTTCAAAAGTTGTCCATGGTCCTTCATAACGCACCTTCAAGAAATATACTCTAGTATGGAAAAAAGAAATATTACCAGATGACTGGAGCAAAGCAATTCTGCTCCAAATTCTCAAGTTGACAGGACATACTGCGACAATTATCGAGGAATCAGCCTACCAGACGTCTCAGCAAAAATTTTTGCTTTCCTGCTACTCAACACTTATGGAAGTACGGGACATCAAGATGCGTCCTATCAAGCTGGTTTCAGACCAGGGAGCAATTGTGCTGACCAGATATTCACGTTAAGAAGGGTGTTGGAACATCGCTTCATTTGCAGCCCACTGCCACGTGTTTCATCAACTTTCCACCTGCTTTCGATTCGATTGATAGAGCAGTGCTCTGGAAAATGAGGAAATGTGACGGTGTCCCAGAGAAGATCATTTGGCTCATAAAGGCATTTTATGAGCTCACGTTGGCAGGTCTGTGTATATGAGGAGCTGATAGACTCCTTGGAAATAAGAACTGCGATATGTGATAAACTGGATAATGGACACCGCCTGTCGGCACTCAAGAGGTGTCCAAATCGTATCACAGATCTTGAATAGTCCTTTTTGCTAACAATTATAACGAAATGCAAGTACATTTATATAGCCGTGATCCGTTCGAGCTTGCTATATAGTTCTGAGACATGGCCAATGAGAGTAGAGGATATTAAGAAGTTTTCTGCCTTTGACCACTCTTGTCTAAGGTACATGTTACGGGTCTATTGGGCGGATAAAATATCGCATGACTGCATCCACTTTCGTTCATATAGCACTTATATTAATAATGTTATCACAGAGCATCGCCTTCGCTGGTTAGGGCACATTCTCCATCGTCCCCCACAGGGGTTGACGCATATCTCGTTACTTGCTAAGCGGTGCGATGATGGTTGGCGTCAAAAGCGAGATGGACTATGATACGGTCAGAAAAGATTTTGAACATATCGGTGGACCAGCAATGGATTTAGGCGATGGAAAAAGGAATGGCTTCTATTACTGTCGACGATAGCATCAGATCGCGCAGCTTGGAAACGTCTTACCCTTATAGCCGTTGCAGCCAGTCTAACCAGTAATGATAAGAGCTATTAGAAGAAGAAGATGAAAATTCCTAAGAAATTCATTCCCAAGAATACAAAACTCTATTATTGCGACAGATTTATGAGACGCAAAGAAAAGTTATGTAGTAAAAATAGTAAAAAATCCAATCAAATTTTCATTCAGAAAGAAAATCCAACTCATCACGAATCTTATTTCATAATATGTAAAAATATGCAATATGAAAAAATTAAAAAAGAAACAAAAACTATGAAAACATTTAGTGATAAAATTATTTTAAATAATTCATGAACAAATGCATTTAAAAAAATTTCTTCCCAATTTTGATCAATATTTCATAATCTAAGAAATTATTAGCCGTTACCTCAGTTTTTTCCTCTAGCTATTAAAATTTCGCCAAAAAATTTCATTAATTTCCAAATGAACTGCATAACCTCAATTAAAGAAATTCTATCTCTAAAATCTATTTAAAAAATATACTGATTTGAAAAACATTTCATTAAACAAGCACCTAAAAAAAGTTTCACATAAACGGAATACAATATTTCTGACTTTCAAGAATTTTACTTATTTTTTTTCAAAAATTTATATTTAATGATTTTTGAAGAGAATAAAGCCTTTCATTTTAACTGTTTAGAAAAGCATCAATGAATATCAAGTAATGAATGAAAAGAATTTTAGAAAATTTAATAAACAAAATTGATCAATAACTAGATAAAAATATTTTCAAAATCTATTTTATCTAAAAATCTGTTTCACATTAAATATAAAAATACTAGAATCCCGAAAATAAATTCTGTGTTTTCTCGACCTTATAATCTAATGAACGGCTTAAAATTAATGCCATATTACCATTTATTGAATGCCATCCACAAAACAACGATAAGAACTTCGCTAAAATCAAATTTTCAAACCATATACGATATGCTAAGAATACTCTCGGATCATATATTTGAAAGTTTTCACTTCCAAACGATAACCAAAATAAAAACCAAAACGTTAATTTGTTACACATCTAGAAAAAATTCTCTTTGCTAATTATTCACTTTCATTTTAATAAAAACTATTAAAACTAACTATTTGATTTCATAATTTCACACTACAGAATCGATTGAATTGCTCACAAAACAGAAATGACAAGACTTTTCTCAAAAAATCAAATCTATTTGATTTAATTTAATAGTATTCAAATTTGCACAAAAAATCAACGTGTTAGCTTAAAATATATCAAACAGATGAAAAAACTGGAATAAAAACTAACGCTCGATCATTTCCAACAAGATCGAACCAACCGGAATCATCAGCTTCTTCATTATATGGACCTAAACGAATCTGTTTCGATAATGCCATAAATTGAAGACGTGTTTCATATGACAATAGAAGTTCGCCAAGCTTTTCCTTTTCTTAAAGAATTAAATTACCAAAAATAGAACTGTTTTATTTAATGACATTTTCATTTGAAATCTAGATTTATGGTCGATGAAATATTTCGCAAATTCCAGGAAAATTTGAAATCTCTCGAAAATTTGGAATGAGTTTTTCCATATGCAGCGATCATAAAATGAAAATAAAACAAAGTAATCGACGAATAAATATGAATAAATACATAGCAGCTTAACGCCTTAACTACTTATGCTCAAAAATACTGCTTCCAATACGGTACGCTATGAATTCTCTCAGACCATAAGAAGGGTCCACTTGATTTTTTTATATTTGGCACTCGTCATCAAATATTACATCACGCTTAAATATAAAAATGAAATGAAAAAGATGATCTGAGATAAATAAAGAAAGTACTGGTAAGGAAAATGATGAGTGGTGCAATGCAGGAGCGAAAAAAAATCGAAAGAGTACTAAAGAGCATTAATAAAAGAAAATTCGGGGATAAAAGGAGTAAATTAAATAAGGAATTTTTATGACGATAGCAAAAGAGATTAAGACTTTGATTCTGTCTATGGTGCAATATAAGAATATTTCAAAATACAGATACCTTCTATGGCAGCTTAATAGAACCTTCAAGGGGCATTATAGCGCAGCAGATAGTGATTAACGAGTTGAAAGGGTTCCGCTAATAGCCTCATGACGCTAGCAAATCTGTCATTAAAAAATTCGGGTGGTGCTGGCGACCCATTTATACCGAATATAGCTGATTCTCCGACAAAAATTTTCAACTCTACGAAGGGACTAGCCTAATCACAAGTGGAGAGAGCTAACTATTTATTTAGATTTATAACAATAAAAAAAGCTTATAACCAATGGTCTTGAAAACAATATTGAAAAATTCGCCAGCATTCTTTACTTAAAATTCCTAAAAATTCCTTTAAGAATAATTGAATAATTATTTTATTAAAACTTAATTTTAATAAAAAATTTTAGAAATCTGTAAAAACTAATAAACCTCGATAGTATTTCGCTGCAAGCTGATAAACATTTTCTAACGGTAAACCAAACTGATTTTGAATTAAAGCGCTTTCCTCAACAATTTCATAGTTATTCGTTCCTTTTTCACTAACCATTTTCTGAAAATATTTTCTAGTCTTAAAAAAAGTGCCAATTCTTAAAGTTTTAATTATATAAAACATTCGAGAGAGGAAGTTTTAGGTGCAGAAAACTCCATGTACTTTGTGGACCATAAGGATTATAGACTTCCAGCAATACGAGGGACCCTCAAACTTATAACACGACTTCAAACATGGTCAATTACCAACGATCTTCGAGCGAATAACAACGACTCGCCACAAACCAACAAATATCACTCCAACGATTAAGCTGCATTTTCCTAGAACTCGGCCTCCGGAAAATAAGTTCACGATACGGCCAGTTTCCTTGTAGAAGTGAGACTTTAAGTGTATATTTCGCTGAGAATATGGTATAAGCAAGCTTTGAACGACGCGTAGCTGCATATTATGCTTACTAAATTATGGATATAATCACAGATAGATAAATATACGTCTAAATGTGATTTTAGAATCACAAAAGTGAAGGAAAATTTGCTTCGTCGGTATCTTTATTAGGCAATGGTTTCATTTTGTGATATAGTCAGATGCACTCGAATGCCCAAAAAATTTTTGCTCATAGTTAGTTTTCCCTTCCCTGCCGAGAAAAGACCAGTAACTTTCGGCAAAAGACCCACTGTTTTCGGCGATAAGATTGAGGCGATAGGTATTGCAAATAAGTAGGCCAGAGCCGCGTTTTTTCTCCTTGCTGCAGCTCTCAATATTTTCACGATTTTTGCTGGTTTTGGTTGTTCCGAGATTTGGTGATCTATTTTTGGATTGTTGTGGTAGGATGTGCATGCTTTTAATCAATTGGGAAAGGCAAGGCCGACTGCAGATAAGTAATTCGTTACTTTGATTAACGTCAAGAATTATGAGCATGAATCATCTCTGTTGGCGCGGTGCAAACATTGCCATTAAAAGTAAAATCATTCCCGATGGAACTCGTTTTTATTTGTCATTCTATGACGAAAATCTTCTAGCGGACCCAGCCAAATCAGGGTTAGTGAGTGGTGTTGCAAGGCGAAGGCGGCAAATGCTGGAGCAAACTGGCTAAGATAAAAAATTCGCTATTCCACATTCACCAATCGTGTGATCCTCAGTTTCACCTTATCCTATTAGGTATCAGATAGGTAGGCTTCTGTAATCATATTCTATTGTCACATGTTTATTAGGAACCATCTTAAGTAACTCTGGATGCAGGAGTATTGTGAAAAAATCTCCCAGAATTTTAAATCTGAATCTTCAAAACGATTCGGATAACTTCCTTCTTAACGTGTGTGAAATATTCGTTTGTCCACGTCTAGAAAAGAACGTAATTTTTTCACACTTATGTTCAATTAAACCAATTATTCTCTAACTCTTAATTAATTCTCTTAATTAAACCAATTAAGAGCTTGCAGAAATAATTCTTGCGCATCATAAACCTGCATGCTTCATCAAATTATAAAACCAGATTAAATTTACATTCACTTAGGATCGCATCGTTCAGATGAATTAAGAATTTCACTTGCAAAATTGTGATAATTATTTTGAGTTCTGTTCTTTAATGTTAATGTTTACGTTCATTTTTTTTCTAAGAGCCTCACCATCTCGATTAGACTCGATCAGCTGGCTTGTCGTATTGAGCAATATGCCAGGATGTCACTTGGCGATAAAAATGCAGGTGAGTCGGTCGCCAGCATCACCCAGTTTTTTAAAAGGGTTTACTCCTTCAAGGAATAGGACTTCAGCATCGGGGCTCTGGATTGAGCAAAAACAAACTGAGACATACTACCAATGTTAATGCCACTAGGGTTGAGGTTACGAAAACGGATTGAGGTTGCGGAAACTTTCCATGTCCTTTGCCCATACCTTCATTATGGAATATATTATTTATTTATTGGTGACATTTTTCTTCCTCCGTCTTCATCCTCCGAATTTGTATGTCATGGCATCATTAAAACTGAAAATTTCAATCCTTCATCAGGATTCGTACTATATATTGTTAGATATATTGAAGATATATTGTTAGTATATTCTACGTTTTAGCTGGTTTCACTTTTATTTTTCACAGTTTTTTGTCGTGAACAGCAGAGTTCGTCCTATGCGTCAACTTAGGTTTTTTTATCATATAACTTTCCTTAACTTACATATCTTCTGTTTATTATGTTTTTTCTATAGTCACATCGAACGAGATAAATTTTGCCAAGGACTTGGCAATAGAAGTACAGGTGAAACGGTAATATCACACGTATTTTTAAAGCATAGTTTTACTCCTGGCTGATGTAGAAGTCCCAGCGTCAGTGGTCCCAAATGAGAAACCTACTAAACCATTTTATCCCATTTTGCTTTCGTCGTTCGACAGTGTGCTACTCAGGGGAACGTGCTGCTCGACCATATTGAGCTCGAACTGTTTTCGACTTTCATTGGTTACCAGCTTACCACTAAGACACCAATGCACTTTTTTTTATTGCAAGGCAAATTTTGCCTTGCCTGGTTTTTTTCTTTTCTTAAATAAATAAACGAATTGTCGATAGAATGCCAAAATCGAATAAAAATTCTTATGTTGTTTGTTGTTTTTTACTATAATATTTTACTTTTTTAGTTCCTGTTACGATATGGAAGTGATAAATTTCATAAAAGTGACAGGAAAACTTATAAAACAAGCTGGAAAAACCATTATGAATTCTAGATCACCCGTTCCGCCAACGAAGATTCATCCTTTAATGCCAATAGTTCCTCGCACCATTGGAGAAATGGTTTTTTTTATATAAATTTTTTTTAAAATGATTTTTGGTGTTTATCGGTTAGTTGATCCAGGGTAAAAGCCTGTGTCATACCAAATATTTGCTTGCTTTTTCCTTTTTCTCTTCTTTCCATTTCTTTATCTATACTTCCTGCTTCCTTCCTCGAATTTTTTTGTCAACTATGGTCTTATTATTTGTTATCTTCCATCAGTTTAATTTCCCATCAGTATTATTTCATCGTGATTTATGTTGCTGCACTTTGTTCATATGGTATCTGCTCGCTAGTGGTTTTTTTTTAAAAAATAAGAGGCATATAAGAGGTAAAGATAAGACAAAAACTGCTTAATTTTTTATTTTCATTCATTTCGGTTGGTATTTTATCACAGCCATCTGCTTAAATTTAGTCGATATTTATAGGGTAATAAATTTCAGATATGTTAATGTATTTAATATTCTTAACACTGAAGGTAGATAACTTATCAAATTCATATTTAAAATATTTTTTTCAACAGTTTAGCAGTTTCATTATAGCAAAATATAATTTAATTTTATACCTTCATAAATAGCAAAGGTTAATGAACAAGGTTAATGCTAATGCTTAAACATTGGATGATGCTGGTAACCCACCTTTGTTTCTTTCTTCATGTAACTGCCTGGCAGTGAAGGAAGTATTATTGCTTTAGTAGCCAGTGAAGCCAGCGAAAATCGGAATTTTGAGCACTTTTAGGAGAATATTCAAACAAGAAACAACTTAGCTTAACAATAACTTGTTCATTAATTTTCATTAAAGGGTTATTCATTCATTATAAGAAACAACTATAACAACAACAGAATAACGAACAACAACATGAAAATTTATAATAATTTTAAAAAAATCTTGTCGGTGCTTTTGACGAATTTTTTATTCATAAAATTGCCATTTGTAGATTCGAGGATATCCATGGAGATATAACTTCAAATATACGGAATTATCATTTTGGGTATTAGGAGCGTTCTCATTTTTTTTCATATGGAAATTCCTTGGTAAATTTTTTGTTTCGGTTTTCGTTAAATTCATAGTTTTGAAGGAATGAGGAATGCTTTTCATTGCTTTTCATTGATAAAATGTTTAGGTGCTTTATTATAAGAAAGGGCTGTATTTTTTTATGAATGCCGTTTTTTGTGTGATTTTTTATGCATAATACTATAGTTTTTTAATTTCATTAGCTCAGTAACGTAAATTTCAGTGCGACAGCGATATAAGAACGTGATTCTCCACAATAACCATTATATTCATTATGATGTACCGCTCTTACTTTTTGGTGGTGGTAAGAAACAAAAGATTCAGGATGAACTGTATTTCAAAAAATATTACCCACTGAAAAAAGAACACGCGTAAATCTTTTTTTTTTTTTATTCGTAATCTCTTCATTTGTTCAGTTAATAGTTCATTTATTGTTTGATTTAGTTTATTCCTGGTGTTTCTTCTTAATTGCGATAATACTGATATAAATCAATAAAATTTTTACTTAAAAATCTGTGTTAATTTATTTGAAATATGTTCATCAATGTTTCTAGTTATTTTCAATATTATAGCAATATTATAATTTACCTTTATTTTTTGTTTATTTTGGTTAATAACGCATAAAATGGATTGCAAAAAATTTTTTTGTAATTAAAATTCTGAAATTAACGAATAAAATAAGAGTTTGCACGCAATAATGGTGAAGGTTTAGAAGAGGGCATTGATTACTGACATTCTTTTCTTTTTTCCTTTTTCTTTTCCTTTTCCTTTTCTTTCTCAGAGAAACAGGTTTGATTGAAGTCGCATTGTGATTAAAAAGATGCATGATAAGTAATTTTTTTAGTAAATTAATAATAAGTTCATAACGGCTCATAAATTCGACATAATAAAATGTAAGATTTTAAGATGATAATTATAAATCAGGAATTGAATTGACATAGTTGTTCTGTAAAATTTTTTTAAAGAATCCTCACCATTACTGGTTAAACTCGCTCCGCTAGCTCGTCGCACTGAACAAATATGCCAGGGAGTCTCTTGGCGGTAGAAGTGCAGATGAGTCGCCGTCATCGCATGGGTTTTTGGGCAGGCTTATCTTGCGGGATACAATCTCTGCATAGGCACTCAAATTGAGCAACAATCCACTGAACCATTCTTCCACCAAGCACTGTGAAATAAGATTAAATCACTGCTATTAAAATCAATGGTGGATAATCTTAAAATGAATTTGAAAACCCCTCTTGGACTCGGTGCTAGAGACTGATTAGAACTATCAGAGGTGATGCTTGTGAATTGATGCCATTCTAGGTGGTTTTCATAAAACGATTCGAGTTCGAGAACAAAAAGTTATGGAAGTTAACGAATTTAAAGTTGAAACATTCATTTGAACCAATACTTCTTGAAGCTAATGCTTCGTTATCGATAGATTTTTTTGTCGTATTTGTTTTGCTTCATATATTTTATGATATATATATTTTTCACTGAATCATGTTCATGAGATTATGACAGAAAAGTAGTAATATCCTTATCATAATATCCTTTTCAGCTAGTAGTACCGTTTGAGAAATGTTTATTATAAAAAATAAATCGAGAGAGGAATCGAGAGATCTAGTGTGATGGATACAGAAAAGGACTAGTTAGGGAAGCAGAATTAAAAAGCAAAAGAATGGAAGTCAAGGAAAGGAAATGAAAGAATCCCAAAGGAGGAGATGGTAGGATATTGGTTCAAAGAATAAGTGAATGAAATTGAATCCCATACGTATAATAAAGTAGTGCAATATTTGGCGTATGAATTAAGATAAGTTAAGTACAGTTTAATAAAAATACAATTTTTTGAGGAAAATATGAACAGTGGCAGAAAAAATCATAGTTGAATGGAAGTTGAATGAAAATCGAAAAATAAAACGATTTATAAATGGCTCGCGAATGTTTGCATTAGGAAGCACAAATTTTTTTAAAGGATCATTTTATATCCTTTAGAAATTCCCGCCTGTATTTTTATCATGAAGTGGCTCTCGGGCGAAGAGGCCTCATTCCTAATAATTCATCCATTAAAATTCGGAGCGAATGCAATGCGTGCTTGGATTTTCACGTCGTGGACTCTTTTTGCACATAGGTTGCGGTATAATATCGATGTTCAATTCAGTTCAATATTCAATATTCAATTCAGTTCAATTCAATATTCAGGAAAAGTCGATTATCAAAATTTTGCTAAAGTATCTGTGAAAACTTTTGGAGTGATCAGAGATCAAAATATAAATTTGATATTGGGCTTAAATTCCACAGTGATTTTGCCGGGTAATGCCAGCAATCCACCTTCACTTCTATCATCGCGTGACTTTGTGGCGAAGAGACGCATTCACTCAATCAGTCAGTGAAGCCAGTCAAATCAAAAATATCGATAACCAAATTTTTGTTTCTGCAAAATTTGACTTTTAATATTATATAAATCGACTTATTCTACAGTAATTAAGACTGAAAATATCTCGAAAATAATTAAATTCTGTTACTTTCATAAAATTTAAATTAATTGCCAATTAATACAGCGGAATTTTTTCATTCATGTATTGTATTTTTTTTAGCACTAATCGTTAAGTGTTGGTCCATTGGAGCCAGAAACATTTTTTTACCATCATTTTTACCATCGATTTAGTTTCTTCTGATCGTTCACTTCGGTGGCTCCAACGATTTGTTCAGTGAGAGTCTTCTTTATTATGTTAGACATACTTTAACATAAATGGGAAAATGAATAATTTTACTCGTCGAATTAAGTGGTAAGTGGAAGTACCAACTCGTTACTCCAATCCTCGTCGACTTTGTTTGGCTTATTGCTTATTGCTATTTTGATTTCATATTATACGAATTGACTGCAGCATAGCTGCATGCGACTGGTGCTGTTGCCTAGATTTTCATGTCGAACAAGAGCAAACCCAACAATAAAAAATCCGAACCATGCTGTTACCTCTCTGGCAAAAATTGTCTTCTCCTATTAGCAGCCAGTGGAACGAGAAATGATGGAAGCTGACTGGAAGTCTACGCTCATAGTGAAGATTAATTAGTAAAAGCAGATCTGGAAGAAGGCTAGTGAAAATCGATGTGAAGAGATGGTTCGCTAAAAAAAAAAACAGTTGTATATGTTTTCGTTAATATTGCCGAGTCGATCTGATTTATTGCGAATATTTTATAGAAAATTTAATAAGCCTAGTTAGCCTATCCATTCATTTATATTTCCAGTAAAATATTGTAGCTATTTGCATTTTATAATTATTTTTATAGATATTTTTGCTTATTTTGTTAGTAAATTTTATTTGTTAACTACACAATGATGCTGTAGGTATTTTTTAAAAAAATTTTTTCATCGGCCATTCATCGCCAGATGTTTTATGAGATTTATTGTTGATATGATGGTTTCGATGCCTTCATCATATCCAGAAACGTCTCTTCATTTCCATTTCCTCTACTTAGGAATAAAAAGCCAACCAGGAAAATATCCCAAAGGCAATAAAGCTTTTTTATTACTAATGAGAAGACGCGTCCTTACGGACAGCTATATCATGGTATGTTCCTCAATATCTCAGTAGTCATTTATTCCCCTAACACATTTTTTTATAGCCCATTGAATTTTCTTTGATACTCGTCTGCACCTGCGGCAAAAATGGAGAGAATATCTCTAGGTCCGATTGTTCTAAGAGACTAAAAATGAATCCGAGGAGATTAAGGTAGTATGAGGCGGCTTATTTTGAGAAGAATAACAGCTCGTGAAGAAGTTGCTGTTGCTGCAGGAGTATGGCGGAATCAAAATTATACAGTTCAAAAGAGTTTTGCTGATGGATTGTGGCACTGTGAGGTTGGACAAGAAATCTGAGGAAAATGACAAGATTTGGGGATATTAAAGGGTTTGTGGATATAACAAAAAGCAGATTAATATTTAAATTTAGTTCCGTGGAGAGTTAGAAAATTAAAGAGAATAGTTAGGCCTTCTCATCCAAAGTAATCATTCCAAATCACCATGCAGTCGATGATGAGAGAAGAGATGAAACAAATTTCCAAATTTATACAGTAGTACTATAAGTATAAGTATAAACATTTATCATTATCGAACAGAATATTTTTTTATCATTTGCATAAGTTAAACTGGTTAACGATGGATTCATTCATACGATGGTTTTTTCCAGCAAATTACGAATTTCATTAATGCATACTTTTATTTTTAACGGTAATTTTTTTTTTCTTTACTGAAAAGTGTTTGAAATTCAATTGGCAAAATTTGAGTAATAAGAAGAGAGAACCTATGAAATTTAAAGAAAATATTCAAACTGTGGGTGATTTTACATACATGCAGGTGCTGTAGGTTCACCGGCAGCTTCTATCTTCCAGCGACTTTCTGGCTAAGGGATAACATCCCGATAGTCAGTAGAACTAATCAAATCAAAAGCACTCGTAATCACCGTTGGAAGATTTAACTGAAGGTTCACAGATCAAAAAAAAAATTATCTATGATTCTTTTTTTTGAGACGTTACGCATATTTATCGCTTTATCGCTTCATAACAGAGATTCGAATCGTCCTAAGCAACAGGCATTCCTGCTTTTATAGACAGTCTTTATTAAGACATAATGCTACGTATAAGCACTGGTTCTTGGAGTTTTCTATAACAAATTGAATGAAAGCATTATTTACTTTACTAACGCTTTTCTAACAGATACTAAGAACCAGTTAAAATTTTTTGATTCTCTCTACCCTAATGAAATTTCTTTATTTCTTATTATTTTTTATTTTTTATTATTTATTATTAAATTACTTATTTTTTCCTTACTTCCGTTGTATAAAGCATTTGGAAAGCAACAAACTTTTGATGATACTCAAGTTATTAAAGAAACTATAATTAATTAATTAGAAAAAGGAAAAAAATAACCAGAAATTTTTTACACTGGTTAAAATGATAAGTTGCTGATGATAGCTGAACAGAGTTCCTATCCTCGAGCTACTCTTCCCTACACTAAGTTAAGGACAAGAATTTAGTCAAAAAGTTTTGTCTCAAAGAAAATATTCACGAAGATTAAAATTGATCATATTTTCCATATTCTGCGCAAGCTCTACGAATTAAATAACTTGGTCATATTTGCATCATAAATTCTGTATTTATTAAATTCTACGATTAAAATAACTTCAATTTTTTATCATCTATGTTATGTCTTTTTACTCAAACTCTGTTAGCTTATAGAATAATAAGTATACTCGTTTGTGTGCATAAACATAATATAATAGTAATCTTCATCCCTCGCCTCTCTCATTCGATCTGTAGCATCTGATTATGAATGCTATAAGCTTAGCTAAATAATAGGCGGTATATCGACGAGAAGAAAATTTAGCTATTTTAAATTCATTTAGTGTAAAATAACGAGATACTACTACCTATAGGCCATTGTTTAAAGTTTTTGATAAGCTAAATGGACGAACCAACAATGACAACTATTAGCACTATTGCTATACGTGCTGCTAATTCAACGATTGTCGTTGCATTCTTAAAGGTAAGTAATATTTTAATAGTTTTTGTACTAATTTGAATAATAATTTTGTGCAATTATACTCTACAAAAATTTTTTAAAATTCTGATTAAATTTATCACAAAATCCATAGAAAAATAACGGTGAAACAATTGAATAAAATAACTAATTCATAATATCTATATAAGTTCAAGCTTTTTTCTTATAAAAGTTGTTAGTTAAAATAAATTTTAATTTAAACTTCCAGTCATGTTTACAAATTATAACAAATTATACAAATTATAAAATAAAATATTGCCTATCATCTTACGTTAATTTTATCGGCATCATATGTGATGGGTGAAATGTTCCTTCTGAGGACAAGCCATACTCTCTGGTTTTTGATTTTGAATGCTGTTAGATAAGGAGGAACTGCTATTTTTATCCTTTAATTCTTAATTCTTGCTGGTATTGATGATATTCCAGTACTTTTGCCACCAAATAACTCCTGCCGAAAATTTCTAATCGTATTAGCGAGTGAAGTGAAACCTATTAGAAATGGTGAGAACGAATCACCAAATCAGACTACATCACTTTCGATTGCAAAAAGGCTTTATTAGTCAAATTATTTCGCTGATTTCTTTGTACCTAGAATTTAAATTTTAAATTATTTAAATTTTATTCATTGGCAACATTCGGCTTGATTTCCAGAAAAACTTAACACGGAGAAAATGGATATGAGCTTTCGTATTAATTATTAATATTTATACTTCTTAGCTCCCTCCCGTTATACCTCCTGTTTAAGGTTATTATAGTGGCTCTATAATCGATTTCATCTGCTTTTCTGCAGCAAAGGCATTTTCTTCGAATACTTTTTCTTCTTTATAATTAGTAGTAAAAAGATTAGATTGTGCGGGGAAAAGAATCCTGTGTGGAGGATATGTGTTAGGGTCTATACATTATGTAATTCCAGTTAATCATTTTAACTATACACAGAATTATCAATAAATTAGTAACAATTATTTTAAGAGCATTGGATTTATATCACTAAGAATTGACGAAATGCACCCTCGTATGCTTGAAATTGGAGAAGATACGAACCAGACTTCTGCTCTGATAAACATACATGACGACCTTATGCGACGACTAAAGGTTCATATTTTTTTATTGAATTTTAGTTATTGATAATTGAAAGTAAATGAATAAACTACTGGATAAACAAAGGCGTTTGTTAAAAAACTTTTGCTAGACTTTTAGAATTATTTTGCCTAATTTGTTCGGCTAAAATTATTATTAAGTTTAATATTAAGAATTGATAAAACTGATATAGAATAATAATACTAAAATTAATATTAAATAAATAGTAAATCTTTAAATCTGGGTGGTGCTAAGTCAACTTATTTCTGTTCTCAAGTGACTTTCTTGCAAAGGGGTCATAATAGACAGTAAAGCCAAGTAAGAACCTGGAAAAAGAAATTATTAAATTAATTCAATTAATTATTAAATTATTAAATTAATTAATTCATTGTTGATGAAAGGGTATGATGAAATTATTCGCATTTTGTTCACCCTCTAGATTATTTTTACAGAGCAAAGAAGATCAAGTAGAAGAATTGCTAGCTCGAGCAGATAATCTCGTCACTCAGCAAAAGCCTCCCGATGTGGTGGTATATGAAGCAATGGCCGAAAGCTTAGGAACAACGTGGAAGGAGCTCAATCGACAATTATTAATGCGAGGATTTCTACTGGAAGAAACGTTAAAATTTTACACGTTGGCTGAAAAGCATGCGAAGGTCAATTATATTAATCAGATTTATGATATTTTTGAAGTTTTGATTTTTTTACTTTTGATACGAGATATCACTTATTCGATTCACAATATTTCAGATAACCTCAGATATTAGAGAATTAATACAAGCAACGAACGATTGTTTACGAATGACCAATCTTAATGATTATGTCGGAAACGTTCAAAAACAAATTAATGGTACTTAATGTTTGTTCCAAAGTTCTCAATATTTTCTTTTTATTTCACTATAATATTTCATTTTTATTTTCATTTTTATATTATATTTCTTTATTTTTTGTTGCATTTCATTCCTATCCACTTTATTTCTCTTACTCTTTTAATATATTTATTCAATTTTTTATATTTGATTATTATATCTCGGTAGCTTTTTTTATTTTCGGCTTTTTTTTTTGATCTCATTAATAATTATTTCATTATTTCATATTTTTATTTTATAAGCTAATTTGTATTTCATTACTTGCGTTCGAGCTATATGGCTGCGAGATGGCTACATGGCCAATGAGAGTGGAAGATATTAAGAAATTATCTACCTTTGACCACTCTTTTCTAAGGTGCATTTTACGGATATGACAAGTTTATCAAGGAATGGAAATCGAAACCATAATAACTTAATCGAAGCGAAGCACCATTAACCTTTACCCCTTTTGTTATTCGTTCATTATTGTTTCTTTATTCTCGAAATAAGCTTCTTAAACTGAAAATTTCTTATAAAATTTTTCCTTATTATCATTTTAACTTCAAGATCAAATCGATATCACCGCTGCAGCAATAAATAATGGTGCCGACATAATAACGCAAATTCGCTTATTAGGTTCAATGGCAGACAATGTGGAAAGAAGTCAAGAAACGGCTGATGCTTGTCTTATAATCGAAAAGATTATGCTAAAAGTGACTATTTTCAGAATGAAGAAATAAAAACAGATAATGAATGATAAATGTGATAATAAGGAAAATTTAGAGCTAAACTACATATAAATTTCTGCCTCTAAGATGATACGAATTTTTGTGGAACTTAAAATTCCCTCGTAAAAATAAAAATACCCTTATTGACAATGGATATTTACTATAAATTAAGTTTATCACCGAGAACTAATTACATCAGATGGCTGGTGAATGGGAGGAGCTTGAAGAATTATGGAAAATTGAACGATCAAAACTGGAAACACAAATCGACCAGTCAGGAACAATTTTAGCACATATTGAAGAAATAGCATCATGGCTTTGCAATGCAAGAGCTCAACTGAAAGTCGGCCGAGATCTCAATTCAATATATCAGCAAACACTGGTAAAAAATGCATTTATAGGAAAATTATAGGCGATAAACTTAGAAAGGTTTCTCTCTGAGGGCGCCTTTATTACATTCTTGCAATGAGTTTCACCTAGTGATAGTTTATTAAGTACTTATTTTATTAGAAACTATAATCGAGAAATCTTTAATATTTTCAATTTTTTTTGAAGTTTTCTTAAATTCCCAAAATTCTTATTGCTAAGACTAAAAAAAGATGGTTTTGGTCTCGAGAACAGGTTGGAGAGGTCCTCAGGCCACATTTCTAGAACCACCGATTGAACCAGTTGGAAGAAAAAGTGTTTTCACTTAGATATTTTGATCGTGATTTGGCTTTATTCTGACACAGTGCGACTTGCCTTGATTTTTGATTTGCCTTTGAAAAATTAAGAATGAGCTTATAACCAAAATTTAGCACCAAAAGAATACGCTTAATGGAATTGTTTGTTCACTAGAAAGCGATCATTTTAATAGTGAACTTAATGGCCGTGGTGTACATTTGCAAAACGAAATCGAAAATTTCATCCGTGAAATCAAAATGAAGAAAGATGCATTAGACAACATTCAAAATTTCGTCACAAATGCTGAAGCTGTAAACTTTTGATATATTTTTTTAATTCTCTAAAAAACTAATCAAAACTATTTTTTTCATTTAATTTAAATGGGTAGTTAGCGATTATCACTCCTGGTTAAGCTCGTTCCACTGTCTGTTATGATGACTTTCGCCTAAACCATTTACGATTTTGAAGTTTAAGTGGATCTGTAGCAACAGATGGGTTTTTTAGTGGAAGCCGAAGAGAGTTGGCTTTAGGTGATATTGAGCATGAAAAAAGGAAGATTCACATTCAAAGGTTATGTGATCCATTAATATTTAAAATCTAAATGATTTACAAAATGTATCTTTCATCCCATATAATGTTTAAACCATTTTTAAAAAAATTATTCTGAATTTTGATGCGAATTCGATTACATGGAAACAAGTGGTAGAAAGTAACCTGAAATCAATTAAAGTTAATTAAATTGGAAGCATATATAGAAGTTTAGCATCTATAGAAGTTTCTATTCTCTAGATAAATCAATCATTAATCAGGTACTTCACCAACTGGATTACATGGAAGCTGATATGAGAAGTGCGAATGCAGCGATGGCTGGTGAATTGGCGCCACTAGCTAGGCAAAAAGTTGGTGCAGTTGTCGATGAAGGCCAGAAGTTTCTATATCTTGATAATCGAGTACCAAAACTAATTTCCACTGTGCAATATCGCTTACAACAAATAGAGGAACTTTCAAATGAACGCATCAGTGCAGCCAGCATGTTGGTCACGAATAAGGTTTATCTAGTATTAAAATGGTTTCCTTCTTAGCTCTGAATGATTGGCTGCCATTCATTCCAACTTGCAAAAAATCAGTGAACAGAGATCACAAAACATTATGTTCGCTTAATTCATAGAATTTCTTTTTTTATTAGCTTCTTCTTTGAACAGCCAACATTATTATTGGTCAAGATAGCTGTGCTGGTTACAAGAGTCCAGCATTATCGATCCGACGCCTTATAACAGAAGCAACCATCTTCTAAACCCATATGTCTCTTGGCTTATACTTTTAAAATCTATCCTGTCTATAATATTTATTTGATGCTAAGCTTCTCAATTTCTTTTTTTTTTGTGGACTTAAGATTTTGAGTAAAATTGCTAATTAGGCAAAATTCAAAAATTCAAATTCAATTCTTTGTTTCTTCCAGCATTATTTGTTAAATATTTGAAAATATTTATAGTTAGACGGATTTGAATTTTGGCTTCGAAGTGTAGAATCGTTCCTCATATCGCATAATCGAATGGGTAGCAATTTTCATGACGCATATGAATTTTTCTCTTCTTATAATAAATTTGTGCTAAAAATCATCGTTAGTAACGCTTTTTTTCGTTATTTTTTACGATTTCTTCATTTCATTATTTTTTATGTTTCAATTTAATCATGGTATTAGCCAAAATAAAAAGATATTTTATGATGAAGAATTTACTAAATCCTTTGAAGTGATAACAGGTAGTTGACAGCAAAAGCGTTCGTTGATTCAAATGAGCGATTAATCTCTTCAAGTTGTTTAATCAGTGTAAATTGTAACAAATGAAGCATAAAAACTAACCTGCATTTGAATTTTCAAATTTTGAATATCATATGACCAAACTACTTGGTCAAATCATTAGATTAATCAATCCTTCATCATGCAAATTAAAGGAAATTTATTTAGGAAAAAGAAGCAGAACTAAACGCTTTAGCATCAAGCCATTCACATGAATTCAATGAAGAACAGCGGAAGTACTTTCATGAGACCCGAAAAAAATTTGAAAATTTAAAAAAATTAGTCGAATCGCGAATTCAACTTGGTGATAACTTTCTACAGGTTTCTCATTCTTATCTCACTTTTCGATTATATCGTTCATTTTTGTTTTTATTTGAAATTTGTTGTCACCAAAGGTTTTAGCTTTTTTCTAATGATCCTTTATCATTTATCATTTCTAGCATCACTTCACTAACGTTGAAACAATGTTACTTAATCGTTTGATTGTTTATCATATCATTTGCAGTCATTTTTTTCTTCTAACTGCTTTCACTGTTTCTGGTTTGGCTGACTTTACTGGCTTTTAAAATAAGATTTTTTTACAAGATAGACATTTGAGGATGAGTACAAATGTCATGCATTTAATTGATCGTAGGGGCAAAATTTTAAAATTTCATCGATGAATTGTTCCCATCAGTTTCCTTCTAATTTCACACTAATTTTGTTTATCATTTCTTTATGTTTTGTGCCAAATTTTGGCTGATTCCACATGAAACAAAACTGGTTAAAAGAAACAGGACAGGATTATCTTTGATGATTTGTTAGGGGATAAAATATTAATTTTATCAGCTTGAAGTTCTATACTGATATTAGCATTCTCTTCTTTTAATTTTCAATATCCTTTATCTCTTCCTTTCGAAAAGACCTTTCTCTTTTGGAAGGATTTCATTGCTAATCATTTTAATCAATATATTTTCATTGCAAGGCTTGTGTAATAAGAATAATGTTAGTTTATAAATAACAACTGATCTGATCTGTTGTTGCTTTTTACTTTTGAATAACTGGTATATTGACATTGATGCTTAACTTATTTAATATTTAGTATCCGCAACTAAATGTTGGCATAAGTTGACATAAGTTGAATTGGTAATTGGTAATTGGCCATTCTTGTTGTTGGTTTATTATTTAATATCTTCTCTTGGCCTACAATATATTTTTAATTCATCGGAATTGACGAATCGATCCTCCTTAATTATCTCATCCAGTAATTCCTCACAGTTTCATTATAGCATGAGGCAGAAGTCGAATGGTGTTGTTTCGTTTTTGGCAAGTATCATGGGTTCTGCTCCTATCCTTTCTCGTTGAAAGTAATGAAATACTAGAGACAAATCTATGTTTTCTTTCCCCTTAAAAATACTTTGGTGGAAGTATATGTAGTCAGTAGTCAATGTGACTAGCCAAAACAGGAATGGTAAGCACTGTTAGAATCAGAAGCATAGATGAGTTAAATATATATATAAGTTATTGGCAATTTCCAGAAGAAAATGATTTCCCAAATTTCATTCTTCATTTTTAATCGTTTCCTTTTCGTTGAATTTTTGATGGCTATTTGAATCTAATGTCATTTCAAAAATAATCGGCTTCAGGTGCATAAATTCGCTCGAGAACTCGAAGGATCATTCGATAGTCTTAATGCTTTAATTAATTCTAATCGTAATTTTTCTAACGAGAAGCTTATCACTCAGATGAAATCAGTTTTCCAACTCATAGAAGAAACGCTCACTCAAGAAAGATTTCAAGGTTATTCGTATTTCTCTTGACGAAAAAATTTGTAATGCTCAAAGTATATGGTTAACAATGACGCAAAAGTCTTCTACATTAACATCTTTTTCAGGTCTTAATATAATTCTGAAGATTCTGCCAAATTTTTCCATCTGGCTTCATTTCTTTTCGCAAGTAGCTACTTAGAAATGAAGTATCATTCACACGAAATTTTCTCCACATGAATCACGGGAACTTTAGCCAAGAATATAATTTATTTTGTTTCATACTACCTTTTCAGGTGAAAAATTTATCGAAACAGCTCTTTCGGTTGGCAGCACTGATTTTGACCTAAATATTAATGAAGGAATCGATTCCATCAAAGCAATTCTTAAAGAACATGAAAAACGTCGAGTTTCGATTACAAACAAATGGAAAAATTGGCAGATTGCTAAATCACAAGAAAAAAAATTCGTTCATAATATTGAGGAGGTTTACTAATACCATTTTATTAGGATTATAATATTTAAAATATATGAATGGTGATGATGTTGTTTCTATTCGCGGCATGGCAGGTCCACTTCTTTGCCACTTTAGGAGGAGTAAATATATCAGTATCATAAAAAATTAAATCCGACTGATGCTGAGGGACAGCATTTACGTCCTCTTCTGATACCATGTTGCAATCAGTGCCAGTAGAAGGAGTAAAACCAATGAACGAGTAAGAACAAGAAAGATTTATTGGTGATAGTATTATTTTTTAAACAATGAGATCTTTTAAAATAATCTTACTTTGCATAGAGGATTTGGTAATCTATGTTTTTAAGAAATGATAAATAATTAATTAAAATGTCGCGTTTAAAGCGCGATACACGATCTGAAAAACAGACCAATACGATATAAACTAGCTTGTTTTATATATTCAAGATACATTCAAAATATTGGGAGTAATAATTTTAATCATAGTTATTTCTAATTAATTAATAGAGGTAGCCGAAGAAGTTCAGGTGGTTTTCAATTTTTAAGAAATAAAACTATTGAAAATTTGCATATAGCTTGGTATTCGTTCGAATGAAACACTAGAATACTTGAGATGTGTGAAGATCGGTTTGGTGAATTGGTGAATTTTGCGAAAGGAAATTTTGTAACAATGCTATTATTTGACTATATTCCTCCCGTTATAAATTTAAAATTGAGATTAAAGCTGCGCGTGCGGCCCGCATGGTATGATGCTTGAAGAGAAAACTATGAGCAAATAATAGGTAACCACGAAAGTGGAAGTTCAAGAAATTTATTTCATGTAAAGGGGCACTTGGAGGTTGAGCTACTCTATAACCTTTTTTTATTGCCACTGAACTATATGTCCAACCGTTTATTTCAGAAAATCGAAAAGCAGTCGGTTGCTTCATTCTCTTTTAAAGATCATGGTACCAAGTGGCATCTAAATATAGTACTCCCAATACATAAAATCTTAAGCGTATCGAAACGAACATTACCGGTCACTTAGAAATAACTGTAAATATATTTTAGATGTAAATTTCTCGCACATGTTAAATGTTTGATTTAAATTATAGAACATTCTATATTAGATCCAAATGTGGCAAGATGAAACGGTCGAAATTATTCGAATAATGCAGGAAAAATTGTGCAACAAATCAGCAATAACTCGAGAGAGGGAAGAATTGAAAAAGAAAATGGATGAAGTAATTCGCAGTTTACCTTTTCAGAGAAAAAAGATTCAAGAAGCTACAAAAATATCGCAACAAATTGAAAGTTAGCAATTGCGATACAATTGGAAATTTTGCATTACGTTTATGTGATGTTTTAACCGATTTTGGATTGAGTGAAATTTCCGTTTGTCTTAGAAATTCGCAAATTGCCCTAAACTAAGAAATAAAACAGTTATTATATTAAGCAATATTTAGGCATTGAGGACTATGAAAAGATTGAAAAAATGAAGCGAGTACAAAAAGAAATCGAGGATAATCTTATGAATTTGAGAAAGCGAATCGAAACAACAGAAGAACTTGCCATTGAAGAAGTTTCGTCCGTCATTTTCAATATTTTTCGTTGTTTTAATGGAATTGAATAAATAACATTTAACGTTTATTAAAAAGTAGATGAAAACATGGTCAACTGGTTCATAAGTTTTTGTTAAACTTTTTTTTATCAACAGTTTTTTCTGTTAAAATATTCGCAAACCTAATCATTTTTATTTCCGTAAGGAAATACTAGCGAAAAGTAAAATTTCGACTGGATAAATCAAAATTATATTAATATCTATTTAATGATATATTAGGTGGCATAATATATTAGGTGAAAATGAACTGTGTCATGTTGAATTGAAACAAAGAAAAATCCACTTTAGAGAAGTTACGAGAGCACCTCAATTAATAACGTGTCTTACTGATGCAAACATTGATGAAGGAAGCCGATTTGAATTCGCTGCAAAAATATATTCACAAGAAACACCTGTAATTCGATGGTTTAAGGTTTGTTTAACAGGTGAAAATTAAAAAATGATCCAATGAGATTTTTATATGAGAATGATTAATAGCAGATCTAAAAAATTTCAAATCTATGGCGAATATTGCAATACTGATTTGCAGGATGGTAGAGATGTTAGGGATAATACGGACTATCGAACTTCATATATCAATGGAGTAGCTTCGTTGACAATTGAGGAGACATTCGTAGAAGATACTGCTGTATATACAATAAGAGTTGAAAATGGTGCAGGCGTAGCTGAGTCATCTGCAAAACTCGTCGTGAAATGTTGGTTATGTTGGCCATGTTTATCTTTTATTATTTGAGTTTTTCGATGCTTGTAACTTATTAACTAATATAATTAACATTGAACACAACTTTACAATAAATTGAAAGTTCATTAAAAGCAAAAATTTTAGGAAATAATATAGATATTGATGTGAAATTAGGTAATTTTTAGCCCGAAGTGAATCGCAAAACGAGGAACAGTCGAAGCCGAGAGTTATACGCCAGCTTCGCAATTTGTCTATTAATGAGGGTCAGAATGCTGTATTAGATTGTGTGCTCTATGGTTTGCCAGAACCCAAGGTATGGAAAAGGTTAAGAATGTAGTCGAAGATAATCTTTTGTTCGTTACGCTTTAACGAATGGTTTTGATGTTTATTATAGGTAATTTGGTATAAAGAAGAAGAAACAATCAAAGAATCAGGAAGGATCAAGCTATTATTTGAAGGCGATCACTGTTCGCTTAATATCAGTGAGGCTGTATTGTCTGATTCTGGACTCTATACTGTAAAAGCGAGTAATATTTGCGGCGAAACCACAACATTTTGTCGCCTGATAGTACAACCCCTAGCAAAATTAGCACCTCCACAAGTATCTCCAAAGCCGCGATTATTACATCGTTTGCCATCGTTTGAACCACCTTTATCCAATCAAATTGTAAAGGAAGGACAGCGATGTATGTTACAGGTAACGATTTGCATTTTTACTTTTATAATATCCTATGGTCAAGAAATGAAACCTTTTTGTTATAAAAGTTTATAGTTGTATATGTTTACATTTGATATTATATTACCTTTTAGGTTCGCATTTTGGGCGAGCCGAAACCATTTGTATATTGGAAATTCAACGATTCACCTATTCATGCGTCTGAGGATTTTAAGGTAACAGATGAAACAAATGGGTGGAATCGATTGATTATCGAAAATGCTCAGGAAAAACATGCAGGCATGTACACCGCTATAGCTGAAGTAAGCTCTTGACATCAATTACTTTGTGGAACAAAAATATGAAAAAGTGCGAAAATTACAAATTAAAAATTGATATTATTACTTACTGAAAAATTAATTTTTTAGTGGCTATGAAATTGTCCTTATCTGTTTCTTTTTTTTCCAGTCAATTTGCAGGGCTGATTGCTGGAAGCCACTTAGAAATAAGCATTAAATTTTTGCTTTAAGCTACATATTTGATGTATTTTAGAATGAAGTTGGAGAAGCTCGTTGTGGTGCTACGTTGGTTGTAGAATTACCTCAAATGTCGCCATTACCAGAAACTATTCAAACTACCACACCGGTAGCAAAATGTCGATATTTTTTAATAAATATGTATGAATTTGGAACAAGAAAAAGCATTATGAATAATTCATACTTTTCGAATTTCTCAAAGATTTACAATATACTTATGAAATGAGTACTGTTGATATCGTTGTTGAAATATGTGATTGAAATATATGAAATGCGATTGTTGATATTTTAGTACAGCGAAGGATTTTGGAGCGATACTGCTTTACTCGCTTCACCAACACCACCACCAATCCCTAAACATCGTTATCGAATCGAATTCGATGAGTGCACAGAGAAAGAAGTGAACGAAATTGGTAATAAAAAAAGATTTTTTAGAGAATTTTTTTTAAGGACAAGTGCCGTCGAATGGCGAATGCAAAAGCTACTATGGGGTAGAAGATTCGAATTGGCAGAAGTTTAAGGATCAGTTATCAAAAGAATTGGCTAATAAGGCATCATCCATCAACTTAGTGTGCAGGTGGCTGAGCAGAAAAGGGTCAACATATTTACACAGTAAGCCGATGATATCAAAATAAAACAAGTAATAGCTAGGCAGGAACCAAATGAGTAAATAATAATAAGAAGTAATATGCTTTCACTGACAGCTTAATGAAGATGATAAGCCTTCAGACTGAACTCAATAAGACTAGGTGACCGACAAAAGAAGTATTTTTTGCATTTGCTGTTCGGCAACATTCAAGCATATGGGTCTTATGAATCTTATATGAACTGTATATGCGTCATAACTTAAATCTTATGTGAACGTAGAGCTCCAGTTTACGATTTTTTTTGATTAATATATCTTTATATTATTTTGTTGCGAAACATGTAAAACCAAATGGCAAAATAAGAATTTAATAAGAAGCTATCAGCAAAAAGAAGTAAATTGTAATTAGAAATATGAACATACAAAATTTCACAAATCTTTAGCATATATATTTTAGGATATAGCATAACTGCGACAGCACCAGAATTCATTCGCCCATTCCAGAATGAGTATATAATTAATGAAGGTGAAAGGTTCAAAGCTGATTGCCTTATGGTTGGTAATCCTCGCCCAAAAGTGCATTGGTACTTTAACGATAAGATAATTGACGTCAATTTTAAATTTTGTAGCGTAAGAAAATTTTTTTGTTCTATTTCATATACATAAATATAATTTTTTTAAAAAATATTTTAACATTTTATAACTGAAATTATTCCTTAAAATATGAAATTTTTGCTCAGTTTTACCAAATTGATGGGTCAAAATTGAAATTTCCGTAAGTCATGAGTATATTCTAGTTCGGAAGTTGCGAGAGTTAGGCTTTTGCTTGTAGCTTGTCAATACTGGCGATACTTACTCGATTTCATTCGAACCAGCTGTAATGGACAATACTGGCATATATAAAATGACAGCTGAAAATATTCGAGGTAAAACTGAATCTGTCTTCATTGTACGTGTAGAACCTCGATCGTTTGTACAATCAAAACCAGTTAGCACTGAGGTAATTTACTTGGTATTTTAGTGCCGAAATTAGCATTTTTCCATTTTTTAATTTTTTGCAATATAAATGCATCGAATATTTAATTCATTTGATTTCTTCAATTTTCTAGGCTTTCTTTGCTTCTAACAGGTAGCCTTTATAGACCTTCATAGATAAGGAATTGGGGATAGGATGGTTCAGTGGTTTATTGCTCAATTCAGAACGCCGATGCTCTATTCCCAGTAGGAAGTAAACCTGTCCAAAAATTCGTGCTGGCGACTCACCTGATATCGCCAAGGGACATATTTGTCGAGTGCGAAAAACCAGCGGAGCGAGTTTAATCAGTAGCGATGAGGACTCTTAAAAAAATAGATAAGAAATTATTAAATGGTTTTTTTTGCGATTTGGTACAGCAATTAAATTTTATTCATTGCATTAAGCATGTGCAAATTTCCGAAGAATTTGGAGCTTATGAATATGAACAACAAATTCCAAGTCATCGGTCTTTACCAAAGGTTTTATTTCTGATTCTGAAGCCTAATGTATTATATTTTTCAACGAGTTTCATGGATCTAAAAGATTGAAATAATTAAAGTATTTAGCAATGCGTTGATAACGAATTTGATATATATAAAGAGCGACGTCAGGCATCCAAGCAACCTCCTCATTCAACACGTCTTGCTACTCCACCACCGGCAAAGAAACAAACATTGCAACATACTCAGGAACAAGTATTTTTTTTTCGAGTCTATCTACACAATAAGGAAAATTCTTGCTCAGTGAACTTTCGCATTTGATCCATATAAACAACTCGAACATATCAAATCCTTCTGCTTTTATTTCTTTTTTATTTCTGTTCCATTATAAGCAGTAACGATAATTTATTCGAATATTATTTTTACGTAACCTAGATGGTTTTCAAAGTATTTTAGATCTTTCATGAGCAATACGAAATTGAGGAAAGCTGGCGTGTTGCTGGTCGTCCTCCACACTTTACACAAACTCTTGTATCAGCAGTAGCAGCTTGTGGCGATGTAGCAAAATTCGAAGGTGTTGTTACAGGTGAAAAATTCTTCTTTAAAATCTGTAAATGAGAGCAAGAATCTGCATTCTTTGGATATGGAAATGAATGCTATGCCTTTCATTCCAAATTCAAATATATAGCGAACAGTTACTTGCAGAATCCATAATTAATTTCTGTTATACCGCGAGCGGGACATTTCATTTTTAAAATTTTCAAATACGATTTTATCATTATACAATTTAGGTTGGCCAACGCCAGAGGTATGTTGGAGTAAAGATGGCATATCTATATCGAAGCAAATTCTTCCTGAGCTTCATTTCTCAAATATCGGCGGCCGTGTATCATTAACGTTTTTATCTGCTCAACTAGAGCACGCTGGCAAATACATGTGTACAGCAAGGAATGCATCTGGAATAGCAACCTCTAGTGCACAACTTGTTGTCAGACGTATGCATTCTATTATTCTTTTAAGGCAAAACTTTAAAAATAATAAAATCTTAGTTCTTGCAAAACTTCTAAAATTTCCAACTTTCCGAACGTTGTAAAGATTTCATAACATTTAACATTGGACTCATTTTATCTATTTATTTATAAAACGAAGTATTGAGATCATCTGCTGGGGTTAGTAATAATAAATGAGCTGATCTCATAGATTAGAACTATCTGATTATTTTAACTTAAAAATTCCCTATATTTTAATATTTATAGCAAAAACAGTAGCGCCAGACTTTGTGAGACGTTTAATAAGTGAGGAAGTGGCTGAAGGAGAACGGTTAAAATGGACAGTGCAGATCACAGGTGATCCAGTACCTAATGTCACATGGTTAAGAGATGGACAAGTTATACCAAATTGCGATGAAGTCCGACTTATTGATGTTTGTTTTTCATCTTTTCTGGATAATTATTCTAATTTTGTTTAAAAAAAGAGTCAAAATATATTATGTATTTGAAGACCGTCGTTTATGATTTTATTAAAAATTTACAAAAGTATAATGCGGGACTTTATTCATTTTTCGTTTCTAATGTTCGTTAAAAAATAAAACCTAATCAAGCTATTTGCCAGGAAGGAAATGGCCTACATAGTATGATTATAATGAAGGTTGAATTGGCTGACAGTGGTCAGTTCACATGTTTGGCCGAAAATATAGCTGGTGAAGCGCGTAGTACTGCTGACCTAGTAGTTCGACCTGTCGGTGCGGGGCCCGGTAATTACTTCCACGTCACTAAGGTATATATGCTTTGATATATTTCCAATGATCACTCTCCTTACGGTATTGTCAAAACTGTGCAAAAATATGTATTTTGACAAAATTTATGCTTAAGAATGTTAGATTTCAAGTTGAGGACATTGGCTCTCGGAGAGTTAACTTGGATAATTCGCGTGGATTTCGTCTTTAGTTCTGTTCACTAGCATAATTTATCTGATCTCCTAGTTGGCAAACAGAGTTCTTCACGAAAGGCTCCCGGAATTTTTTTTTTTTCAATCTTGTTTTATATTTAATTTGATTGAATTTAGAAACAAATTTTTTAAAATTTTTTTTAGGTCACACAAGAGAAGCAGGTCAAAGGTGAAGAAGTTAACAGAAACGAAAGTTTTTCAATCGAAAATCCACCACCAACTGCAACGGTGATTTAAGCCCTTAGTGTTTATTTGCAGATTTCACTGCCTTAACGAAAATCGCGAAATTCGAATTCTACTTTGTTATTGTTCAGCACTACAATTTTCGAAGAACAATATTTTTTCCCAAAAATAAATGAATCAGGCAATATATCGAAAATTTCCAAAATAGATATAAAGTTGGCGAAAAAAATTTAGAAAATTTTAATCTCAAGACAATGCGAAGCAAATGTGGTCATATCTTTATTCCTATTCTCATCCTTAAATTATTATCATTATTCAGTAGGTTTTCACAATTTTTTTCTTCTGCAAGCTTTAAGTTTCTTGAATAACCGTTTTTCTTATTTATTTATCATTTGGCGATAAGAATTTCGCAAATTTTGTAAAAGCAAAAGCAACGAATGCAACAAAAAATGCAACGAATCAAGGAAAAATTTTATTTTTGCAAAAAGTGGACACCTTTTTGAAATTGGTTTAATAAGTAATTTCATTAAAGGTAATATAATATAGAAATTAAGGTGTATGATGTCTCAGCAACAATCATCCAGATGCCTAATTGTTCCAACAACCTTCGTTTTAACTAAGAGTCTTCATGGAATCCGCTGGTCATTTGTAAATTAAAGGTAGAAATTGCAATTACGCGCATGCGAAGGAGATTTTACCGCTTAGTCATAAAAGATGGAATAAACTAAAATCAAGTGATCTTAAACAAATTACTATTTACGAATTGTTGAGAAAGGAAAGATTATATCTAAGGATAAAGAGTTCAGCAGAGTTTCATCCTTATTTTCCATCCGGGAACAGCAGTAGATTAATATGAAATTGTTAAATATGCATCAAGAACAATGTTTTATATCATCAGTCTCTTATGTGGCTCTGTGACTTAGAATTTAATATTAGTTTTTAGCGCAAATAAGCGGCCGTAAAAAAAAAATCAAATATAAATATTGGCCAAATATTTAAATACAAAATTGGATATCATGAATCTTCTAAGAAGTTTCTTCAAAATTATGGTTCTCTGGAAAAATTGATTTGAGTGAAAATGTAAAGTAATGATGTGACAATCTCTTTTATTCAATGCAAAATGTTTTTTATCTATAAGCCTTAAAAAATCGAAAGTCACTTAAGAGATTGGTACAACTGCCGTTTTGAAGGATGTAATTGTCTGCGAACACTATAGCCGATCATTGTTGATACAGATGATAAACATAAGACGACACCAGAAGCTACTGTTATGCGATTTTGAAAGCTTTCAGCTAATGTACGACGCCTCGTTTTCTCACATATATAGACTAAAATTTGTAAAGACTAAGCCAACTTTCAAACTATTTTTAACTAGCAAATTTGTACTGAATAATTAAGAATTAAGCGAAAAATTTTACCTAAGCGGAATGGTCGAGTGGATATTCCGCCTCGCACAATCGAGTGAAGACCTACATGTACTTCTATTTCCAGTTAATTTTCCGGCGAAGGAGTCTTACTTCTTAGTCCGTGGAGGTAGCCAAATAAATAAAATAAATCTAAAATAATTTTATACCGTTAGTTTGTTGATCTGCTCGGTAAGGCTGAGCTTCAATTTCCGGCTCAAGTTCAAGTATGTAATCCTTGAAATGCTGATTATGGAGTGAAATATTCATTCTGTCCTTACAGACGTACTTTTGTGTTAAAGGAGCACTGAGAAAAACACCGTTCGATTCGAATTTCACTGATTGATCTAAATTGTTTAAAAAAATTTCTTTGGTTTTTGAATCTAAATTTTTCTACATTTCATACTTCAATTTCCTGGCTTTATTCCTTTATTTTTATAAAAATATAGCCGAAGGAAAAGAGCTATTCGCCCACAAAAAATCATGGATCTTGAATCATGAAAAAACCATGAAGTGAATCGCAAAATAGTTCAAGAAGCAGCAGCAGTAGTATTGAATCACCACGAATAAAATGATGCTTAGAGAATATCCAGCAACATTTACCCAGAGTAATCATTCTAGGAAAAGTAGAAAAGGAAAGAAGAAAGGTGATAGGACATACTGCGACAATTATCGAGGAATCAGCCTACTAGACGTCAGCGAAAATTTTTGCTTTCCTTTTACTCAACGGAATTATGGAAGTGGAGGAAATGGAATTTTTCAAGTCTGAAGTCGCTATTTTAATCCAATTTCTATTTCTTTAATTTTAAGCTTAGAATTAAATTATATCAATTTAATTTTAGGATTTAAGTTTATGTAATTTTTTTAAAATATTAAAATATTGCAAAATTTAAGAATTCCTAAAAATGAAATTTTAATAATTTATCGCTGAATTCAGTGGCGCGGTTGTGTTGACCATATATTCACGTTAAGAAAGGTGTTGGAATACCTCTTTTTATAAATTCATTCCTGGTTGAGAAAGTACCCGATTTTAAATACCTTGTATCCACTCTAATACCAAATAGCCATGCAAAAGACGGATCACGGCAACTAGAAATGCGTTCTTCCGGTTGACGAAACCTTTATGGAGTCGTCGTGAAATCACCATAAAAACGAAAGTCCTCATTTATATAGTCGTGATCCGTTCGAGCTTGCTATATAGTTCTAAGACATGGACAATGAGAGTGGAGGATATTAAGAAGTTGCCTTTGACCACTCTTGTCTAAGATACATTTTACGGGTCTATCGGGCGGATAAAATATCGCATGACTGCATCCACTTTCGTTCATATAGCACTTATATTAATAATATTATCACAGAGCGTCGCCTTCGCTGGTTAGGGCACATTCTCCATCGTCCCCCACAGGGGTTGACGCATATCTCGTTACTTGCTAAGCGGTGCGATGATGGTTGGCGTCAAAAGCGAGATGGATTATGATACGGTCAGAAAAGATTTTGAACGTACCGATGGACCAGCAATATATGGATTTAGACGATGGAAAAAGGAATGGCTTCTGTCGACGATAGCGCCGCTTGGAAACGTCTTACTCTTGTAGCCGTTGGAGCCAGTCTAACCAATAATGGTGAGAGCTGTTAGAAGAAGAAAAAGAAAAGGAAAGTGCCAGAGAAATTTACTGAAAATACCTTGGTATGATTCCATATAAATAATAGTTTTGAGTTGCCACCTCAGTTCTTTCAGTTGTTGTACTATTGACCTTACACTGGCCTAAAAAATTGAGCAATTTTTATCAAATTTTTCTATCAGATATTAAAATAAGCTTACTATTTTCGATGCTACGGCTACTTGATAATTGGTTAGTGTCCACTATCTCAAATAAGGCTCATTACACTGGCGCTTAATCTGACGAGAAATTTTCGCTAGGATTTCAGTCGGACAATCCAAATTTTATTTGTGGTAAAGTCGAACCCTGACGCTCGAGCGACAGTCTGAATAAAGATTCGGCTTTATAGGACTATTTACAATAATATTTTTAAAATATAGTAAAAAATATGGATGACCGTATCAATATTAATTACAAGCTTCTTTCGTCGTTCACCATTCTTCCATTCAGCGGTAAATTGAGCTGTCGCATTTTTCAAATTTTTAATGGCACAATAACCACCAATCTTCACTTTTCCAGATGTGAAATCTGGTAACTAACAATCTTCATATATAAAACAAATACATAAACATGAGCGTAGAAAAAACTGAGAAATATTAGTCAAAACGAGTGCAAAAACGGACATGAACGGATAAATAATTTTTTGAATCAGTTTATGGTTTATGGTTCTTTTACGAATTTCACATCTTAAACAAGGCGTAATGGATATTGCCCTAAAAAGATGTTTATAAAGCGTTTTGCAGAATTGATCTTCGGTTAACCTAAGCACTTTGATTGTCCTTAAGCAATCATTTTGCACTCCATCGCATTTTGATGTTATAGGTAAATGATTGCTGGCACTTTTTAGCATGATTTTTATACAGATGTAATAAACCAGTTGAGGCGATTTACATCAATATTTTTTGCGCTATCTATCTAAACCCTATCCTATCTACACCCTGATACCTCAGTTGATTGCAACTTACTAAATTTAAACCATTTCAAAAATCAGAATCTAAGGAATTAATTAAGCAAGACCTGGTTTTAGCTTACTGGATTTTAATTGGTCAAGCTATTGATTTGAAGTGTTTGAATGCCGTCATCAGAGGCAGTGGATTGAAGTCTGCTTAAATCGATTTGTAAGACTAATGACATTTTCTCTTCAGTGATTTCTCCAATAGCACCATTAACTATTGCGATGAACTGCTTAGTTATATTGCCCTTGTTTAGTCTGTCTCCACTTTTAATAATAAAGGCTAATAAATAACAGCTAGAGCATTATTCAGAGAAATATCAAAGGTTGGAACCTTAATCCATTAAAAGAATTAGCATTATTCGTATCTCATGTTTTATTTCCTTAATTATTAATTATGCAAAAATTATTTCCAATTATGCAGTCAAAAGTAATCGATAACAAATGATATAACAAAAATAGCTGACCTTGGTTGCAATATTGGAACCTTCAAGATTTGTGTTGATTAATTTTGCCGTAAATTTTAATAGCAAGCAAATATTATTGTTTTTATCTTTCAAACCGAATTCCTGAGTGACTGGATTTTTGAATGCGCTTGATTTAGCAATAAGCATGGGTTCAACTGGAACTGCTGCAGCAAATATTTTTTGTTTAAATTTATCTGTTCCCGATAAAATCAAAGCTTCAAACCTTTTAAACCTTTTTGCAATTTTTAATCGTATCAGTTTAATGAAAATTTTTATGACCAAAAAAAGAATCACATTTATACTCAAATTTTCGATTATAAGGTAATTTTATTAAAAATCTTCATTTCACTTCATTTCACTTCGAAATTTCGTTGGAAATTGAAGCTTTGCCGCTTTTATGCCTTTTAATCTATTTTTGAGTAAGCAGCAGGATAGACGAACGGATAAATTATAGTCGAGAGGCAAGAGATCAGTTCCTATATAGAAACAAACCTACCACCAAAAAATCCCTTTGATATTAGCTCATCTGCACTTCTACCATCAATTAACTATTGGTAAAGTTTCTAAATGTAAGCCAGTAGAACTAAAAAAACAGACTGAACCAGAGAACCAGAAATGATGAACATTAACCACTTATCTTTTTTGAAAGATGTACGAAATAACAAAAATATAATAATAAAAAACCTTTTAAAAGCAACGAAACAATGATAAGTGAATCGAGCATAATATTTATTTATTGAAGTGGATGAATATTAAAATCTTAAATCCTTTCGATTGATCCAGCGAGAAAAAATTTTGCGAATTGCAAAGACCACTTTCAGCCTCACTGAACAAACAAATTTATTTCTTCCATGAAAATTTCTAATGGGCCGTGCTCATCCATGTTTGTTTGAATAATATTTTCATAAACCATCTTTTGTTCCATTTTCGAGTCTCAATGAATGAAAATACTGCTAATAGTGCTTTGAAATTATTCACAAATCTTTCCAATGTGACCAATCTTTAAAAAGTTAAATATAATGCCAATAATGAATTTATTGAGATAAGTTTTCCACCATTCATTTAGCATTTTAATATTAGCTTTTCATAATAGTTTCAGCAAAATAAAATGCTGCTTTTAAGTAAATAATTAATGATTGGCGCTTGGGTTGTTAGTAAGGTAAGAAATTTTCACCAAGGAATCAATTGGCGACAGAATACCTATTTTAAAATATAATATAAATATATATTTAATATAATATAATTTTAAGATATAATAGATATAATATAAATATATATAAATAAATATATACCTATTTTATCATTACATTGCCGGTTGAGGAAGTGTCGGACTTTAAATACCTTGGATCCACTCTAATCGCAAATGGTCAGGCGAAGGATAAAATTGTTACTCGGATGACGACAGCTAAAAATGTTTTTTCCAACTGATGACATCTTTAATGAACTGTCGCGAAATTACCATAAAGACGAAAATCCGAGTCCATATAGCTGCAATTCGTTCGATCTTGCTGGCTGCGAAACATGGCCAATGAGAGTGGAGGATATTAAGAAGCTATTAGCGTTTGACCACTCATGTCTAAGGTATATTCTACGGATCCGCCGAGCAGATAAAATCTCATATAATTGTATCCACCTTCGCTCAAATAGCACCTGTATTAATAATGTTATCACAGAGCGTCGCCTTAACTAGTTAGGGCACGTTCTCCATAGGAGTTGACGCATATTTTGTTACTTTTTAAACCGTGTGATGGTTGGTGTCAAAAGCGAAGTGGGACAATCAAGACCTGGACTGATACGGTCAGAAAAGATTTTGAATATATAGGTGGACCAGCAATATATGGACTTTGACGATGGAAAAAGGAATGGCTTCCATTACTGTCGACGATTGCATTAGATGGCACCGCTCTCGAAAGAAGAATTGAGTTAATCGGAGTTAATTTGAGGTATATGGATCCACCTGTGGAAACTAAAAGTTAACTTTACGAAATAGAAAACATGGAGTTTCTGAAGGCGCTGTTAATGTTGCCAAAAGGATTATAGCCAGAATAAAAAAGGTTATACCTGCGGAATGGACAGCCACTTTCTAAGATCTTTCATTTTCCATGTACGAAATATAGTCCGGAACTTCTTCTTCTAATAGTTCTCACCATTATTGGCTGGACTAGCTCCGCTGGCTACAAGGGTAAGGCCATCGCTAGTGGTAATAACCATTCCTTTTTCCATCGTCCAAGTCCATATATTGCTGGTCCATCTATACATTCAAAATCTTTTCTGACCGTATCAGTCCAGGTCTTGACTGCTGCTCCTCGCTTATGATCGCATCAACCATCAGGATTTAGCAAGTAATGAGATATGTATCATCTCCTGTGACGACGAAGAATATGCCCTAACAAGCGAAGGAGATTCTCTGTAAAAACATTATTAATAGATGGTTTTTGAATGAAGATGAATGCGATCATATGGTGTTTTATCCGCTCGACAAACACGTAAAATGTACCTTAGATAAGAGTGATTAAAGGCAGATAGTTTCTTAATATCCTCCACTCTCATTGGCCATGTCTCACAACCATATAGCAAGATCGAATGAAACACGGCTTTATGGACGCGGATTTTGGTCTTTATGGTGATTTCGCGACAGTTCCATCTATATTAACAATGTTTTAATATCGTATCACAGATCTTGAATATGCTGATGATATAGTCCTTTTTGCTGATAGTTATAACGAAATACAAGTAATGCTAAATAAAGTGTCAGAAACTACAGCAAGGATCGGACTCAGGATCAATGTAAATAAACGAAAGCCTTTTCGTCTTATGTGCAAGAAGCTGGTAAAATGCTTCTTTTTGTAAATTCATTGCCGGTAGAAGCGTGATTTTAAATACCTTGGGTCCACTCTAATATCAAGTGGACAGGCAAAAGATGATATAACAACTTGGATCACGGTAGCTAGAAATGCGTTCTTTCGGTTGACGAAACCTTTATGGAGTCGTCGTGAAATCACCATAAAGTCGAAAATCAGCGTCCATATAGCAGTGATTGATTCGATCTTGCTATATGGTTCTGAAACATGGCCAATGAGAGTGGAGGATATTAAGAAGCTATCTGCCTTTAACCACTCTTGTCTAAGGTACATTTTACGGGTCCTTCGAGCGGATAAAACACTACATGATCGCATCCACCCTTATTCAAATACCATCTGTATTAATAATGTTATTACAGAGCGTCGCCTTCACTGGTTAAGGCACGTTCTCCGTCGTCCACCACAGGAGTTGATGCATATTTCATTTCTTACTAAATCCTGTGCTGGTTGGCGTCAGAAGCGAGGAGGGCCAGTTAAGACCTGGACAGAAAAGATTTTGACGTATATGGGGACCAGCGATATAGAGACTTAGACGATGGAAAAAGGAATGACTACTACTAGCAATGACGTCGGACCGAGCAGCTTAGAGACATCTTACCCTTGTAGCCCGCCTAACCAGTAATGGTTAGAAGAAAAAGAAAAATTGGCGAGAGAAACAAAGGTGGTCACCAGCATCACTCTGATTCGAAGACAGGTTTAATCCTGTAGGAATTTAGAATCGAACCTATGATATTTGACGAGAATCGAAGTAAATAACTCGAACATGCCTGCTAATTTTAAGTAGCAAATATTCCAAAAAATATTTTATTATGTATGTATGTTATTATTATGTATGTTATCATAACTTCAATTCTTCATCCAATTTCCCACATGCAAGAAAATATATTACAATTACATGATGGTAAATAATTCTATCCCATTCTTAATTTTTATTTAATTGCCGATAACAAGTACTAATAATACTAATAATATTTTAAAAATGAGAAATTGAATAATTTCGTCTAAATCTAACCTTAAAAATAGCATACTGGGGAAGAAACATTAGAAAATCACCACATTTATGTTTCAATAGTTAAAGATATATCAATGCATTGTGCTTATGACAACCAAATGAAAATCAAAAAAAGGCTTTGATTGATTGCTTAAAGATCATCGTTTATGGTCTATATATACTGTTCTCACTGTTTCCTGAATGAACTGTTGCTGAAGTTTCTGTTATTGACGATTTTTTGGATGAAGTTGTTGGTGAAATTGAATGTGAGCTTTCTGAATGTCCAGATCTTCCAGAATTTAAAACTTTGAAACTTTGATTATCTCCCTCGTTATCGGATTGATTCTCGGTAAAAATTGGTGCAGAAAGTTTTCCTCGATTCACACGCATACCATCTTCAAATGAAGCTGAAGATTCTAGCGATTTTGAATGAAACGCTTCAAGCGATTCTTTCCTATCATACTCTTCGCTTTTATGCTGATAATTCTAAATAATAAATATGAAAAGTTAGTTCTATGTTCACCCTAAAAGAACTTGGGTAAGGTAATATAGATTATATTAAAATAATAAGCCTTTTTATTAGGCTGATTTCGTCGATTTTGAGATTGATAAAAAAAACTTTAGGAAGCTGGTCTTACCTTGTCAATACCATATTTAATACCTTCATCTACCGAAACATTTAGGTCGTGAATAAGTTCGAGAGTGACGGCTTCAAGTTCTGCCTCAAATATCGAATATATTAATCTTTTCAAAATCTCTTATTTAAAAAAAAAAATAAATTAAAATAAATTGTAAATATGGAATGCAGTTAACTCATTTAAAAAAGAAAAAAAAAACAAAGCTAACAATAATAGTTCAGTCTAAACTTAATCTTAAAAACTGCAAACTGGGAAAAAAGCAAATCAAATCAAAAAAAAATTCAAATCGAAAAAATTAAAACCGTAAATTAAACACATTCATAATTTATGAAAAATACTTAAAGGGATAAAGTCAGTTAAAATTAAAAGATTAAATTAGATTAAATTAATTAATAAATTAATTAGATTAACTAAATTAATAGATAAAATAAATGATATACTCGACTTAATATCTGGTTGTTAACACTATGATCATTGATGCAATCCATCACAATCCTGAAATACTAACAATTATTTCTTTTTACCATTCTAAATCGACTAGCAGATTTTTATATTGACATTGAAAATGACCAACTGAGACAAAATACGTGAGAAATGGTATGCAAATCTATTAAAACAGAAATAAATAGAAGTTAGAAACTAAAATTTATTTATTTGGAAAAATAACCAAACAGAGGACGTATAATTCATTAGCTCTAGAATGAAAACTAAAATGTTATCGTTAGTAAGTTTCATTTCAAAAACATAATTTAAAAAATAAATTCAAGAAAAAATCGTGAAATTTTAAAGCTACTGAATTGTTAATTTTAAATCAAGTATAAATTGATACCGATCATTAAAAACTCCTCGATTTATGATATTTGTCAAAATAGCATCTTTAAATTCGTCCATACATCTTCTGGACTTAATTCCTTTATCGGTTGTTGCTGATGCAACAACTGGGACCGTGGATGTTTTCTTTTCTGCTTCATTGGCATCCTACAATTCTATAGGGTTATCATTGGCTAATGGTGAAGTCGCTAACAATAAATTCAGCAATAAATTTTTACAACATAGAGCATGAAAGTTTTTAGAAACCGCTTTATTTTGTTTGTTACGGTATAATGGTGCTTGATAGCACTTCATTGACGCAACTTTTGACTTGCAGTTACTGTATAAACTACTATTCGTTGATGAATAGTTTTTTTTTACATAACCACCATATAATGCAACGTTTTTCTGGTATGAGCTCAATTTTTCGGATGATGAGTACTGCCTTAAATTACGCTTTTGAACTGGGAAAACTATATTTCCCTGAATAAATGAAATCTGACTACGAGATCGAGCCTGAAAATAGGAAGATCATATATGAAAGTGATCATGGAAAGGATTCAGCTTAAAAAAAAATTATAAAAAATTTCAAAATAGAAGAAACTGAATTTTTTAGTAAAAATTTGATAAAAATATCAAAAATTAGCTTTTTTTTCATTATTATTGAATGATCGATGATCCACGGAAGTAGAACGGCGCTGTGAAAATGGAATATAGTGTGAGCCTGAAATCTACTTCATATTGTAGCCTGAAAACCTTTTTATCTCTTATTTGTCAATTTTCTCAGTCTTATATCACTTTTATAGCAATAATGCGATAATTTGTATTAGATTTTTGATAAGTTTTGGTGGACAGAATCTGTTAAAAATTTTTATTTATATCGAAACAGATTAGGCACGCATTCGTATAAGTTTACCACGAAAAAAAATCCGATAGAAAGCCTAATCTTAAATGGCGATCCAGTGCCAATTAACATTTGCACCTTTTTTTCACCTTTTATTTTTTTCTCCTTTCACTTATCCTTCGACTCTTCCATCTTTGTTTCACAATCACCTTTTACTTTTTTTCCTACATCAGCAAGCAAACGCAAGTGTATTACATAAAGCATTATATGAAAAATTTTCTGAGTAGAAAAAAATATGATAATGTAAATATGATTAAAGTAGTACATATTTAATATTTTTATAATTCAGTCACTTACTTTTTGGGCTAGCATAGTACGAAATCGGTGTTGATGAGTCAATTCGCGGTTTTATATCAAGAACACGTTGGCGATGATCAAGAAACTGTAGCCGTTGGTCTAATTCGAAAGGCATCAATGAAAGATGGTTCTAAGTAAAGAAAATTGCACGGAAAAACGATGTAAAAAAAATTCAACCATAGAATTATCTGAGAAAGAGGAAATAAGAAATGAACATTTTTAAGAACATTTCTTATTTTTCATAATGATCATGCGAATCAAAGAAATTATGTGACTTCATACTTGAAAAATTGTTAATTTTATAATTTTATCGCCATGGTGACCAGTGATCGAAGAGACGTCGCATTTTCTCAACTTCCTCTTCAAGGCTCTCCATATGTTAAAAAAATACGATAAATCAGTTTATTGCAATTAGTTTTAGAATAATTCTTAGATTCATAGCGCAGTACAGCAAGCACTCTAGCAATCTGCTGGAATGAATAAAGTTTAAAAAAGAATTAAGACTGTGAACTTTTCTTTAAAGAGCACTCACCATTACTGGTTAGATGGTGGCTTGTTCGGTGGCCAGACAAATAAGCCAAGGAGTCTCTTAACGACTGAAATAACCAGCATCAGCTGGATTTTTAGCTCTACTCCTGCCATGGATAGAACTTTAGCGTTGGCGTTCCGAATTGAGTAATAACCCACTGAGCCATTCTAGTCTCCCTTTCTTTTTCTCCGTAGAGCAACAATACCGCCAGACGAGGGATGAGGCATAGGTGAATTCGAGCACTAACCTCGATTCTCAGTGCAAATTATCATGCCATTTAGTTGCCACATTGTAAAACCTTTACAAATTGGCAATAAATAAGCGCAACAAAAGAGATTCATAAAAATTAACAAATTCTATAAACTGGTGCAGACAGCATCCGAACTGCAAATCTATGGGAGATGGATAAGGCACCTGGTAGCGCCAACACAATAACGTCAATGACGGCGACTTTGACGAGAACGTCCCTAACGCTCAGATCCCCAACCCATTTCCCACACTTTCTTTTTCTCTTTCTCTTTCTCTTTCTCTTTCCCATTTGCGCCTTTCATCTACCCAAAATATGTTTAAAATGACCAAAATGATCAATTAATTATATACGTTCTGAAAAGGACAGAAGAAAGATTCATGTTTATCTTCCATTCAAAACGGAAGATTCTTTCTTGTACCTCTCATCCATGAGGTATTCTACTATTATTCTTCTAGTACTTCTTCCAACTCTTAATTCTCTAAATTTTTCAACAGTCTCGCTGAGAAAGTTGTGAAAATAACAAGCGCGACGTGAATGACCTGCCTATATTTATAATTATCTTCACCTTTCGGTGACAAAAGGCATTAGGATGGGCACATAAGCAGAACACGTTCTCTGGATGAAGAACTGCACTGTCATTACCTTATTAATTTCATGAAGACTCATGTAGATAGGAGGTAAGCCTATCGTTAAGCCATCAGAGCGATACTGCTGGGCCGTTTGTTTGTTTAAATGGAACTTTGGTTCATATTCTCCTATTATTTCATTATTATTATTTATTTATTATTATTTTTTTAAGGATAGGATGCCTTAGTGGATTGTTGCTCAATCCAAAGCGCCGATACTAAGATTCTATTCCCAGCACGAGTAAACCTGTCCGAAAATCCAGGTGACGCTGGTGGCCTGTAATTTCTAGCTCTGGCGTATTTGTCCAATGCAACAAGTCAGCGGAGCGAGTTTAACCAGTAATGGTGGAAACTCTTATTATTATTATTATTACTATCATTATTATTATATTATTTACTATTATATTATAATATTACTATAATTTTGTCATTATTAATTATTATTATTATTATATTTATTTGCAACCTGCTGGATTTTTAAAAGAATTTGACAACAAAAAGTGGAGAAATTTTATATTATCATTATACATTTTCCAAAATGAATATGAATGAAAAATAAATAAAAATTTATATAAATAATTTTCTTCTATCATCGTATGGCATTTTAAGAATATCGACATTTTATTGAAGTGTACCTTTCTTCTTAAAAAGAGATCTACTGAATTAGATCGTTTTCGATTTACTTGTAATGCTTGATTGTACGTTTTTAGACTATTGTCGGTCCTATATTCATCATCTGCTATTATCTGCTTTTATCTTACAACCGCTCAGCGAACTGTGCAGGACTGAGATAGAGCGACGAAAGGAAATAGAGATAAGAGAACAGGAGCGACAATTACTCATTAGCGTGCGCCTCACGTGGTTATGGCATGCAACAATAGCCTGTTACTCCAGATTTACATGTAGAGCTGGCACAAATTAATTTCCTTAGTAGATAGATTTCTACTGATGTCATAATATAATATTGTGCTTCAAACTCTTTGTTGCATTGTGAAAAGAAAGTATGAAAATATTCAGTCGCCACTTTCTACGGTTCTAAAAAGAGGGAGGTGTTTCTTTGGTTTTTTCGGCTAATTATTTCAATAGGGTTCTTGCCAATGGGTTAGCCAGTTGAATTAAGTGGAGTTGAAATTAGGTTCTTTCAAACTTTCATTTCCTTTTCCTTTCTTCTTTTTCGAAATTCTTACATTTCGCATTTGGCTAATTCCACTCTTGATAAGCCGAGGGTATTTTCGAGAGAAATTCGCCCAAGGATAGCATTGGTCCGCTGGGTTTCTCTCTCAGTTACAAGTTTGTTTCTGTTAATCGTTAAGTAGGAACTGAATCTAATGCTTTTTATTGTAAACAATCAGGATGGTTAGACTGCATAAAGTGATTTTTATAAAATCTTTAAATAAATCTTAAAATTTTTATAAATTTTCTGTTAGAACAAATCAGAAGATATTTGCAAAGTTTTTTAGTGAATAACATTAAGATTGGTGTGCGATGAATTGCATTTACTTGGAATGGCTGCAGATCAGTCAATAGGATTGCAAATTGTCAGAAGTCATCTTCGATATCTCGTTAAAAATGTTGGCTGATTTTTGTTTTTTATTTCTTCACTACCATGTTTTCATGTCAGATTTGTTGCAATGAACGAGAATGGTCAGTTATGGCCAGTTGAAAGCTTGCTTCGCTGCACGATATGCGTTATTGTACTGTTGTGAGCAATAATCAGTTTTAAGCGAACAGAATAACAACACAATGGACTTGTGAATTAGAATCAAAAATTCCCGGGGTTCCCGGTGGAATTCCCGGAACCTGAGGTGGGATGAGGAATAGCCGATGCATCGTTAGAAATTTTTGATGAAGAATTCATTGATTCCATTTTGTATTATATTATTTTGCGATAGAATTTTTTATATATCAGTTATATTATACATTTATATAATAACTATAATTAAATACAGGGTTATCTATTGCTCAAAGTTTATATTTTTCATATGTTGCTAAGAAATTAATTATGTTGTAAAATGTTTTATTCCACAGATTTTATTTGTATACATATTATTTTTACTTATTTTTCCTTTTTTCAGTTCTGTTTAAGCACCCGGAAATTTGATGAAGTCAGACTGAAAGAACTGAAGAATTTTGTTCGGAGAAATCAACCAGTTATATTTAATTTCATTAAAGAACTACTTGTTTTTCTCAAGCAACCTTTTGTAGAAATTCGTATTGCTGTTTTATTAATTTGTGATGAATTTTTCCAACGATCTCATGTTTTTCGACTCGAGCTGTCAAATCGCTTGCACGTTTGTTTTTCATTTTTTAAACAATTTCTTATTTATCATATTTTAAAACGTTTTAGATTTATTAAATCCAAGTTCTTTCAATTTTCGACGTATGGTGCTTATACTGTCGAATGAAGGATCCAACTATACAAAAAATCGTGACGTCATTTACCATATTCATCAGAATTGTTTCTTCATAATTCTAAAGATTTGTTTCATACTTTAGCGTCATTCAGGCCTTTTAATTGCTTTATTTTTCAGGACTTCTTGGTTCTTTCCGCCGAAATCAGTCCCATGCAAGTATCGCTGCCATTTTCAAGGAAAGATTCAATCATTCTCAAATCAGAGACTTTCAGGATAGTAAAATCGTGGCATGAAAAATTTAGTGCCGCATATCCAAAACTTCAGCATTCCTTTGCAGTTCTGTTAGCATGTGGCATTGATCAGTCGAGCACCACTCATGAGGTTTTATGTCATATTGCCAATTTGTTTTTTTTTTTTTTTTCACGAATAATATTGCGTGATTTTCACACAGAAAAAAATTTTTTTAACCTCATATTTCTAGACTCAAGAAAATGAAATCAATCGGAGGAAGCGAGCGAAAGCAAGATTTGTAGTTGCTGAAATTACAAAAGAATTTAATGATAGTCGCGGTGATATTATGCGATGCATTAGAGAGACCCATTGTGCACTTGAATTGCTCGTTCCAAAATTCGAAAGTGAAAAATCTCGAACTGCGAATACTGTTATGAAATCATTGGATGACAGACCACTTTTAGATGTGCTTTGTTAATTTTCTTGTCCATTACTCGAAATAAGAAAATTTGCAGTGATTTTCAACTACAAGGGAAAAAAGGAAAAAATCTTTGCTTATGCATCTTCCATTACAATTTTTATTTTTTTAAAATTTGAAGGAACTGTTTTTTTGCAGACTCTGCATGGTTATGTATCTTCGGACACAATTTCTATAACCATACCTCTTGAAGCGCCAGTTTTGACTCGGAATCAGGCAAATGAAGCATTAATTGATTCGTTAAATGATTGCCTGAAAATGCTGAGATATTTCGAAAATTTGATTACTAAGTGGTTATTAAAACTAACAAAGTATGGTTGTGAAGGGGAAATGGTCATACGCGATGCCATTGAAACGCGCGCCAAATTGAAATCAGAAATTGGAAAGTAACATTTTCCTATATTTCTTGGCAGTAATCAATTTTGGCGAAACTGTGTTTTCAGTCTTGCAATGGTTTTTTCATATTTAGATGTGAGGAACTTAAATTGTCCAAATATTCCATGAGATCTCGTTATAGTTCAGATTCTGATAGTGATGACTTCGAAGATGTACCTGAAAAAGAAGGTATCTTTTTTTCCATTTTTCATTAATTTTTATTTAATTTTAATTTTTATTTTCTTAGGTTATGAACCAAATTTTAAAATGCCTTACGAAGTGCCACCTTATGTAATGTCAAGAATTGAAAAGCAGTCCCAGTTGCCTTTGACTGAACACTTTGTCCACGGAAGAGATAATGGTTCTAGCGGTTAGTTTGGAAAATATTTCAAGTTTTTCTAAGGGTCTAACGACCCAAATGTATAAAGCATAATTTATTAGCGTGGAGATTCGTGAGTGCTGCTTTATAATTTCACCATTCTAATCTAAAGCCATTTTTTGCCCTTTAATAATCGCAAGAATTAGCTATTATATGAGTAGTATCCACGAAGATGAATGTTTCATTCATATATCCTTTTGCCCATAGCTAATCTTTGAATGTCGCAAATGTTTTCGATCGTAAATTAGGATCAGTCTTACGCATCTTGCAAAATACTGTATGGACATGGTTCAGATTTCAGATTTTTTAAAAATTTAATGTATTTTTAGAATATTTATTATAAAATATATTATGGGCTAGAATTTTAAAGAATAAGAATGACAAAGAGGAATATTCGTGAAAAAAAGTTTTTTTATTTCTTTAGTTTTATTTATTATATATTATATATTAATTAAATTTTTCTGATTTTTGGGAAAGTATTGTTACGATTGTTCTTCTTTTTCTTTTTGTTTTTAAGAGGTTGGGCCTAGCAAAGCAAATGTGCCTATTTTGCCATTTGGTCTCGATTTAAAATATTGGGGAGAACGTGACATTCGTCCGGCCGAAATCCCTTTAAACTGTTACGATTGTCATCCTTTTTGGAGAGCAACAAAAGACAGGTATTTCTTTTTTAATGTTCTTATGAAGAATTCAATTGAAACTTTTAGCGTAATGATTTAACTTAAAGAATATTAATTTATTTTATCTATTTTGCAGCAATGAAATTGTTAGAGACAGCGTAGAAGTTTATCATTCACGTCTGATAACTTATGTTGGACCAAAATTAACTGTTCAGCAGTGTCGTGCTCCTCGTAAGGATGGCTCGCTATGTCCACGCAAAGAACACCGTAAATGTCCGATTCATGGATTAATAATAGAACGTGATGAAATGGGCTATCCTGTTGAGCAACAGCCGTATATTTTCGCTTCTTTTTCTCATCCTCTGTTGCATTTTTTTGTTTTTTCAGTTGTTTCAAGTACCAAATATTTTTGCAGATTGGTTCAGAAACGTTCATCAGCTATGATGGATAATGAATTTCTAAAAGATATTGAGAGAGCAATAGGAGTAAATTTAAGCGATAAAACGAAATATCGAAGTCGAAGAAAAGATATGATGAATGATGGGAGCGAAGTTCGACGACGCCTTAGTGTACGTCGGCCATGTTTTATTCATTTTCAGAGACAAAAAATTTTTGAAGTAATATTGATGTTAATGTTTGATATTACAGCAGTTATTTATTTATTTTCAAATTCAGTTAGAAAAATTTGCATCTTTTTACGAATTCTGTGCTGTTTTTTATTTTAGACGAAGCTGTTCAATCGCCGCTCATTGAAACGAATTTCGGAAACCTTAGATTCAATTCGTAAGGCAAAAGCTGCGAAAAATTTTCAACATCAATTTAATTATGCAGTTTCCAATCATTAATTTATATGAGAAGACTAACGCTTAATATTGATTTCATCCTTCTAATCATAAAGTTTGAGTTCTTTTCTGTCCATATAAGTATATCATAAGGAATGTGAATGACGCTTTGCAACATTTGAAAAGTCAATTCGGAGGTTGTTTTCTCTAAATGTTTTATTCGCCTTAAGATTTTAAGTTATGGATTTATCTCTTGCTCTGTTGGCGATTTGTGTGTGTGTTGTAAGGTCTAACGGACGTCTCATCCTTATCTTGAAGCGTCATTGACCATATCCCCACATATAGTGGCGAAATCGTTTTCGGCTATCGCGTACTCAAATATATGTCTCTATGTTCACTTCATATCATTCCAGTAACGGTTTTTTTCGCTGTGACATTTTTATTGCACATCTTCGAAGCACGCAATATGATGTGTTTTGCTGACATGCCGAATCTGATGTCATATATTTGGAGGTGAATTTGGAGGTGAAGTTTTTGAAAACAAGTGTTCAGTTGGAATCACTAGTATTTTGATAATCTGATCCGAAATGTATTTACTCTTTGTTGTTGCAGCTTGAGATAGGTGGAAGATTTTAAATATTTTCTGCAGTGCCGAAAACGTTTATTGTTGGGAAGACGTCCATCCTACTCAGCATTCGCTCTCCTTCGGCGTATCAGAAACTGTTGTCATTAAATTTACATTTCCCCATCTTCCCTCTCCCCTCCTTGATTTGACTTCCGAATTTGTTTTGTGAAAAAGGCTTAAATTATGCATACAATCTGGTTTTGTCATCCATAATTACACATTGGTATCTTGTCCAATCTTCCTTTGAAATGAGCATTCTCGTTAAATATCAGATTATCGCATTAAACTTTCGTTTTCCGTTGCTGGTGTATTTTGGAGTCTTTCTTTATCGTACTTTACCTTTTTATGCCTTTATCAATCTTATTTTTTATTTCTGATGCAGCCATATAATTTGGTAAGGGCATTTTTTTAGCTTCTCTTAACTTCACATTTTTGATTTGCTTCATGTAAGAAGTTAAAGTTGAAAGTTAAAAAGGAAAAAAAAAAGAAATTCAAGAACCGAATTAAGAAAAAAAATTCCTTTAAAATGAACTTTAAATAACGGATAGGCTTTTCTTTGTTTGTTTTCTTCGTAAATATAAAATTTAAATGAGTCCACTGAATTTTGTCGTCCTGTGAATATGATTTTTTTTTGATTATATCATTGTTTGTTTTGAATATATAACTTTAATTATGTTCTTAAAATTGTGTTTTTGCTTTTTTTACTTTATACTTTAAGTAAACATTTGTATTTTTTTATATTTACAAGAAAACAAGGATTTATTTCATTTATTTTCTGTTTCCTATAATTTTCTTTAATTTGCAATAATTAAGTCAGTGTGGTATAACCGACTTACCTCCATTTTTTTGCTGATAATGGTAAATGGTTGAATTTAGATGTGGTGTTTGGTCATCAGAAGAGTCCAGGGGTAGTGAAAAGGCCTGGATGAAATAGTTTTGCTTCATCATATTTTTATTTACGATGTAACTTCGCACTTCGAGGTAATCTCATTAGGTGCTGCAATCGTTCTTAAATTTTCAGTGGCATTAGCCCTAAAACTGGTATTTTTGCTGTCCAATAGAGCCGTGCATCATCACATTTTTCTTATGGCATTAAAAGGTATTGCCGATGTTAAAATTGATCCATCTGGGGTGTTCAAGTACATTTTGATTAAGGTTTGTGAATTTGTGCTAAATATGAATTTTCGAAATTAAATTTTATATTACATGTGGATAGAATTAAGGTAAAAAATTGATGAAGAGTTCAAGTTCCTAAGCCCAGTATAACTTTTTGAGGTCTAGTGATTTTAAATTTTTTTCAGGTTTCTAATGGGAATGTACAAGATGCGGATTTTTTTTTATGAAAAATTTTCAGTTTTTTATTTATTAATTAATTCAAAAAATGTGGCTAAATCTAATTGGCTTGTATAGGTTACTGAGAAATCGTCCAAACAAGAAAAATTAATTGTGAGAGGTTACGGTCGATGTGGTTTTCATAGTGATATTTTCGATGAAACTGTTGAAGAATTGGGTCCAGAATTTAAATTAAAATGTGTGGGTGGTGGACGAATCCGACATGAACAAGCCGAGCAAAAAATTTTGGTCTATGGATACTCGCAAGTGAGAATGTTTGCAATAGAAAATTAGAGTAAGGATGTACAAAGTTGTATAAAACGAGTATCTTGTCATTAATCTGAAGTTAGAGGATCAGAAATAATTGGCAAGAAGAAGTAAGTGAGAGAAAGAAAAATATGTAATTTAGTTGCGAATGATCGAAGACTGTGATTTTCTAGAATTTTAGGGATATGGACCTGCTGATCATCAAAAAAGTGTCAATATATTGAAAACAAGATATCCGACATACGAAATTTCTTTTTCTAGTGAAGGATATTAATTTGAAAACTTTTGAAAGTTTGTGGTGGAAAGTTTTCATTTTCTTTTGCTTAACTTTTTTGATCTACAATTTAATTTCGTTCTCAATTTCTTCCATTAATTGATTCCTTTAATCTTTTATCAGAAAGAATATCTTTTATGAGAGAAGCACCGCATATTTCATTTTCCCGCATTTATGTTAGTTTATTTAGTAAATAAATTTGTTTTGAATTCGTTCATCGACCATTCTACAGTGTTTTTTTCACTATAAATTTTTCGATGGGATATTTTATAAAACTTTTTCGCATTGAAAGAAGCAGATGCAAAAGTCATGTATGGTTTTGAAATAGAGAAAGTTTCATTTAAAACAAATGTTATCATTTCTTTATTATTTAATAATAAATAGACATTTTCCTTTTTTCTTGAATTTTCGAATCGGTTCTAAATGGAACGCGTCTTGTTTGAGCTGGGAAATTTCTTAATTTTATCCTCCTTTTGTCCTGTATTTTCAGATGTTACCGTGCAATCGTTTATCTTTTAAGAGACTAACTTATCAAGGTTTATCTCGGTTATTCTCACCGTTGTCAATACAAGATGATATAAAAAATATTTCTGTTAATGAAGGGGTTTTCCCTACCACTGCGGTAAATGTTCTAACAAATGAGCGCACTGTTTTTGATTTATCGCTTGGTGTTGGTAAGTTAATTTCATGAAATTAAACTTGATTATACTAATACGAAAAAAAACAAATATCAAATTTGGCATTTTAATGCAAAATTAAAGGGATTAACTGGTTTATTCAACAATTCAGGTCGAAAGTACGCCATAAAAGGTGGTTACAAATTACCTAAAGCGGCTATCGAAGGGTTAAAAAATGCACTGGTGACTTGCCGCAGATCACCGAAACAGTTGCAGCATGAGGCAGATCAGGTTCATAACTGTATTTAAATTATTTTTTGCGTTTAGAAGGATATTGCTAAAAAGAAATTAATTCATTTTTTTTAAATTTTTAAGCTAAACAATTATCTTCGACAACGAATTTTTCCCTCTTCACCTGAATTAATCCGTCAGGTTCGGCGACAAATTAAAACTGAATTGAAAGAGAAGGAATCAGAAGCAGATGACAATGGTTGTGTTTCAGAAAAAATTGTTGGTTGATTTTCTATGATCTTACAATAATATCCGTCACCCTGATTACTCATTTCAAGTTTTTATTTTTCTTTGAGCTCGAGATTTTTATTGTTTTCATCTAGTCTAATTAACTTTCATTCCTTATTAATAGTTTTTCCACCATTTTAAAGTAATTCATTAGAAGAAAGTTTTGTACAAAATCGAATTTTTAAAAGTAAAAGAGGAATCATCGAGAGATTAGAGAGCTCTTTAAAGACCATCAAAAATGTGAGAACGAATAGAAGTATATTTCAATTTTGCTTTTAGCAAGAAGCTAAAGATGAACGACTCAATAAGGAAGTCAATAAAATCCTTCGTCATAAATATTACAATTGGCGCCCTCTGGCATTTTCTTCGAAGGAAAGTGCTGCTACATATGTTCTTGCAAGGTAAAATATTTCTTAAGATTATTTTTATGGCATAGCTCGACAGTGACATTTTCCCACGACATTATGATAATCGTGGTAGTTATTGGTGATTACTTCCATTTTCTTATTTTAGCGACTTTTCAAAATATTGGTTGATATATATGTGCATGAGGTGGTAAAGGTTATCAAGTTGCGTGAAATGAATTTGATGAAAAATAAATATTAAGTTTGTATCTTTCTTATACTTTGATTTTCCTCAGGTTATCCGCCAATTATGCAGAGATATTTCATGTGCTGAATCATTTCAAGAAGATAAAATTCATCCCAAAAAACGTGCTTGATTACGGCAGTGGTTCGGGTGCAGCTTTTTGGGCTTGCCATGAAATGTGGGGTGATGATGTCGAGGAATATCAGCTTGTTGAATCTAACGAATTTATAAAACAGTTCGCAATGGATATCCTCCGAGTATTTAATTTTTCCACCTTTAATTTTCCTATTATTTTTTATAAGTCTATATTCCCGTTTACTTTGGTGAAATGTTTGATTGAGGGTGAAAGATCAGCTGAAAACCAAGCTCTGGTGCATCAGAACATAACCTTTCGTCGTCATTTAATACCTTCTTCCGCAAAAAAATTTGATCTTGTTATTGCTCACCGCGTTTTAATTGAAATCGCTTCTCAAAGTTCTCGTATAGACCTTCTTAACGCATTATGGCATCGAACAAACAGGTTTATATCTACAGTTTTCATAGTTAATTTAAACTAGTTGGTCAATTATAATATTATAATATATTTCTACTTTTCTTGAATAGTTGTAATGTTATTTTTATTTTTAAGGATTTTGATGAGATTATATGGAAGCTTTATTTATTACATGAACAAATATGAATATAAATTATTCAATTTCCATTTTATTCCATACTCAATTTCCTAAGAATTTTTTTTTTAACCAAAAAAGTTCAATACTAGAATATTTTCAGATTTTTATTATTGGTCGAGGCGAGTTCAAAGAGTGCATTTAATGCGCTTTTGGAAGCTCGAGATTACTTATTGAATGCAAGTTATGAGATACATGCAGAAAATTGCGCTGAAAAATTGAAGCAACTCGGATTATTTAATGCAGAAATTGAATCGGTTCTCAAAGATGAAAGTATTTCGGATTATGAACGATTCATTGTTCTTAAAGAAATGGTGTAATTTTACAGTTAATAAAGAACTTATTAGATTTATTGCTATTATTCAATATAAATACGTCTCTTATCGAGTTGATTTAGATACCATCAGATGTGGAGATTCCTACAAGGTTGCCTACCTGTTCCGTTTTCGCTCCTTGTCCTCATGATCAAGGCTGTCCTAAACTGTCATCAGAGTTAGCAAAATTTTGTTCATTCATAACTCTTATTTCCTTCTGTTTCTGCATTTTTATCTCATTTTTCAGAAAATCTTGTAAATTCAAAATCAGGTGGATCGATTTGCGAGCCGATGGAAAGAAAATGCCGAATTCTGATGGAACCACTACTAACTCGATTTGCTACGTAATTTTGGAGAAAGGAGAAAATGAAAAAAATAATTCTTCCTTGCGGATTCTTGACGTTCGACTTTTTTCATTTGCAACAAACTTTTCTTCTTCTTCCAACAGCTCTCACCATTACTGGTTAAGCTGGCTTCAACGGCTACAAGGGTAAGACGCTTTCAAGCGGTGCGGTTTGATGCCATCGTCGACAGTAATGGAAGCCATTCCTTTTTCCATCTTCTAAGTCCATATATTGCTGGTCTACCTATGCGTTCAAAATCTTTTCTCACCGTATCAGTCCAGGTCTTGATTGGCCCACTTCGCTTTTGACGCCAACCATCACACGGTTTAAAAAGTAACGAAATATGCGTCAATTCCTATGGAGAACGTGCCCTAACTAGTTAAGGCGACCCTCTGTGATAACATTATTAATACAGGTGCTATTTGAGCGAAGGTGGATACAATTATATGAGATTTTATCCGCTCGACGGATCTATAATATGTACCTTAGACAAGAGTGGTCAAAGACTGATACCTTCTTGATATCCTTCACTCTCATTGGCCATGTCTCAGCAAGCTTGTATTTTGAATCATTTAATATCAGTTCATAAATCGTTGTTTTTTATCTTTTTATTTGTGATGAAGTTTTTTTCTCGAACTAACGTCAGATTGTAGTATATTGTATTTTAGATTGTAGTTAATTAAATATTTGTTTAATAGTGGTGAACATAAAGTGACATAGTGACATTTAATTATGGCTGATCCTTTTTTATCAGAAAAAAGATGACTTCTAGAACTAGTTTTACAAACGATGCATATATTTCGCGTGTTATTTTTATTAAATTTTTTCATTTAAAAAATTTTTGGCAATTATTTTTTGTTCTTTCGAATTCATTTTTCATTTGATTAAAATTTCAGATATCACATAATGGAGGACAAGTTCAGTGTACTGTTTGTACACCTTTTTTCGGTGTTCAACGAATTGTGATTTCGAAAAAAATGAACAGCATTTATAAGAAGGTTGCTCGGAAGAAGCCGGATGAAGTGATATTTATCAATGTGGTTTTTTCATTTTTTTGATTTAGATCCATGTCATTATTCCCAGTTTTCAACAGTAGAATTCAACATAATTAGGTTTAAAAATATATTATTTCGACACTATTCAATTTCAGTTGTTTTGTTCTGTGGAAAAAATTTTAGTTCATTATAGTGAAAAGTTGAATATTCGACTAAGCGGCCCTTGTTGTTCGTAAATATTTCGAAAAATTTATTTTTAGACGATCTGTATATTTATGCAGTTCACAGAGTTAAAACAAAAAACAACAATATCAAATAAAATTTTTAAGATGAGAAGGATTGCAAGTGAATCGATGTGTGATGTTTATGATGAAGTTATCCAAGGAGTACAAAAGGAAAGGTGTACGAAAATTTAGCCGATGCACCATGTTTTAAAAGAAATTTGATTGACACGCAGTGTAATGTAATGTAATGAAAACTAATTTAGTACCAAATACGGAGGTGAACTTGGGTAACTTATGTACTTGAATATATTGTAATACCAGTTATTGCTAATAATTCTTCTGTAATCAAGAAAAGTATATAATTGCAATACAGGAAAAGATATAAGGCAAAGAAAATCCTCTAATCGTTTCGTACAGGGCAAGAATTAGAAAACTAAAACCATTTGCAGTAACATATTGACCTCGTCCAATGGCTATTTCTTGTTGCTTTCAAACTATTCGCTGATCCAACAACCAAAAATTATCGGCCCCTCTATTTTATCATCTAAAGTATTTATAGTTTTGCTTCGAAATTGCGTGAAAGAAATAATATATTTCATGAGATTGTTTGATGCAAGATGTGAACTGTAATGAAAATTTATATGGAAGGATTTTGTTTGAGGATAGAAAAGCTTTCCTAGAAGGTGTTTGTTGATATACTTAAAATTAAGTATCTATGCATTTCCAGATGGAAAAACTGTTGAACGATATGGGGGATTCGTATATCTGATGTTTGTGGGACACCTTACATTCATTTGGTGTTCCATTGCATTTGGTGTTTGTTCACATATGTTCTGAATGTTCAATTATCATGTAATGTATTGCAGTGATATTTAAATTATTTGGCCATTTTATCTCATGTACTATCAAAATTGGAAAATGCTTGTAAAATCTTTAAGATGTTCCAAAATTTGGTTTGATTTTTATTAGATTTATATTCAGACTCTTTGTACAATTAGCGATGTTAATGTTCAATTATATTTTTCATTGCTTTCATGGCTGGCTTTATTATGATGATAGTTGTGGCTTCTTAACTTCTTTTCGGTGACATCAACTATTTCTGTTTTGTGTCACTGGTTATCAGAGGTGAAATTTTTTTGCTCACTTGGAAATAGAAGCGGTCGGTCCCGGGCACGAACAGGATTTCACTTTTAATTCCAAGTTTGGTGTCAGGTCTCAAAGGACAGAAATCGAATCGATGATGGTTTTGTTATCCTTTATTTCCTTGACTTCATTTAATGAAAGTGATGTAAAATATTAATAATGAAACCTTCAGCTGCAGCAGTAATTGGTATTTTAATTTAGTAAACAAGGTTGAAGACACTATTTTTCGAAGAAGATATCGTTTCCGCTAAGCATTTACCTATCATCAATAGTGAGGCAACTGTTACTTTCATAAGTTACTGTTACTCCTGTTGTATGATGTACTTCTGCTATTTTGCTATTCTATTTTATGATATAAAAGAATTTAAAAGTATTTAGTGAAAAGTAAAGTGATTTAAAAGTATTTTGGAAATATCAAGCGAATAAAATTTTTCATTAATCGAAGCCCGTCCTTTTGCAATCGTATGGTTAGTAACTTAAGAACCCGAGATTTTGGCAAATATTGTTGAAATTATATCCTTTAAATTTTTTTGATTTAATCTAAAGCGATACTATTGAAATGTCTTGGTTTTGAAAACTTAATAGGAATGTCAGTCTGAAACTTTTCGAAGTTTCGCTATAAACAAATAGGCCACACTGTTTTAAACAAAATGTAATTGAGATCAATTTTGAGAAACAAAACTGAAGGGGAAATTTATATGAACTTCAAAAGACCGCTATTTTCAAAGCAAAAATTTTCTACCAGAAAAACTACGATAACATCGATGTAAGGGATTCTACCATAATTTCATGAAAATTTCCGAAGATCCATAATAATTATATTAGACTTTATTCAGAGCCTTTTTAATGAGGAAAGCTGAAGAATTTAAACAGACGATTTATTTACGATTTGGGACCGTTTATGCTTGGAGAAGTTGGTGGTATTGGCGGTAGCTTCCATCGTAAATCATCTGATAATCCAGAAATTATTTGTCGAAATTTTTCGTGTTTTTGATGGTGCGACAAATGCTCCGCATTATGCACATCTGTCAGTTGTTTTTGTATATGAGTAGGTAAATGTTCAAATCTGAAAAAATTTATTTCGAAGTTTAGCAAGTATAACATTTCAATATTGACTAATATTCTCTAGATTCCCCGTCTTTTGACGAAATTTGTGAGGAAATCTGCAAGTAAATTTCGGATTCAGATCAGAGTTATTTTGCTACACTACAGCAAATTATTCAGTTGTATTACTATGGCTGCAGATAAAGTGAGAAAGTTAGCCATAGGATTTATATAGACTGATACCTTGAGGATAAACGCAAAATGGGACAATGCCATTTGTTAAATTTTCTCATTCTAAGATGAAATTAAATCCCTTCGAGAAATTTCCATCGTCCACTTAAATTTTTAAACAAATGATTTACTAGTAAACTTTGAGTTCGTATAATGATAATGAAAAAAATTTTTAGAATCTAATTTCGCATTTTAGGTTTTTTAGGTTTTTTTATTTGAAGAAACTTTCTGATGGACGTGGTTATTCCATTTGTTCCATACTGCTTGATACATTATATGCATTTCATGCTTTATGCGAGCGACCATATTACATATTTCAGTATTATTTTAATAAAACGAACCCTCTAGGTGGTGGTGGTGGATGAATCAAGCGTTTATGCTCTTTTCCGAGCGACTCAACAATATTATGTATTATAGCATGACGCTGATCCCATGTAATATTCTTTGCTTTATGAGCAGCTCGCAATTTTTCTTGAATGTTTTGTGGAAGTTTTTCGAAACCTGCTGGTAGTGGAAGTCTATCCAAAACAGAATCGGGTAAAGAGCTCATTATCGCGTCGATCTGTTTGTGCTTTTCCTGCAATAATATTTTATAAGCTGAATAATTTTGTTAAAGCAAAGTACATAATTATATATATTTAAATGGAGAGTAGGCTTACTTGCCATGGCATGTTTTGATCAGCATCTATCGCCTCTAGACGACTGAAGTCCTTGGCTGGAAGAATTCCTTTGAATTCAGGTGGAGGAAACTGAATTGGAATAAATATAAATGCACGAAAAAAATGGGAAAAAAACCCGAACATTAAATTTTTGAAAATCTATTTTGTAAATTTCAAATGAAGAATACTGGATATAAGAATTGGTTGAAAAAAGCACTTTGGGGTTTCGATGAGGAAGATTCGTTGAAGCAGATTCAACATTCGTCAACAGAGCGATGAAGAATATCGACAATTCAGCGACAATGAACATTGCGTTTGCTAAATCAAATTTCAAAGACTCGCCTGTAGCAATGCCTAGGCGTCAAACTCGTTTCATTTCGATTCTGCATTAATTTCACATAGTTTATATAGAAATTTTTTTCTGAAACCAGATTTTATTTAAATCAAATATTTACAAGAATTCAATTCAATCAACAAGAATTTTCGTTTATTTTTTTCATTAAGGAATAAAAAATTAGCGAAATATAGCCTTTTGTATGCAATTTGTCAAAAATCCTCATATTTGGATTTTTACTTTTACTATTGTTTACTTTTTGTATAAGAATATTTTATACTCATAATTCAGCTTATTTATATGTTTTTGAGACATTACGCAACCCTGCGTTGTCGAAATGGTAAGCCCACTGAAAAATATACATCTAACCGAGGGTCGAGTAAATGCCCATGCTGGGAGGAACCCTTCGATTAGTAGTTCTTTAGTTCTTTTTGCTTAATTATGTCATTTTAGAAAAAAGGCAGACAAATGAATTCAATACACTCTAATCGAACCAATTCCTGAAATCCAAAAATTGCCATCATATCATTAAAAAAGATATTCTCGAAAATGTTGGCGTAAGCACATCCTAGTCTGAACCATACAATTAAACAATCTGTTCTAATTTTATTACTTTGGTAGAGATTGTTCTCTTATCTGTTCTCTGTTCTCTTATCTTACGAACCTAATTCATAGTTTATGAAAAGATGCAAGAGCAGAATATATTGCTTTAAGTGAGAGGAAGCAGTATTGAGTTCATTCGTCGCATTTGAGTTAATTATATTTTAAAATGCAAGTGATGCTGAAACACATTAACTTCACCTCAATCTAGTGACTTGCTACTCAAAAATATCTAACTCTATTAGCTAATGAAGTCAGTAAAATCAGAAATGCAGTTAAGAACTATGCAATAAATCTCGATTCTATTGGTAGTGCCGGTGATTTTGGCACCAGTAGTCATATATTTTCATATCATTTTTTCATCGTAATCATGTACACTTTGCATTTGAAAATATTTAAAAATATTAATATTTGAAAATAAAAGTAAAAAATATTTGAAAATGTTTAAAAATATTTCGAATTATTCGTAGAAACAATCTATAAGCTTTAGGTAAGCCTCACAAAAAACATCCCTGCTTCCCTTCTTTAAATAAATTGATAAGGTCGATTTGACAAAATTTATGATACATTGTATATTTTACGAATTCTAGCAAATCTGTATTATTTGGATGATTGACCTGTTAGTAACTAATCCGAACCAATGCAGTCGACTCGATGTCCACAGTTCATAACAAATCGCTAAACCGATTTATGAGATCAAGCATCTTATACATATATCACTCATTATACATTACGTGGATTGAAATTTCAACGAATATCGTTGCTCCAAATTGTTAAGCATTTATCCCTAACCACCTTTAGAAAGTTATTACACCTTGCAAACCAATAGCCGATTACTGATTGTACAGTATGGCTTAAACCTACTTCTGCACCTTTTTGATTACAAAATTGAACCGGTTTTACAAATTTAGACTAATTTTTTGCAAATAATTAATAAACAGTACCTACAATTATCAAAACAGCGGAGTGAATCACCGCACTACTACCTAATTACAGCAACAAATCAAATAATCAACTATGTCAACCATGTATTTCAATATTTCAATATTAAATCAATTTTCTACCTTATTTTGATAAAGAAAACACTTCAACTGGAAAAACCGACAGATGCGATTAAATATTTGATTAAATATTAATTATTCTTATCGCAGCTGTAACAACGAAAGTGATAATACATATAATGGTAGAATAGAAAATATATAATAGAAAATAACACAGACAAAGAAAATTTATGAACGCATAATCAGGATAAAAAAAATTTGAAGAACTTCTAAAAGTGAAAAAATCTAAATATACAGCATTTAATAAGAAAACCAAAACCACGACTTCATTGATCCGCTCTAGACATTAAATTTACGAAACGTTTGGTGGATTCGGACATAATACGAAGCAATAATACGAAGATTACAAAAATGAACCAAAGTACATTAACAGAGCACAACTGTATCTTTCATACAAAAGGAAGTCTATTTGTAGTACAGGTGCATATAAATCTGTGCTCATATTTTGACATACGACAAGAGCTACTTTTGAGGTCCTTCATGTTGTGCTGATGGAAATGAAGTTTGAATAGTAGTATTCTTGAATGATTTGTTAAATTTGTTGACTGTTTTTTGCTGAATTGTTGAGTTAACTAGTTGAATTGAGTTGATAGTTCGAATTAACTTGTTTTTTACCTAAGTAGCATCTGCATTCGCCGTTCGGTGACACTGCGACTTTTAAAAATACCCTGAAAGAGTTCACCAAAAATTGCTTTTCAACGTCTTTTGGGACCAATATATTCATCGACAGCTTGTCTTTAACAACTTAAAATAGATTTTTAACAAAAATATTCAACAAGCTGTAATCACTCCCAGCCAAGATTTCGACGAACAACAGGATTATCCAAGTCTTTCAATTCGTTTTGCTTCTCCTTTAACATTACATCTGGTATATACCTCCGCCTTTCATCGTCTTTTTCATATTTTTTTACGGTAATTTTGATCCCAATCGGGATGTGAGCCTGAAACGATAACATAAATGACTTGAACCAAACGAAAATCGTGTATGGCGTTCATAAATATTCAATGCCAAACTCGTGTGTGCGCACCGACTTATTATTTTCACAGTAACTGAATGATACTTTTAACATTCTTTTTCTAAGCGGATTTTAGAAATATGTTCAAAAAATTATGAACCCGAATCAATGATATAAACAATGGTAGGTAAACGGATGGCGCTTCTATTATGTTCAAGACACGCTCATAAATACTGAGCACCACTTCACTTTCCACTATTGTTGTATGAGGACGAAAGGTAACAACTCGTTCAGTAGTTGCCGCAACAGAATAGCTGCAAAATATGAAGAGATTATGGTGTCTCGTTTGTGATGCCATGTGACGCCAAGCAAATCTCGCTTTCTTCTTCATTCTAACCTCTTTAAAAGTTTAATCGATTTACGTTAGCCAGTCTGACTCTTATTTTCTAAACGATTTCCCTCACTCCAAAAAATACTTTGATATGTTAATGAATCAAAACAGACTGATCGATCGAACAGCATAAAAATAACAAACCAAAACGAACCTTTCCTTAACGTTGAATTCGAAGCGCTTTGCTATTTTATGCACATACGATTGGTATTTTTCTAAAGGAACATAATCATATCCTTGAAGACGGATATGGACCATACCATAATCGGGACAACGCTTCTTTTCATCAAATAACGGTTCATAAATGTGTCTTGGTCCTTTCGCAAGAGCCATTTCCCGCAAACTCGCGAACCATCTACACTGTACGGAATTTTTCAATGAAGAACCAGCCAACATTAATTGAATTACCATTTTACAGGTAGACCACAGCCCTAAAAAATCATCACAACACCCTCAACATATAATTCAAAGAAATTAATGACGAAATAAATCAGTTATTTAAATCACGTTACATCGAAACCGTAACAGTTATTTCTTCGACAAAACAGAAATTGCGAAACGATAACATCATACAATTATACGACGGAGCGTTCAAATTTTCTCATGTTCTAATATCTTTGATGGGATTTGAAAGGAATAAACATTGCATAATAATAACTCCTTTCCGACAAAAATCGTTCATTTTCTCTGCTTCGTTGTCCTTTGGCCTTTTGAATGAAAATGTCACGAATTATCATTTTCTCTGCTTCGTTGTCCTTTGGGCCTTTTGAATGAAAATGTCACGAATTACACTAAGTTAGCAAGAAAAGTGGACAACATGGTGACGGAAAATTGATGCTGTAATTTGTACTTTATTCAGTAACTGAATGGATAGTAAACATTTAAATCAGATCACTGCATTTTGTTTCAAATCATTTTATATTTCGCTGTAATCATATCTATAATAAAATAAAAAGAGATAAGAGAACTTATTTGGATACATTTAGAAGATCCGAATATGAAAATTTCGATCGCCAATTTACAAAAAAAAATCTATAGCCACAATCTTACAATCTTTTTACAAGATTAGTCATTCCGAAATTATATAAAACATTTTTCATTTAAATCAAATTAGCATTTTCTTACATGTATTTTCTAGCATAACTTACGTCGGCAAACAGCATATATTAACCTTTGCAAAAAATTTAAAAAATACATATTAATAAACAACTATTAGGAGTGCAAATATAAGAAATGGGAAATGAAATCAAAAAAGCAGTTAGCAGTTCAAACCATTCAATTAAAAGACAATACTTTAATCAGTAAATTTTCGGCCCTTAAATCTTCTTTTTGCTTATACAACTCTATTCTGTTTTCTGTCAAAAACTTCAAATTTCAAATCAGAATGAAGCCTAGAAAAAAAATTGTAAAAACCACCTAATATATACCAAAACATCAAAAAATTGGCAAAAGTTAAGACCAAAATGAATGCCGAGTTGCTGGAGGAGTAGGATAAAAATTATTTTCATGAACAGGATATGGCGTTGCCTGATTGGGTAAAGATGGATAGTCTTGCTGTCGCAATGTAGCCAACAACTTATCCGATTTCACCTTTCTAAAAGTAAATCAAGATAGAGAAGAAAAAAACGACATCATCATCATGAGTGAAGTGTAAATGATAGTCTGGTCGAAGAATCTAAACTTTACAAGCTTGTGTAATGAATAACCAAATAATTTTAAAAAAAACTTTACACAAACCTCATATGCGCCAATGTCTTTTTTTCCAAAAATTCTTTTAGAAACTGTTCAACTTCAATTTCTTTGTTCAAAAAGCGATCAGCTATCGCCTGAAATATTCTAATTGCAACAAATAATAAAATAAAAATTCAATAAAAATTGTATTTAAACTTCAATAATAAACTGCATGCGCTCATTTTAATATATTAATTTAAAAATTATGAAAAATTTGCACCTCACTTTCATCTTCAGCCGCTTGCACCGCAGTTTGCAAAAGTGCGCTTGACGTATTGAGCGATCGTTTTTCTGTTAATGATTCTGCAATGCAAACTGTGAAGAACTGCGAAATGTGAACTTATAAATTACATTTTAAAAAAAACATTAGAAACTTTTAATTTCGAAAACTTATCGAATTATATCAACCTGCCTAATTTGGCTTTTGACTGCATAACACTTTCTTTGTTTCTCACAGCTTCTTCATATGTTTCAAGCAAATTTTTTTTCAATTCCTCCAGGAGAGGTTCTTGCGTTAAATTCCATTCAGCGAGTGACTTATTTTGTACAAGACCCATTTCACGTTCTGTAGGCAGATTTCGCACCTAAAACAGTTTTCCAATGAATGAACTGTAAAAAAGGAAAAAGGAAAACATCAAAGAAATTAGAAAAAATTCAATTTTTTCGAAGATTATCTAGATTTATTCAAAATCCCAATATCCTCGTTTTTCCAATTACTAATTCTCTTTGAGGTGTTTTTCTTCGACTCGATTCTTCAGAATTGCTTTTATAATATCATTCTAAAACAAACATGCGGTATATTATCAATAATAGAATCGATTTTCGAATCATCACTGAGTAAGATATTAAGCTGTTCACAATTGAAATTCCGAACTGGTCCCATAGCTGACGATACACATAAATCGAGTAATGATTCATATGACGTCGACGAATCACCCATTTTGGCCGTTTGTTAAAACGAAATTGGCAAAAGAAAAATTCATCAAAATGATAAAAATGATAGAAAAAAAAGAAAACGATAAATGCCGACGAAGAATGAATGGGTGAAACAAAAATAAATAAATAATGGTTGCGACAATTAAACAAATGAAATACACTAAAAGGTGACTTGGTTTTATAAAATAAAGAAAAGTAAAAAACGATTGAAAATCTTTGAAATATTCCTGCTTTTTTCACAAAATACACATTTCTCTTTAGACCCAAACAAGTACTTAATAATAACTGAATCAGGAAGGTTTTATACTATCCTAACTTAATCTGCCGATTCAATCCTTACATGATTTAATCAATATTACTTTGGCTAATTTATCGGCTGCTCGTTGGTATCTCGGTGCCAAGATGACCTACCACCGAAAATACAGGATTGGATTGAAGTCAGGCCGACACGCCACGCGTCGTCTGGGGACAGTGTCGCCGAACGGAGAAAGAAAGGGAATTAAAAGGAGAGGTCGTCTGGGGACAGTGTCGCCGAACGGAGAAAGAAAGGGAATTAAAAGGAGAGTATAAAGGCTCAGCGAGTTGTTGTTCAATTGGTAATAAGCACGCATATACATATTAAATATGCATTTCGTAGGTATAGTTTGGAAAACACAATTTTATACGACAGAATTCTCATTTCTAATTGTTTGTTTATGGAACCCCGAAACCTTGAATGCCCTACGAAACTTCCTCGCGAAAAAATCCTCCAAAAAACCCCAAAAGAAAAAAAAAATACACATACGACCATAAATCACCAAAACCGTACAAATTTCCAGCAACTTTTCTTACTAAATTTCGGGAAGACGCAGTTTTCGTTAATAAACAAGAAGTCCACGTAAAACTTATGTGCAAAATTCGTATAGTTGAAGAATTCGTCCCAGTACAAATTCCGTCATTGCTGAATGTGCTCTCGTAGGCTATCGGTAGGCAGAAAATTTGTTGAAATTGTTCATTAATGGACGCTTTTTCTTCCTAACAGCATTCCTGGTTTAATTAGTTGCATTAATTCCCTAGGATATTTTGCTGGAGAACCGCTTATGAACTATAGGGGAGTCCACAACACCGGTGATACTCCACTTTCAGTAAGGAATTTGCCTCCTGCTTATCGTCCAGTTAATTTCAGGCTTGGCAACGCGTAGGAAGGCTTGGAAGAATTTTACTTCAGCTAGCAGCCGGTAGAACCAGCGAAATCAAAAATTATATGATGTATATTATATGAACAATATCAGTGTTCTTGCTTTTCGCTTTGTATAGATTAAATCGTTAATGAAAATTTATGAATGAAAATTCATTTATTGCAATAAAAAATTTTGGTTCATCCTTTAGTAAATGAATTTATAATTTGCTTGATTACTTCATAGCGTTGGTCCCAACTAAAATTTTTTGATTTATATATAGATTTCGCTCTTTCCTGCAAATTCTTCGGCAGTTTTTCGAAACCGACTGGAAATGGCAATTTTTTAAGTATCGATTCCGGTTGAGCGTTCATTATTGCATCGATCTTTTCTTGTCGTTTCTGAATTTATTTCTCGTTTGTTGAAGATTTTTAGTGACAATTTTGAAATCAAACTTTTACTAACTTCTCAGCCATTTATTACTCATTGAAAAAGAAATCTATTAGAAAAATTTGCTCAGTGATCTTATCAATTATCATGTTTCCCCACATATTCAAATCTACTATCAAAGCATTTAACAGCGAAGGCTTAACGTTTAAAAACTTCATTATATCGATAAATCCGCAGACTCAGACAACAATATTTCTTCACTGTCAAAAGCTCAAAAACCCTTCACCTTTTAAAGATGTAAAACAATGCATGAGAATCCTTTTCGAAATAGTGAATACAGCAAAAGTTACCTTAGGTGCCAGTTTCTTATCGTCATTAATCTGCTTCAGTTCTTTGACAACATCTTGTGGCAAAACGCTTTCAAACTGAGTTGGTGGGAACTGAAACAGTAACTGAACTGAAAGTGAATTTTCAAATTTCACGCACTCAATAAATTTTCTGAATTTAATGCATAATTCCTATTCATAAAATCTTAATTCAGCGTGACCTTCTGCCCCTTCGTGCAAATATTTTGAAAATTCTGTGAATGACCCGCATTATTCGACAGCGAATCACTTATTAAGTGGTGCACAAGCAGTGATGAATGTAGGGAACGAAAATTAATGGGAACCTTTAGAGATGGAGGTACAACCTTTCTGTCTTTCTCCTTCGTCACAGAAATAGTTAAAGAAATATTTATGAAGATAGCGAAGTATAGCAGACGGAGCATTTTATTTAAAAACCAAAAATTTCCATCAGTTTTAGGATCGATAAGACGGAAACAAGTTTCATTACCTTACACTAGTTTTACATTTTTTTGAGACTATTTCTGAAAAAGAAATGGACGAATTGAAATTGAAAAACCACCGTATACAACCGAGACAATTTCCATCAAAATTGACCAATAAAAACTTTTCATTCTGCCGTTTCGTAATATGCTGTTCGCTTCCAAAGTATCTATTTATGAATTATTCCATTTTGAAGGGTACCATCGATTTATTTGATACTTGTATTAAGCACAATATAACAAATTCTTTAAGCTAGCTAAAGTGTCTGCTGCAAACTATGAAAAAAAACAAGACGCAAGTGATATTTTTGTAAAAAATTTACTAGGCACAATGTTTTTTAAAACGCTAATTTTCATGAAAACAAAGTAAGGTGTCATGAGAAGCTGCATAAGGAAAAAAATACTAGTAGAACACAAATAAAAAAAAACTTTATTAGTTGTTCAATTCTATCTATTTTTACTTATCCTACAATTTTAATAATACATTCAATAAGTGCTTCTTTCAGTTTTGATATTCAGTCAAAATAATTTCAAAAACCTATTTCATAGAAATATTGTAATATTAGTACCTTGCAGTAAGAAACTTTTCTAAACTATCAACATTAAAAGTATAAATAAATAAGACCTAAGAGAGCCAATCAGATGGAACATTTTTAAAAATCTGAGAATATTTATTTCAGAATAATAAAAAAAATTAAATTGAGCAGTTCAAAAATGAGTAGTTCTATCAACACAAATACAAAGTCTGTTATCTATCGATAATTTATAAAACCTAAAATGATAACAGTACTACAACAAATACCAGATAATGCGTAAAAGGTAATGAAAAGTGATATGAAAGACACCCAGCAATTCTATCAACTAACATACAAGAATACATTAAAGTCGTTGGGATCACGTTCGATATATTTATTCTCGATTAACCATTCAATCTGGGAAAAAAATAACATAAAAAATTAAACATTTAAAAAAAATTTCCAGTTCCTTCATTAATAACTTGATAAAACAAAAGGCAAAAAGGGACTATTCATAAAAATAAAAAACCAACCTGCTCCTTAAAAAGACGCTTTGATGGTAAAAATACATTTTTGACAAGTTCAATAAGTTCAGTCTGCAACTGAGCGCTTGGACAACGCTTACGAACTTTCATGATCTGAAAAAGTTTCCATTGCCAAATGTATAAATTATACAAATTGGGAATGTACAAATTATCTAAAATATGCTAGATCAGCTATTCACAAACAAACCTATTTGAACAAGGTAAGGACAAACTTTAACAATGGCTTCTTGAATCCTTTCAGCCCTTAATTGTAAAATATCATCGTGCTCATCTTGACTATTTTGCTCCATGGATAACTGTAGACGACCAATCAGATTTATTCGGCCTCTACTGTGGTCTTTACCATTCTGTAAACATGCTCACTAAGATTCTTATCTAAGCCCTAACCATGACTGAAGTTTAATTATGTTGCAATGGAAAACTATAGAAAAGAAAAGTGAAAAATCGTATATCTTGAAAAATATTTAACTCGAAATTTGCCATATATTAGAGCATTCATACAAAAACCTTTAAAAAAATAAAGTTTAAGAAATTTTTACAGAAAACGAAATACTGAGTAAAACGAAAAAAAATTAAAGAAATTTAAATAAAAACCAAATAAAATTTTAACCTTATAAATTGCAAACTGTTGGTTCAACCAAAATAAAGTTGAGTCGGTGAAATCGCGAAAATTCATAGATTTACAATCAGTTAACAATATTTGATGCTTCATTTTTGGAAAAGCTACAAGCCACTAAAAAATTATGAAGCTACTGTAACGAATTTTATTCCATCTTTTAATCCGCAATTTATACTGTTCAATATTTTTAAAAAATATTCGAAATGAAAAAAAAAGCTTACAATAATTTGTTATCAATATCAAAGAAAAAACTGAGAGAAAAAATTGAACTAACAGATAATGTTCGCGATAGGTCTGCTTTTGCTAACTGCGTAGCAATGCGAAGTGTTTCGAACGAAAGTTGATCATGTGGGCGATCATTCCAACAAAACAGTACAGATAACTGTAATGTTGTAACATCCAAATCAAATTTGCCTACATTATTCGAAAACGAAACCTAAAAAGTGAATGAAATTAATGAGGCCAAGATATTAAAAAATATGCGAGCACTTTTATAACTCAAAATACCAGTAAAAATAAAACAGAATTATGCATATGAACTTAACCGTCCCATATGACCAGTGGTGAAACCACTGAAGCTTTCTTCCATTATGCTGTTTTCGATAGAATTCATCAACTTCAGGCAAAATATCTTCAAGTTCCCGAGGCAATTGTAATTGCACTTTTTCACCGAATCTTGACCAAGCTCCCGCATTAAGGACTTTTAATGAGACTGATTCTTAAATTATACATATAACTATGCAAAAAATATTCGTAACTCTCTGAAGTTTTATTATAATCAGATTAAATTTATGTAATTTTTTAAAAATATTGGTGAAAAATTTTTTTTACGAATCTAACGAGCCATTTTACGAAGTACAGCAAAACATTAGACTCTGACTTATGACTCTGTCAGTATAACCTACAGCTTTAACTTGACATATTTTTCCCCTATCATTTGTGCGATTAAAGTATGCTTTACTAACCAATCAAATCGTTCCTCTCACTTTTATTTTTTCCAATACCTTTTTTGAAAGAATTATTTATATCTTTGCTGAGTTCGATATCCTGCAGCATTCGGTACAATTTATTAATATATTCAGCAGGCATACCCATTTCACGCATCCTGCAAATTTCAGTGTTGTTCGCATTTTAGTTCTAATTTACTTCAACCAGATTGATTATATCTTACTCAGTCGCCATTGGAAGAATTCTGCACTAGACGGTCGTTCCTATCGCGGAGCTGAAACGGGAAATCTTCATGGATCTGAACATCTTATGGTTCGAACCAAGACCCGCATAAAATTGACACAGAAAGCAAAATCCCCTAAGATCCTTCAACTATTTCAAACTAAAAAATTCGGAGACAATGAGCGCGTTTCAAACCGAATTATTGAAGCATTTCAGTGATACAAATATTAATAATTTTTCTGGAACGGCAAATGAATACTGGTCCAAACTAAAAGAATATCTCCGAAAGTCAGCCATTTCCACGCTAGGGCTAGTAGATGTGATAGTTGGGTATGGGAAGCAACTGTCCAACTGTCTGAAAAAACTGCCAAAGCATGAATGACAGGTGATCCTGACTACCGGATGCTTCGAAGATTTGCAACGAAAGCAGCACGGCGGGACAGAAATAAAAATCACTATTGGAATGACATGGCCTTAAGAATAGAGGCGGCGGCTCGATTAGGCGATAATAGGAAACTAACTATTCTGCCTTCTTCATAAAGCAACTATGACTCGGGGAACGATCAGTGAAATGGTAAGAGACAGCAATGGCGTACTAATCAAAAGTATTAAGGATCTTCTCATAAGATGGAAAGAATTCTTCGAAGCCAAGCTTAACCATGAACCATCTGTCGCCCCTGATATAACTGATACGTTCGCTGAACCATATGCTTGCGAAAGAAATAATTTCCGTTGATTATAATCTTAAGGCCGAAAAGACTCCGGGAGAAGATGGTCTTCGGGATAAGCTTTTCAAACATTGCCCATTGTCCTTCACAACGCATCTTCAACAAGTATACTCTCTAGTATGGAAAAAAAGAAATTTTACCAGATGATTGGAGCAATTTTGCTCCAAATTCTCAAGAAAAGTGATAGGACATACTGCGACAATTATCGAGAAATCAGTCTACTAGACGTCTCAGCGAAAATCCCAGATCTTGGCTTCCCTGTTACTCAACAGACTTATGGAAGTATGGGACAGCAGGATGCGCCCTAATCAAACTGGTTTCAGATCGGGACGTGGTTGTGCTGACCGGATATTCATGTTAAGAAGAGTGTTGAAACATCGCTTCAGAATTTGCAACAACCCACTGTCACATGTTTCATCGACTTTGCGGCTGCCTTTGATTCAACTGATAGAGTGGCGTTTTGGAGAATGGTGGAACGTGACGGTGTTACAGAGAAGACCATTCGATTCATAAAATATTTTATGAACGCACGTCGGCGCAGGTCTGTGTATATGGGAAGCTGACAGACTCCTTCGAAATAAGAACTCAGTCTGTACGCGATAAACTGGGTAATGGTGTACATATCAGCCCAGAGCACCGTATCACAGATCTTGAATACGCTGGTGATGTAGTCCTCTTTGCTGACAACTATGATGAAATGCAAACAATGCTAAATAACATGTCGGCGACTGTGTAGCAAAAATAGGGCTCAAGATTGATAAAATGGCCAAAATGATATTATAACTAGGATCACGGCAGCTAGAAATACATTCTTCCGGTTGACGAAACCTTTATGGAGCCGTCATAAAATTACCATTAAAACGAAAGTCCGCATATATGTAACCATACATATATATATATATATGATTCGTTCGATCTTTCTATATGGCTCTGAGACATGATCAATAATAGTAGAGGATATTAAGAAGCTATTTACCTTTGGCCACCCTTGTCTAAGGTGCATTTTACGGGTCCGTCGAACGGAAAAGGTATCACATGTTCGCATTCGCTTTCGTTCAAATACCACATGCATAATGTTATCACAGAGCGTCGCCTTCGCTGGTTAGGGCATGTTCTCCATCGTCCACCACAGGAGTTGACGCATATCTCGTTACTTGCTAAACCATGTGAAGGATGGCGTCAAAAGCGAGGTGGGCCAATCAAGACCTGTACTGATACGGTTAGAAAAGATTTTGATCGTATAAGTGGACCAGCAATACATGGACTTGATGGAAAAAGGAATGGCTTCTATTACTGTCGACGATGGCATCAGATTGCGCCGCTTGGATATGTCTTACCCTTGTAGTCGTTGCAATCAGCCTAACCAGTAATGGTTAGAGTTGTTAGAAGAAGAAGAAGAAGTTCTAGTTTTTTGGGCACGAAATTAAAGCATGTTTCAATATTTCATAGTTTTTCACACATTTTCTTCATAAATGACCCTTTACTTTCATCTTCACACCATTTTAAATTTTCTTCAGTGCATATAATGTTCCTTACTTCGTCTGCGAATGAATCTAACAATTAGCAAACTGAAGTTTTCTAATATAAAACAGAGAAATTTTCGCCAAAACCCGAAAATTCAAAAAATACCTGGTGACCACCTGCTCCTCCTTTTCTTGATCCACACTGATTTCGAGGATAAGTCTTCTCGTTAAATGAGCTTTGTAGAAACGCATAAATACATCCTTGTTTGCAACATATTTTAAAACCAAAAGCTAGAACAACTGCTTCACAATAAGCCAAAAGTATATAATAAAAAAAGTTTAACCATTAAGAAAACTAGAATCGAAGACTGATATGAAAAACGTGGATACTTTTCAGTATTTCGGAATAAACATATTCGATGCTTTTTTGCGACTCACTCTGATGGCTTGTTGGGTCAGACATGTTTTGCCAGAAAGTCACTTGGCGACAGAAGTATAAATGAATCGCCAACATCACCCTGACTTTTGAAGAACAGGTTCACCTGCTGGACGTAGAGCCTCACCACAGGCAATCCAAACAGGGCAACAACCTACAGAACCATTCTACCTTTTTACTTTCGTCGTTCATTGGCACTGCTGCTCCACGAAACGTGGTGCGCCGGCCAGGTCCGAATCAAAGTCTCGGTTCTCGCTGGAAATTACCTTACCATCGAACCACTGTCGTACCGCCATTAAGCCACTATCTGATGTTTAAAAAAAGAAAAACAGTATTGCTAACTGACATTTACTAAAGTTTAACATTATCTTCTAAGAATTAATAATAAAAATCCATTTCATATTTTACCAAAAAAACTATATCCACAACACTTACGACTTGATTTAATTTGGTGTCAACTTCATCAGAATTAAGCCTTTTCGACACAGCTGTCTTTCTTAAAATTAGATCACAGAAATTGGCGAGTAATTCAGGGCATTTCGATTCAACTTGGACACGTGTTCCACTGAAAAGTGGATGCTTGAAGTCATTTCCCGAAGCAATACTGTATTATTGTTTTGAATGAAAGGTAAAAAAAATTATCCATGTAAAGAGGAAGAGAAAGATTGACTGATCATAGAGAAGAAACCAGCATGCAGATCTGGAATATTACTTCGAACCTAAGAAAAAAAATTCACATACGCCTTCAACTTTGAACTGCAGAGTTCGATTTTGAAAATTCTCGTATCGCTGACCACGTCTTGAAATGCCTGATCCCTTGTCGTTAAAAATCGTGGATCATCATAAAAGGCAACAGAAATTAAATCTGTGAAACGCTCAAACATCAAAAGAAGTTGTTCAACGTATTTCTCGGGGTCCTGAATATAAAATTAGTGGCAAGAATACCTTAGAGTGACTTCTTCTTTAAAACTACCAGAAGCCTAATAAACAACAAGGTTTATTTTTAAACTTCGACAACAAGGTTTATTTTTAAACTTCTTTTGCTTTCAGATCGACAACAAGGTTTATTTTTAAACTTCTTTTGCTTTCTTTAAAGAAAATGTATCAAAGAAAAGAAAGAAATGATATTAATTGACAACACTAACAGTTGTTATTGTATCCACGTTAGCTTTCATCTCCTCGAAAGCTTCGATACGGATATATTGGTCCAAACATCCCAAAATTTTTGGTATTCCGGATGAAGTGCGATTGATTAAACGATACATTTTTTTTAGCACTACAATAAAGTTTCCATTAAAAAAATACTAATCATTTTCAGATCACAAACTCATTGTTTAATCAACAATAAACGTAGACAATTATTTGATTGCTCTTAAACATAGAATTTTTCGAAATTTGAAGCCTAAAGGTATATAATTTAAATGTAATTTAAATGTTCTTATTTTAACGGATTTGGCTTATGATTCAACGACGAAAGACCAGAGGGAAGTTTATGTCGCTGGAAAAAAATTTGAAAATGAAAATATTCGTTTTTGTAACTTATCTTCATGCGAAACACCTAATATAAATAAATATTAACTTGAAGCCTCCAAAAACATTCAATTTGATTAATCTGAAGCAGTTAAAACAAAATAAAATTTTCTAGCACGTACTGTCCATATGATTAGATTTTAACAACGAGTTACACTCGCCCAGAATTTGATCTTCAAACTGCTCCACGATTACTTGAACAAGCCGTTCCAGTAACTTAAGTAGATAATTCATCAAAGAGTACCAAAAATAAAGGAAAAAGATAGTTTTTTAATACAGTGTGTCGGTGCAATTTGCCTAAAAAAATAATTCATTATAATTCACTTAGACGACCTTATCGACGGAATGAGCTCCAGGATCAAGATACCGATGACCACGTTCTTCTTCTTCTAACAGCCTACTATCAGCATACGTCATATAATTTTTTACACCATTTGTTTCTAAAACCTGAAAATATAGCAAATATAGAAAAAAATATAGGAAAAGATATAACAATATAAAAATTTTGAATTTCATTATTTTCATTGACAGGTAAACAAAGTCGATGTAAACCAATTTTACAGTTAATAAAAATTAAATAACCTCTGGAGCATTCGACTTATAATATTTTTCAGCGCATTCGATATATGCTTTTTCAAATTCTAGTTGATAGACAGATATATCATTGGAATTTAAAGAAACTGAAACAACAGAAACAAAAGAAGTATGAAAATAAATTTAATTTCCCTTCAAAAATGAAACTTACTATAAGAGTGACGAATAGCAATTATCAAATCAGGGGAATATTCTGTACCATTTCGTTCAGACTCAATTAAACGCATACTAGCTGAAGAAAGCCTAGCTCTCATGCGTTCAAAAACTATTTTATTCCAGTAATGTAGCATTCGCTGAAAAATATAAATAAATTTTCAATTTAAAAAATTATTGGCCTAAAAAGCAACATTTGAGTGCCATACTTTCGCTAACAGTTATAATGTTCGCGAATTAATATGCTAGGATGAAATATTTTGAAATGAAGTACTCAGCAGATACCAAAAATATCTTTCATTTAAAGCATACCAGGTAATATGGCACTTAATTATTTAATTATAAGGAATGACAAACAGACATAGCTGATGAAGGACACGCTTACCGAAGCAACCTCGTCCGTAGCTCTTTTAACAGGGCAAGCTGGATTTATAACAGTATCTATTGGCAAATTAATATATCCAGAGCTTATATAGCAGAATGGTTTTGGCAAAATTTCTGTCTGTAAGTAATATTTCGACCATTCTTCGCTATATGCCTTTAGCAACTTTTTATCATCTTCATGACACTGCAGTTGCTAAATTAAGCCAATTTTACTTAAATTCAAATAAAAATTTTAAAGAGCCTATACTATTTATTCATTACTTTGTTGTTATAAACTTACACAAAAATTCAATCAATGAGTTGAAAAACTTATTTGGAAATGATACCGATAGTACAATTTAAATGACTATTTCATGTTGGCGCATAGTTGTTTGTCTCATAAAAGTGAGACAACAAATTTTCTATAATAAAAAATAAAAATATAATAAAAAATTATCGCACTTATATATACTCAGTGGCATATATTATAAATCAAAAGTACAGGTCACAAAAAATAAATTACTAACTCGATAAACAGCCGAAACATGTTGATTTATTTCTGAAAACAAATTTACAGTTGCTAAACGACTTCCCTCAACTACCCAAGTACATATTCGATGAATTATAACGAACAATTCTTGCCATTCATTATGTGAAACTTCCTGAAATACTCTTCTGATTTTGTAAAAATAATCTTCTATTGAAATTGCAACAATAAGCAAAAAAAACACAAATAAAATGACGTGAGTGAATATTCAGACACCAAGTTCTGGAAAACCTTTAAGCCGTAAAAATATGAGCTATAAAATAATAAAATGCACAAAAAATGAACCGGAAACTGCTAAAAGACGCTACATAAAACTTCAATACGACCAAGGAAAACAACCTGACAACGAAGAAGCGCAAGTATCGTCCGCTTAGCAGGCATCCATTCCATATCAAATGGCTTGACATGATCGCTCTGCAAATAATGATCTTATGGTGATTTTGAAAAATGCGCGATAAAATTATGATGAAAATCGGCTGAATAATTTCTCGAACTGATGAATGTATAAATGGCAGATTAGTGGAAATAGCCTAAAGGATACATTTGAAAAATCATAAAGCAGAGAAGGTGAAACGAACGAAGGACAACCTAAATCTGCGAGGAGAGAGTGGAACTCAAACTCCGAGACAATTTTCCGTAATAATCATATTTAGGCATTTGTTAGAGGATGTTTTTGATGCAAAAGTATTCTGCAGACATTAACAAGCAAAAATTGGGGAATTCTTAAAACATTAAAGGCAAAGAGACATTTAATGGGAATCACTGATTGTGCTTTTTTGTCTGAAAAAAATGCACACTTCTGATTTCGCTGGAACAACTGACTAGGAGACGGAAGATCGCCACAGAATAACCGACGGATATGGCTGTAAGCGGAAATAGGCTTATTCGCGCAATCGATGCCCAATTCCCAGTTTACAGTGATCTGATGAATAAAGCAAGTTTTTGGAAAGATTTAAATTTCTAAATGAGGAATGAGGAAAACATTGAAAATTATGGCGAAATATTGCAGTCACAGCGATCACATGAAAATTCATTGATAAAAATTGCTTTCGAAGGAAATCAGCTGACGAGTTATTTTATAAATTATTTCGAAAACTAGAAGTTACAAAATAATTACAGTTAATTTTAAAACTGGAACCGAAGAAAATTCAATGCCAATGTCCCACGCTTCTGTTCCCAAGTAATGCTCTAGAAGCCTCAGTCTAGCAGCCAAAGAAGAGAAGGTGGAGATTGTTAGAGGAAGAAGAAAGTGGATTATCTATCGTGCATTTCTAGGTATCATTTAGGTATCATTTAGGCTGCTTCCGCAGGCCACTTATTTGAAGTTTTTCAATTTAGTTCGATTTTTTCTGCAATAAAACGAAAAGTTTGTCATACTTCAGATAGATTTCAAGTGAAATTGTGATTTAAATTTAATATTTCAACAATTTATATCTAAGAATGGAGCTTTATTGTTATTGAAAAGTTAGTTATCAGTTGACATATATTTTATTGAATATTAAAAAAAATTGTAGAAAATAGCAGTGCGAATTTCATTTTTATAAAGTAGATGTAATCTTTTGAACGATTCCGGTTATCCATTATGGACATATCGTGACTGTTGTACATGTTTGTTTTGTTTTTCCGAACTTTTCCCACTCTTCATTTAGAAAAAGGCATCCATTTAATTAGTGCAAGTTTCTAGTTACGCTTGTTTCTGTGGCTTGTAAGGTAGACAAATTTTGCCATGGAGTCACTTGGCGATACGGGTGGTCAACAACATTAAGAGCTAAATGCTTAAAACTTTCCATTAGTGTGCTGATAGTGATATTATAAATATGTTAGCACAGCACCATGTGGTGGGCTATTTATCTGGATTATGTTTTAGAGAGATCTATTTGCCAATTTTTTGTTTACTAACCGTTGGAGATTTAAGTTCATCTGGGGCATCATGGTAAATGCATGGCAAAAAGAATATTTTTTTTCGGATTGCTTGCCATAGATTTCTTTAATACAGCAGTACCCGAATAAATCCTTTTTATGCAAGATTAAATTTATAGACCAATTCAGCAGCGAATGCAGACAAATAAAGTGGTTTCTTTTTCTTAGAACCGAACCTGTTTTTTTAAAATCTTCCTCTTCGTCGTCCAGCATTTTACACCATTACTGATTAGGTTAGCTCCACTGGCTACAAGAGTTTTTGAACTACTATATTTCATTTTAAAAATTAGCATGGTATAAGATGTTTTTTAACATCATCTGCGTTTTTTGATCTATATTTTCTGAATTTTTTGCAAATTTTTTATGTCTGAATCATAAGGCATCGATTTATTCCGATATGCTTCATTTTTATACCATATTTGTTATCTATTTTACAAAAAAACTTCGTTTTAGTTAACCTAGAATATTGCGATACTCTTAGAAGCACGCGAGGTTAGAGCAGTGTGAAACTTCGAGGGTCAAGGGGGTCATAAAGGGGAATAACTGAATTTAGAGGGAGAGGAATAAAAGAATACGGTATTCAACAGTACTTGGGAAGAATTTTCCAGTTTAAATTCAATTCGTTTTGCGAATCTAAAGATTATTTTTAAACTTTAAATTCGGATCAGGTTGACTGAAGCAATTTAATTTTTCTTCCTTTCCAGTTTGCAATTCTTTAAATTGCAAATTTTTAACCCGCAGTAAAATTTTTCACTCATTTATTTTGTCAATAGAAAATATTTATTTCGGCGAATAATTTCGGCCAATAAAATAACATTGTTGCGGCGAAAGTCATCAAATTTTCATTCGATAGCGACTCAGTTGATATTTATAACAAATTTCACTCAAATTTCTTACCAAATTGATTTCCCTCTGAAAAGCCACAAAAAAATTTTATAAACGGGCATTGCATGCAAGTTCGGCGAAACTATCCATTCGATTGTTTTTTGCAATGGTGTGATAATGTTGTATGTTGGTGCAACAATATTTATGATTTTTACGAAAAAAACATTTAGAAAGCGTAATCTTTTTCAAAACTTTTTCGGATAGAATATATTAGAACATTATGCACTCGTTAATCCGGAATTCGTAAAGAATGCGTTAACTGCATTAAATATGCAACTTGTGGAGTGAACAGTGCTTGCGAAATTCGACTTGGGGTGAGCTGTAGCTTAGCACGAACGCTATTCGAAATATCTATGGAGGAATGGAAAGAAGCTTTTCTTAGGTGCAAATCAGAAATATTTAATTAAGAACAGATTTCATCTATAACTGTGGTAATGCGAATAAAGATGTGTGACCTTAAATTATGATAACAATGGAAAAAGACTTATAGAAATTAAATAATTGCTAGGAGAAGATGAATTTAAAATAACTTCGAAAACTGGATCTCTTTTTTCAAATAGCGAAAATAGCGAATATGTTGGCTGGCAATAGGCAAATTGCACCCTTTTCTTTTAATTGATCACGTCGAGTAATTCACATTTTTCGCGTTTATTGATGATTGATCCAACTCTGGCTTATGTGACAAAATTTTTTTGATTTTCTACTAAAACACACATTCGATTCGATTTCAGATGTTTCAATTTTTTTTCATTAATAAAATTCTTTTGTTTATTGTTGTTGCTTTGTTGTAAAATCAATCAGTTTTTCTTTTCTTTAATTTAAAAATTAGAAAATCAAAAACAGATTTGTAAAATTTTTCTCAAATCAGAAAACGATTGAGAAATTTAATGCCCAAAAAAGCGACTTATGCTAGTGGTTTAAAAAGTTCCATAAAGCAATTTCAATATAATGGAACAGCGAAAATTTTGCATGGTGAACTTTCTCATTGACAAATGAGAGATCCAGCAGCATTCGAATATGGCCAGATTCGAGCTTTTTTTGAAATGGTTAGTACTGGCCATTTCTGGTTTGACTCTTTCTACTCGTTAGTACGATGAAAAATTTTGCCTGAGAGAATTGTAGATAGAAATATAGTTATGAAGCATTATCGTTAATGAAAGCTTGTTACTGCCAAGATTAGGGCCATACCAGGGAGCTGGATAGGATAATATAATAAATAGCAATTACTGGACTATTCTGTTTCCAGATTCGGCTTTGACTCAAAATGTTATTAGCTAGTTAGCAAATAAAATATTATATTTGTGTTTTCGGAATGAAATATTTGGCCATCTGATACTTTTTTTGGCAATGTTTCTCAATATTGTTTGCAATGAAACATAATAGTAAAATCTTCTTCCAGGATCCACTCCATTGCCAAAGTACTGTTTCAATCTAATCCATTAGTAATATTCCAAGAAATAAAAAAATTACTGGTCAGATTCGATTATTTTAAGGAAACTAAAACACGCTGGCAGTAAATGAGTAATAATTGGGTAAAACAGTGAAGTTTGATAATTTGTGAATTTATGAAATCCATATAAATCAATAACTAAGGTAACAAATAATAATTAATTCATGAATTTCGTGTTTTCGAGCTAATCAATGTAAATTGAAAGCAATTTACCTTGGCAGTTAGCGACAACAGCGAGCGAAATTTTCTTTATTTAGGAAAGTAATTTTCTAAGCTAAATAATCAGTTGGCGATAATCTTATCTACTCGTTACTGAAACTTTGCTTTAGCTGAACTTCAAAGAAATTTTTCATCACTTTAAATCAGTTTTTTGTAAATAAGTAACTAAGCACTAAAATAGAGAAACTGTACTTTTGAATTTGCATTTGCAAGGTTGAATTTTGAATCTATAAAGCCCGAATTGAAGTCGCGAAGATTTTCCGCTTTCATAACAGGGGAACCACCGAAGAAGCCACTTAAATTGGCTTATTAGTTAGAGATTTCTTTTCCTTCTTGAAATCTCCCCATGGAGAAATTAGCGACAGAATTTAAGTAAATAAACACAGACTGTGCAATCAAATTATCTCCCACCTTCGAGCATTCTTCTTGAAGCTTAAAAGTGATATTTAAAACTGATTGTTCATTCGTTTTCATCTAACGTGTTTTAGGCAATGCAGTTGGAATGCGATTCGTTATGGCAATGATTATATGCATTAAATTGGTGGCGGGTGATACGAAAGAGCGCATAGCGAGTTTATTACGCGATGATGAACAATTCCATCACCAATGGGTTAATCTGATCGAAATGCAGGTATCTTCCGAGAAAAATTCCCTTAAATTTCCTTTTATCGATGCGAAGGAAAAAACTGCATCTTATCGTTAGTCATCGAATAAGTTTCATAAAAAGTTTGCGATATAAGTGGCTGCTATTATTTGACTTCCAATTGCCACAGAATAAAAATTACCCGTCTATAATACTTCTATCCACAAGCAATAATTCTCTAATGAAGGAATCATCAACTCAACAATCCATGAACGAAAAATTAATTTGAAAAACGCAAAATCCTTTTATTTTTTGCCTATATAGTAGTTTTTTTAAATCTTCGTTTATTTAATGGTAGTTCCTTTGAGGAAGATTTATAATTTCTAAGCTGAATATTTTGTGCCTTTGGAGATCATTTCGCGTTTTCTGTTTAAAAAATACGCAAAAGGTGCGAAACAAAACTGAAAAATATTATCGATGGACTTAAACTTTATTTTTTAAAGATATTATTTATTTCAAGGAGCGTCAATTGCGTGAACAAGAAGAGGAATTTCCGTTAAAAAATATTTCTTATTTACTGGAATGTCCTCAATCCGAAGGCTTTCGATTCGATCATTCTGATCATCTTCGACCAGCAGATATTGAAATTTACGCTGAATTAGGCCATTTATCACGGTTCTGTCACCACAATCTCATGTCTTTGTTAAATGGTACCACGTTTTCCTTTATTTTTTTATACTAAACCAAAAACTTTATAAATTTTTAGAAATTCCCTATGGATCTTAGAGATTTAAAATTACAAATTTTGGAGAAAAAATAAAAAATTTATTTATTTTATGAACGACCTTAAAAAATATAAATATTAGATTACTGGTTTAAATTATGGTTTAAAAAACCTTTTTAATATAAATTTACCGACTTTATGTATATTTCTAACCTTGGTTCACTTGAATCGTTTCCTTTCTCTCAAAGATGCTTGAATGGAGGAGCGATTATTTTCTTTTTATTTTTTAAAAATATTGTTCCTTTTTTTGTAAACAGTAGCAAAAATAATAGTGATAATAGATGATGCAAAATTTGCATCTTTATTTACATTTTTGTCTGAAATATCTTACAGCATCGCCAAAAAGAAATTATTGACAGTTTTACACAACATTATATGTACGCTTTAATCTTAATTCATTTTCTGAGTTTAAAAAAAAAAAAAAAATTATGTCCTGGAAAAACTTGAGAATCATTACATGGGTTTTAAGAAGAAATCTATAGGCTTTTCTGGACTAATTCTTAAGCGTCAACAAAATAGGAAAGCTTAAAAATTCCTCAACCGAGATGAACAAATACTAACTATCGGCAAAACTTGCCTCGTCTAGAGGGTGAGAATTAATTATTGTTCTTTGACAGGAGTAAATCTTGTCATATAAAATTCTGGTGATTCTTAGGAGTCACTTGTATTTTATCCTTAAATGATTTTCTAGCGAAAGTGTCGCACTTCTAAAAACTCAGCCAACCAATCCAGAAACCGTAAATGTTGTGAGACCATAGTTATACTGACAACTATATTTTATTGAGCTAATCTTATCTTTTGTTATCTTTTTTCGATGAAATTTAATTTAAAATAATATCAAATCTTGAACAATATTTACTTCAAATATATCACTCTTATTGGGAATTGCTAACAGAATCGTTTTGCTCCTGTTATCTGCTCTTGGGGATAGAATGACTCAGTGGGTTGTTGCTAAATTTGCAGTGCCGATTCCTTCGTTAAATATCGATGAACAATCACAGAACACCGTCTTCACTTTTAAGGGCATATTTTTCATCACCCACCACAGGAATTGACGCGTATCTCATTACTTGGTAAACCTCGTGAAGGATGGCGTTAAAAGCGAGCTGGTCCGATAATGATCTGGACTGATACAGCCACGTAAGAACCTATAGGCAATATATAGACTAAGACGATGGAAAAAGAAATGGTTTCTACTGGTGCCAGCGATACTCGGTGGGTTTTGCTCAGCGCTGATGCTGAGGTTCGATCCCGCAGGATCAAACCAGTACGAAAATCCGGGTGATGCTGGGGACTCACCTGTATTTCTATCACCAAGAGACTCCATGGCATATTGCCCAATGCAACAAGTCAGTGGAGTGAGTTTAACCAGTAACGGTGAGGATTCTAATTTTATTATCAGCTATTGGTTCTTTTTCTCATACCAGTGAATATACCGTTTCAAAGCACCTAGTTTAAATTTAGTCTTTGCTTGCAAATTAAATAAAGAATATGGCTGAACATGGAATAATTCATAGTTTTTAAAAAGTAATAAATGTAAAACAAATAAAACAAATAAAAGCATGAAGATTATAAAGCTTTGACCAAAATTTCCCAATGTTTATATCAAATTTACGATTTAATATGTATATAGATTTAATATATATAGATCTTTTGTATTGTAATATATAATTAATCCAAATTATAATTTTTTAGGTGATTTAGATTCTTGTCAACATCCCGGTTACACGATGAAATTACCGACAATTGATAAATTTTTGGCTATTTATAATCCAAAATTAGTTACTGTGGAATCTTCGAATGATACAAAATTGAAAGCACAGCGACTGCATTTACTGAAAATGTTTGAGGAACGATATGACTGGAGAGATAAGTGGAAACTGATCGCTATTATGCCAAGTATGGAGGTACCTTCTTGCTTATTTTTGTGATTTTTGAGAATGGTAATGCATATATGATGCGCGTGATAATTCTTCTGGACTTTTTTCATTTTCTCTAAGCACTATTCTTTTTCTGAAGTAAAGCACAAACCAGCTTCCGCTTCATTAACGAAAAAATAAGCGTCAATGAGAATTTTCAGGATGGTGAAACGTCAGAATCCATGCAATCTGCAGTTGAAGTTTTAGAAACAATTGAAGAACTTTATCGAATCGTCCCTCATCGTACGCTGATCGTTGTTGCGCGAAGTTCTAGTTTTGGAATCTGGCAAGATGCACTTTATTCTCACCTGGCTTGTCGCAGTATGTTGGAACGATGGCGACCCTATACGCATCTTAATTCAATTTCAGTTTGGGATCAGGTTCTCTTCTTCTTCTAAGCTCTGACCATTACTGGTTAGGTTGAATCCGTTCCGCTGGCTACAAAGATAAGATTACCGAGCTGTTCGGTCCGACGCCAACGCTAATGATAATAGAATCCATTCCTTTTTTCACCGTTTAAGTCCATATATCGCTGGTCCACTTATACGTTCAAATCTTCAAGATCTTCCCTAATCGGTCCAGGTTTTGATTGGTTCCCACTGTTTTTGATACCATCCATCATAGGATTTAGCAAGTAACCAAATATTTGATAATTTCTGTGGTGGGCGACGAATAACGTGCAGCTAAGTCGACACTTTGTAATGATATCATTAATATGAGTAGTATAAGTGAAGATGGATGCAATCAAATGAGATTTTATCAGCTTGGAGGACCCATAAAATATAGTTTAGACATGAATGTCAAAGATAAATAACTTTTTAATATCTTCCACTGTAAACAGCCATATCTCGCAGCCATATAGCAAGATCAAACGAATCGCAACTATATAGCCGTGGGCTTTCGTTTTTATGGTGATTTTACGATAGCTCCATAAAGGTTTCGTCAACCGGAAGAACACATTTCTAGCCGGGTTGTAGTTTCATCTTTTGCCCTTCTTCTTTGGCCAATCAGTATTAGAGTGGACCGGTATTTAAAATCGGACATTTCCTCAATCGGTAATGAATTTATAAAAAGAGATATTTTATCAGCTTTCGTTTTATTTACATTGACCCTGAATTCGATTCGCGCTGCAACGCTGCAGTTGTTTAGCATTATTTGCATTTCATAACTTTCAGCAAAAAGGACTACATTATCAGCGCATTGAAGATTTGTGATACGATACTCTGTACCGATTTGTATACCTCTTCTAAATACCGATAAGCAATGTCCATTATCTAGTCTATTGCATAGTTGAATAGCAGTTCTTATTTCGAACTCTGTCACTTCCCCATATCTACACAGAACTACATATCTACACAGTACCAAATGCCTTTATGAATCACCTTCATTCTACAAAGCGTTGGTGTTAATTGGTTATCAACTAAATCGAAGGCAACTGCAAAATCCATCAAACATGTAACAGTAGCAGATACTTGAAGCGATATTCCAACGCTCCTCTCTTAACGTGAAGGTCAGCACGTATCCTTGTCAAAATTCAGCTTGATTAGGGTACATCCTGCTGTCTCATACTGCCATAAGTCTATTCAGCAGGAGGGAAGGGAAAATTTATCCGGAGATGTCTAGTAAGCTGAATTTGTTGAGGATACGATCTGAAGGACGATGGACAATATTTAAAGAGTTCGGCACGAAGACCATCTTCTCTGAGAGTTTTGTTGGCCTTAAGCTACTGGATAACAGAAATTATTCCATGTTCTGCTGATGGCTCGTAGTTGAAAGCATATGGATCGACAAGCGATTCAGCTATATCCAGGGTAACAGATTACGTATCGTGGTTAAAGTTGGCCTCAAAAAAATTCTTCCCAACTTATGAAGCGATCCTTTACAGTGTCTTAACAGGCACACTTAGTATATCGTATCATCTTACTGATTTTTTTTCAAGTTATTTTATAGTTACTTTATGAAGAATGTGGAATAGTTTGCTACTGTCATCTTCATTTTCAAAGCGATATCGCTTTAACAGCGATTTCTGCTTGGCCGTGTTGCTATTTGTAATTCTTTGAAATATCCGATGGTCCGATGTAATATCTCTTACCATCTCGATCTTTTGCAGCAGCCTTTTCAATTGCTTCCGATATCAACTAGCTCATTCCCTACTAGCATATCCTAGTATGGAAGCAGCTGAATTTCGGAGATATGCCTTTAATTTAGACTAGCATTCATATTTGCCGTTCCAGAGATGCCGTTCATTTCAGTGAGGTGCTTCATTAATTCAGTTTGAAATAATTCGGTTCGCTTACTCTTCCCCGAATCTTTTAGTTTGAGACAGTTGAAAGATCTTGGGAGATGTTTCCTGCGAGTTGTCAATTTTATTATTCATCTTAGCGCGAACCATAACATGGCCAGATCCATGAAAGTTACCAGTTTTAGCGCCTGGATACGAACGACTATCTCATACGGAAGTTCCAACAGCGACTGATTAGGATACAGTCATAGCTGGTTGGAATGTTGGTTATCCGGAGAATTCCACATGACCTAGATATCTTCTTTGATACCGAAAGCATGTATTAATAACAAAAAACTCATGCTGATCTGCAAAACGAAAAAAGCGTTCTCCATTGGCGCACTGGACCTCTATGCCATATTTGCCAGTTATCGTGACTGCATCGTGAACTGCGCGCGCATTCCATTCTCTCCCCATTATGACCATGTCAATTTTTGATAGAGATTTGTTAGCAGTTGTTGTTCCGCCTAGAACTTATCCTTATCGCGGTCAACTGCGCATAATTTTGGATACATATATACTGATTGATGATCGAAATATTCTGGAACTTTCCTTTGAAGCAAGTATAGACCCTATTATCAATCGTTTATCGGCTTCCACTCTATAAGAGCGGATCGAGGCTTTTCACACATGACAATCGCTTTACCATTCCGAAATTATCTGAAATACTCATAATGATATAACCAGTATCTCTGCTTGCAGCCAGGTTTAGTAATTGCACGAGATCCAATTTGAGGAAAATAAACCTCTGATAAGCATGCGCCATCTACACGATATTTAGAAAGAATTAGGGGACATTGTTCATTTGGTCTACGATGTACATAAGCATTCTGACCTTTCGAGCAGCTATGGCCAACACCTGACCGGACGTGCAGAGAGCCGTTTTTCTTGATTGGTTTCGAGCAATTACCCTGGCCCGCAAGTACATCACATTCTCGTTTGACTATGGTCGGACTACATCCTTATCAGCGAGCTGAAAATATCATACGTATAGGAGGTCGCGGATGCCGCGTCAAAAAAACCTGACCTTTTCACCATAGAGTCACACTGGGTTAGAGTTTTAGGTACGTCCTCAGCAACACTCCACTGCCTGTCAGCATAATGCAGTGGACAATTTGCCTAAGAATCAGTTTGGCGATAGAAATAAAGATGAGTCGCCAGCTGAAATTTGTATACATATGGTCAGTGTTTTTGTCACCATTACATTTCTAGAACAAATTATAGTCAATAGTCTCCTCATCTTTGGCAAAATTCTCTCAGGGAAAAATTTTGTGTTATTCGCTAATCTTTTCGAGTCTTTTATTCTGGATCTCCTTTAGAATAGGCTCCCTATTTACATTTACTTGTCTTTATCTTTTGCTTATCTCTCATGTATCACTATTTTCACTACTTTATTTGCTCTCCTTTAGAAGGCCTCGAAAAGCGTCGTGTCGACAATCCGAACCAAGTTGTTTGGACAATCAATTTGGGAAGTATTTAGTATTTCTACTTTTATTTAATTTTGTGTTTTAATGTTAATATAGTACATAAATGTCTATGAAAAATAAATCTAGGAAGGTTCATTAATTTCGTAACCGTGAATTTACTGATGTTAGGACACGCTGCTTGATTACCGGGGTTTACATAATTCGTAGTTATTATTATACACGTTACTGCTATTTATCACCGTTGTTTAATTACCTAAGTTTGAATTTGAATTAAACACCGACCGCAATAATAAATTTATGTATTTGCTCTGCATAAACCGAGCAAGTCTCGCTTTTGCTTTTTGAGTGATTTTACCTACAAAGTTTGTCATGGAATGATGTGATTTTATCTGGCACTTCATAATCTGTGGCGCCAAATCTAACGTACCAACAGCTTTTGGTGATTCCTAAAGAAAATGCAAGAATGTTTCGTGAAGTTTTGCAAAAATGCGAAACTGTCGAGTCTAACGTCGAAGGAATGCTTCATTCACCATATTTACCACATCTTTCGCTTTCTCTTTTTCTCTTTTCCGGTCTTCTAGGCAATCTTCAAAAAGAAAGATTTCGAAAACAAGAGAATCTTGAAAGCACTCCAGCAATTCATTTGGTCCCAGAAGACCGGACTTAAAAGCAAACAGAACAAGTGCACTTCTATCACCTTGGCAAAGGCGTGTGCAGTATAATTTCCATCAAAAATGCAATTTTTAATATTTGAAAGTGAATGGCCTAAAACCACGAGGATTTTTTCGATGATCCAATACTAACGGATTTGTGTGGAGAGGTTTACTAACGAGTTCCAAAATTTTTTAAAACGCCACGCTGCGTAGTGCGACCCTTGTTCATTTGTGGAACTATTAGAGCGCTGGTCTCCTCCAATAAGATATCGTTTTAGATCGTTGAGGGGCAAAATGCACGTTCGGTTTTATATGTCCGCGATTGATTATTAGTAATTTAGCGATAACTTGATGCATGACGTGCTATTTTTAAATTTTCCGTCCCTCTACTTTCTTTAGAATGCATTTCTAGATAACACTTGTCATTTTTGCTGCAAAAGACCATAAGGGATTAATATTCAAATGGAACTCAAATGGAACTATTCAGTCATTCCCCTTTTAATGGCAGGATTACTCCTGCAAATAAGGAGGAATCGGAACCTTACTGTTTGTAGAGTCGCACCAAATTAACGTTTTCTAATTATTCATCTTTTAGGCATAGGAGTCATTTCAAGAATTTTTTCATTCAAGTGCGGTTACAATTTTTGCAAAACGCTAAATATTCGTAACCTCGGTCATATCTCAGCACTGAATAAATTTTTGTAAAATCTTGGAACACGAATTCTGATTCTCTATACTATCATGAACTTTTTGATAATTCTTCTGACTAGGTTTTTATCTTAATTACCAAGAAAATTTTGGTTAGATGACTTAAAATTACATTTCGATTGTTAGTTAGTTCTCTACAGAATGATTGCTTATAACCATAATTCGGCATATTTTTTGCAAATTCCAGAATCAAAGGAGTTTTTATGTTTGGGAAAAATGTTCGGAAATGTTCGATGATGAGGAATACAAAATGGGCTGAAATCGCCTATGAATTAGCATGTCTTTGGTGCTCAGAAAGCCGTACATATTTATTTCACCATTTTTATATAACTTATGAAACTTACGGCTCTTGCTTTTCTCATTTTGAGTGAATGTTTGAATATCGAACTGTTTTTATGGGAAAACTACGGATCCCTCTTTGTTTACCAACTAATCGAGATTAGTTTCTGAAGTGAGAAAATGTAATCATTTAATGTTTTTCCTAAAGAAGGTCAGATTTCTTTTATTTCTTTTAAAACTCTCTTTGGCAGTGTTCTTTCGACCCTTGAACCACTGTACTTTTAGTGTTTATATGGAAGATAAAAATATTTATGAGGAAACGCTAGAGGCATTCGATGATAGAAATAAAGAAATAATCGAAGGGTGGCATTGGTGCTGTTTGCGATTCGTCGTCTATCTGTTAGGCAAATTTCTCCGTGTTGCACGTCATATTGCTTTTTCGTTGCATGATTTTTAAATTTCGAGTTTATTGTAATTTTTTAATTTACGGAGTTTTTCCAGTGTTTTTAGGAAATATTTTGGGTTGCGACTTGATTTATTGATTTTATGGATTTTTTGGATTTCTATCTTTTTTAGAAAATTTGAATTGAAGGGCGAGTCTAGTTTTATTTTTTAGTCATAAGTGATATATCAAATTCAGATTGGCAATAAAATAAGTTTATTCATTATTTGCAGGAAGTATTCGATGCATTAGGCTTTTTATGGGAGATGCACAGGTATGTCTGTGGAATGGTTTTGTGGATTGCTTTTGATATCTTTGTTGATGAAATTGAAAAATGTTGGTTGTGATGTGAGACTTTTAAAAAATGACAACTGATTTGTTTGTCTGTCGCTAAGTGACTTTGTGGCAAAATTTATTTAATCCGACAAGCCAGCGGAGTGAGCCTGACCAGACAGTCATGGTGAATATTCTTCATTCACTTTTGTTTACTTGCTGTTGGCGCTCTATTTATTTGTTTATACTTTGTTATATTAACCATGCTAATTATTATTATTATTATCGTTGGTATTTTTTTGGTGCATTAATATTTAATTATTTTTCAATAATTACGAATTTGCGGTGGTAAATATTGAAAAGGCAAGTGAAGCGCGAAATTATTTCTTTGTTTGTTTTTTTATTCTTTCAAAATGTTTGGTAATTCATAAGCAAACACTTTAATTTTTTTGTAGCGGCAGTTTTTCATATCTAATAAACTTATTAGAAACTTTTGCTTATTTTATTAGTTTATTTGAAACCTAATAAAGTTTAAATTGGTGCATTTTCAATTTTATTTGAAATATTTTATCGTTTATTTCTCCAACTTGTAATAAATACTCAGTGTTTCTGGCTTCACTGCTTCCACGGATGAGAGCTCTCCGTCAAAGAGTCGCTTGAAAGTGGAGTAAAAAAGCATTTTTTCATGTGATTTTTTTTGATTCCAACTTTTGTTTCGAAAGTTTTTCTTATTTTTATCGTTGAAAATAGTGTTAAATAAGTTTAACGGTATCTGTAGTTTGTTTCAACGTAGATTTTATTTTTTTATCATTTTAACACTTAATAAATGTGATTTTATCTAATGAAATAGCGTGCGAGAGGTAGCATTGGTTCGTCTTTTAATGTTATTTTATTGCAGGTTTAAGATTTTGTGGAAATATGGACGATTTTGCTGATTTTGACAAATTGCTTGGCAAATGGGCATATGAGAGTTCGGACAATTTTGATAATTATATGAAACATGTTGGTCAGTTAGTTTTATTATTTGTATTTCAGCAAATTTGCATTTCGACTTAAACAACAAGAGAGAAGTGGTGCAGTAGCGGCAATAAATATATTTAGTGGTATGAAATCGAATATTAGATGATTTAATTAGTTTTCATTAACACGATAAATAAAACTATAAATTCATTGCTGTAGAACCACTCTTAGCGCAAAATGACCTTCGCTGAGAACAGTAAATAAGTAAATTTTTGGAACTTTCTCTTTGGTCCAATAAAACAAATAAATTTCATTTATTTCACTCGAAAAAGTCGCGAGAATGGAGCCATATAGTGATGAATTTGTTCTCACCCTAAGAAATGTTTTTATTCGCAGCTATTTAAAATTGTTTGCGTGATATCGTTTCAGGTGTTGGTCTTATTACTCGTAAGATGGCTTGTGCTCAGAAACCGACTTTAATTATAACTCGAGATGAAAATAAGATAAAAATTGTCACTGAATCAACTTTCAAAACAATTGTATTAGAATTTGAATTGGGGAAAGAATTTGATGAAACAACAGGAGATGGAAGAAAGATGAAAGTATAAATTTTTTAACGAAATTTATCTGTAGTCCAATTGAAAAAATTTTTTTTCCAAAATCCAAAAATAATTTTTTAGTTCAAAAATTAATCGTGAACAAATCCATTGTGGTTTCGGATAATTTTAATGATTTTAATGATTATTTTTAGAGTATATTCTTTATGGAAAATGGGAAACTGATCCAAGAACAGAAAAAAATCAATCCTGAAGATAAAGATTCAAGATTTGAACGATACGTTGATGAAAATGGGACTTTCGTTATCGTATGTACATCGATTTTTTTAAGCACTTAATTATTTTTTCGAAAGACGACCGATTTTTTAAAATGTCTGTCTCATTTCTCTGGACGGTTAATCAGCAACGAATGATCATTTAAATTAATGGGAAAAAAATTTAAGCTTTTTTTCAGACAATGGAATCCGGGGGTGTTAAAGCGACAAGGACTTATAAAAAAATAAATTAATTTGCAATTTTTTCACCATTTATATTTTGCTTTATTAGTGCTAAATTTCATTTTTTCATATTTTCTTTTTTTCCGCTCTTCCATTTTTCTTGTATATGAATATCGTAAAGCGAGGCATTAAGCGTTTTTCATTTTGCCATTCATTTCTCAGAGAATGTTGCGAACTATTTTTTATTCATATAAAGCTTTATAAGCTTGATAAGCTTTATCATTGTTTTTTGTTGACTGCTAATTTAATAATATAAAACTTAAATTGGTTTGAGAAGTTTTTTGAATTTTTTCTATTTCTACTTTTTATACAGATTCACCGAATTCAGAATCACATATTTGAGGATTAGCTTTATTAATAATTATTATGACGTTAAATTTATCAGATCTTATATTATGCTAAGATTTTAATCCGGTTCACTCAATACAATAGGGTGGAATACGAAAATTAAGTTCGTAGTTCATGACTTTGCTCAATGAAAAAATTCATACTGTGCGACTGTCTTCATCAATGAACCTGAACGATTTCCAGTTTGCACCTACCGGTAGTTTTGGACTACTTTGGTTAAATTGTTGTACTCGGTCGTTGCGTGGACCGCAACAAAAAATTGCAACCAAAATGCTGAATAGAGTAAATGCAATTAAAATTGATCCAGTAGCTAATATTTTCTCGAATTCAGTTCCACCACCGTCCAACTGAAATTTCGAAAACATTCGATATTACTAAATTTATTCATGTGGTATTCTAAGCTTATTTGCATATTGCCGCTAATTTTATTTAAGAGATTCCTGAGTGATTATTTGGATTGATGATTTTGAGCGACAGGGTTCTGATCAAGCCTGATCCTGATTCTATGGTAGTGAACCATTCACTAGAAAGAAATTTGTTGTTAGCGATTCTGTTGTAAGTGAATTCTAATTCTCATCTTACTAACCTGACCGGAAATGGTGAACGCTTTTAACACTTTTATTCATTGCGAATTTATTTAATGAAATTTCTCCAGAATGGGTGAGCAGTTAGTTAATGGAATATGCAAATATAAATGATAAATGATAATAAATAATAATAAGTAATAATGAATAATAATTGATAATAATGATTAATAATAATAATAATTGATAATAATTAATAATAATAATTGATAATAATTAATAATAATGATTGATAATAACAATAAATAATGATAATTAATAATAATAAATAATGACAACAACAAATAATAATAATAAAACAAAAATAATAATAAAAATAATAATAATAATAATAAAGTCATATGAGGCAATTTTATTTCCATTCTGAGTGAATATTTGATTTCTAAATGCATCTACAGTGGTTTTGTAGTTTTAATGGAACAAATGTAGTCTACTGAAGAAAAAACATGCATTTAGATTCCAATAAGCAATAAACCTTAAGTGAGTTCCACAAACACAAGGCACTGTTGTTTCTTGTACGAATGTATGGACATTGCGGGTCAGCACAAACTGGCGCAGTCACTGTGGGACGAAAACTGGTTAAGCGGATTGAACTTTGAGACATCATGGAATTCCATATGGCTATGTGGAAAAGTGAAAGACCTCTGGCGGAGAACTGAACACAGTCATAACCCAAAATTGACAGATCGGCTCTAAAGAATACTTTTTGCATCCAATTGGTTAAAAATGAATGGTAAGAGATTAGAAGTGAAATAAATTAAAAGAGAAATTAGGATATAAGCATATCTTAATTTTCCTCATATTTCGATTTATTCAGTTTTTTATATGGTGCTAATAAATTGGCTGAGTATCTGTTTGTACTTGTGAAACTAAAATTTTTTGTTCTAATTGCCAGTGGAGCAAACCTATTAAAAAACGATGAGTACTGTAGAAAAAAACATTAACTCGGTTATGGTGTTCAATTTATTTATTATGTATAGCCTAGGTGTAGTAGTAAAAAAAAATTTGAGCCGTTTTAGTGATCCTAGAGTTAATATCGTATGAATTTTCACAAGGAAGATTTGAAGATTTTTCGTAGCTTATAAAATTTAAAATTTCGCAAAAGGCATGAATCTGCTTAATTTGAAAAAAAGTTTCCAAATATAATTTTGACTTTTCAACCATTATGAAAAATTTTTCCTGAAAAATCAAATAATTTTTACTATTTAATTCTTCGCCTAGAAGCGTAAAAAATCTTGCAGTACATATATTTGGGCCTGTTAGAAATTAATGTTACACATGCTAATAAATCTGAAATGAAGAATTTTCTAATTGTCGAAAAAAATCTAACAAGTCCATTAAGGAAAAGTCTTCAATTAATTACGATGGATGTGCGAAGCTTAGGAAAAAATCTTGGTTTAGTGTTAAGTTTAACAAAAATTATTTGGTTGATTAATTTCCGGCGGTAACTTACTGCAATCCGGGTAATTTATTTAATGTGGCATCATTTAATAAAGGTAATATTTGCACTGAAAACGTATCTTTTTGGAAATTTTTTTCGCATATTTTTTCCACCTGAAATCATCTATATCAGCGAAAATTTTATTGCACTACAATTAAAATCGATTGAATCTAAGAAAATATGTTATAACACCAAAAAACGTGGTTGTAAAAAATGATAAAAATCAAAAGTAAAGGATAATGAAACAATCCAACCATAGTCCGACCATAGTCAAACGAGAATGTGATGTACTTGCGGGCCAGAGTAATTGCTCGAAACCAATCAAGAAAAACGGCTCTCTGCACGTCCGGTCAGGTGTTGGCCATAGCTGCTCGAAAGGTCAGAATGCTTATGTACATCGTAGACCAAATGAACAATGTCCCCTAATTCTTT